CTAACTGGTGCTTTTGGTGTGGTTCCGGAATTGAGAAGAGTAGCAATTCAAGATGTGAAATTGAACGAAGGTTCTGATGTCGTTGCTCTCGTTGGAGGCCACACGACAGTGGAATTCATATCACGCAATTGATGGGATGTTGTCATATTTCCACACCTACCAAGCAAGGAATGATTTCAGGAGCCGAGTTTTGTAGAAAAGAGATGCCAAAAGTCGTGTTTTCTATATACATATATGTTGCTAAATAGAGTTTTACTCCAGCTATCTATGTAAAACACGTTTCGAGGACTGTTGTCGAGCATCACTTTTGAGGTAAGAGGTATGCCTGGCGGTCCACGGTCATTCTCAACACACCAAGTATAATAAAGTCCTTTGAAACGACATCTAAGTCCAAGTCCCGTGCTTTTTTGATCTCATCAGTATCCTCTGGATTTGCTACCACAATCAATGTCCCAGAGCCTTCACTTTGCTTTGGTAATTTGGCAATCATCTACGCAAAAACAAAGAAAAACCTGATCAGCCAATATGACCCATGTTAAATTCAAATGACACTTCGCTCAATACCTTGCCACCAGCAGCTTCAATGATATCCTTCATATCATTCTTGGGAGGTTCAACATGCGATGTAGCAAAGAAGGTCAATCCAGCAAAGATACCAGGAGATTTTACATCTTTCAGATCACGAATTTTGGCTAATGAATTTTTGAGCTTGAAACTCCATTCCTTTTCATTCTTGGCATCGTTTACAATGTAATCGTCCTCATCTATGGTGCAGAGCGAAAAAAAGACCGTTACCTAACTCAGAAGCATTCTCTTCAAAACAGCAACGAGTCCCTCACCTGCAGCATATCCCAATTTAGAGGACTGTTCAAGCCATGACGTTGACACTATATGCTTTCCTGCTGCGAGGACTGCTAGGAACTTTACAGTCCGCTTCACACCGACGGTAACGAGATGAGTACAATCCTTCCAAGTTTTAGCACGCTTGAATTGCAGAGAAGCCATCATATCTTGCTAAAATGACAAACACGCAGTTGAGTCAACAACTGTCATGAATCAAATCCGCTTCCAATACACACCAACTTGGTCAACTGCTCCTCGTCAACTCCAGTAAACATAATAGAAGGTATCTTGGGTGATGAGGAAGATGGCCCATCAGCCTTTCGAGGGGTCTTGCGGGCTCTAGTTGCGAAACGGACAGGTCAGCAAACAAAAAGAAAGCAAAGATAGAGTTACAGTTACCGACCGTTTCGTCGACTTGGTGTCTTCCTGTGGTATATCTTCTTCGTCCTCTTCTTCATATATATCCACTACAACAGTTGCAGCATTCTTCCTTTTTCGAGTCGTGCCGATAGTCGCACTTGGAGCGGCACCACTAGCAGTTGCTTTCTTTGACGTACTACGAGAAGTATTCGTCTTTACGATTTGAACTTCTTCTTCCTTGTTGGAGTCTCCATCATCAGCTGTGAAACTGAATACCCCCTTTGCTACAGATGGTGGTGCTGGCACATGATTATCACTAGTTCCATTTGAGTCAGCTTTTTGCTCAAGCTTTCGTTTTCCTGGAGCAGGAATCGCTTCCTTTTGAGCTTTTGAATTGGATTTGGATGGTGGTTGCCTTTTCACATTGAGTTTGGGCTTGGCAGATGACGATGATGATTTAGCGTCTACAACCTCAACCGAAACTTCATCATCTTCTACTAGTACTTCTTTCGCTGACAATTTTACTTTGGCCCCACGAGCTCTCTTATTGGGCTTTTCTTCAACCTCATCCTGGTCACTCTGTATTTCCTTGTCTACTTCCTTCAATTCCTTGGAATTACGTTGACCACGGGTGCGTTTTGTACCACTATTACTAGGAGATTCGTCATCGGGCTCGTCATCAGCATTGCTATGTTTGGCAGCTGGTTCTGGTCTCCTTTTACTCGGTCGTTTACTTTTTCCAGTCTCGTTAGTATCAGTACTATTTACATCACTGGGAGTAATATCATCATCAGCAGCTTTCGAGACTTCCTCTGTCACCTCGACCTCTTCTACTTTGACGTCTTCGACAACTGCTTTGCTACCAGAAGCCTTAGCCTTAGGTCGACTAGTTCGTAGTTTACTTGTATCGGTTTCTTCTGCTGAAGCGGGTGGGCAGGATATCTTGGACTTTACACTTGAAGATTTGGATAGTCCACGACCAGCACCTAGTCTTCTCTTTGCATTAGCAGAAGCTTTAAGCTCGTCAGCTTCCGCTTCCCCATTCGACGAGAAGTGTGCTTCCGCATCTTCCTCGTCATCGTCATCGTCTCGTTTCCTTGACGATTCAGTCTATAAATTAGTTCGTGAGAAACAATGGGGGTGAGAGAAGGATGCGATTTCGTCAGTCCATACCTTCAGTAGGTTCTCAGGGGACCTGTCTCTGCGATCAGATGATTTAGCAACACTCGTCCTATTTCGACGACTAGGGAACATTGTTAGAGTCATAGCAGATTGTATTGGCACAGTATTCAAAGCATATACCTATAGGTTTGCTTGACGGGACTCTTTCTTGGTTGTTTACCAAACAACTCGTCGTCTTCTGATTCATCGGCAGCCTTTTCAACGACTTTTGGCACTACTGCCTTCTTCGATTTCACCACAGCGGCTCTTTCTTCAATCATTTTACTTCTTCGTTTACGTAAAGCCTGGTTAGCTTCATCTGGCTTATCCTGCTTGCTGGAATCATCTAGTTTGATAGAATCATAGGGCTTACTAGACGAGCACGATTTACTAGACGATGTAGACTTAGACTTACTAGGCGATGACAGCCTTTTAATGTTCAAAGTTTCTGCTTCTTTCAACCCTTCTAGTTTGGGATTCGAAGATGCAGCTACAACATCCTTCTCTTCAGCGGGAGGCTTGAGAAATGACACAGCTGATGCTTCAGCGTGCTTCGATTTCCCTTTGACATCATTCACTGTTATATCTGCTGGCTGGTAAGTGGAGACTTTTCGTTGGCCAGGTTGGCTCTTAGAGTTACTCTTACCATCGTCTGGTATTTGCTGGTCTGGAGCGCGACCTGTAACGTTTGGAGCACTATCTTTTACGTCTTCTTCATCGGCATCAACTTTTGCTCCCTCAGGTGCTGTCATAAATAGAGATTGACCTGGCATGCTACTAGCTTCTGTTTCTAATGTACCAAGCTCATCGACAACAGCAGCAGCACGTTCTCCTGTAATGAAAGCACTGTCCATATGTGATATAGACTTGGATTTTGGTTGGGCCTTTAATGAAGTTGGAGCTGACGACATTTCTGGATTAACTGCAGCAGCATGCGGAGTTGGGTTGGCTGATTCGGGAGCGGGAGCTACAACCTTTTTTACGGCGGGCTGATCGAATAATACATCATCAGAATGATCCGATAATGTGTCGTCTGCTGAATCAGCCGCCTCTGTATCTGCAGTTTCACCTACAATCAGAGTAGGCTGTTCGATTCGGGTAGAATCACCTTCTTGAGACTGATCCTCTTCAGATTCATCATTTATAATACCTTTTCGTCTGGTAGCAACACGAGCTGCTGGTGTTTCTGCCAAAGCAGCATCGTCCGAGTCTAATTCATTCTCTTCTTGATTATCATCGTTTTCAGAATCTGGCTGTTTGGTTGAATCATAAGCTAGAGTCGGTCCCAAAGTGTTTGATTGGAAGCGCAATGTTGGTGATATTGCGCGACGTGGACCTTGACCAGTCTCTTGTTTTTCATCTTCACTAACGACTTGATGCACCTCTTCACCTGCTACTCTATTATTTGAATCCTAAAAATTGCACAGAGTCAGAAACTTGTTGCATGCTACCTGGCGCAGTTCCAATGCAGTGCTTACATGTGCGCCGGTAGTGTCGTCAATGTGTATCGTACAACATGCTGGGCCAAATCGAATATATTGAGTGGGGAGTATCTGGCAGTATGCCTTTACATCGTCCTTCTTCTTTGGCAGAGTTGCAATGCTCTTGTCGTTCAAATCAAGAATCTGTGTGCCATTCGTCGAGCCCAAATCACATATAAAGACTTGATGACTATGAGGCGCCACGTCTACACGATTGACGGCTGTTAGATATTGCGCATTTCAAGGTGTTCAAAACGTTTGAGTCAGGAAAGAACTGCGAGATGATGTGATGCACTTACAGAGTTCAGCGTGGTGATTGCTGACTCCATTGATATTGATACAGATCATATTCGAGTCCATTTTTCCAACAGAATTCAGACAGGAATATAAAGGGATCGAGTCATCTCGTGGATTCTTGCCCTCTCTAAACACTTTCAAAACCCCAACCTAGATGTTTCATGTTGGCGATTAGCTCCAGATGCCAATACATTATGATGACACTGAAATGATTCACTTGTTCTCTAGTATCTTCAGAAGTAAAATCCCATGTTTCTTGTTCTTCTTCTTCCTCCTCATCGTCCTCATCATCGTCGTTGTTTTGGGGGTATGCGACTCGAGGAAGCACTGTTGTTTCACGTCTGTTTCCACCGTCACCGACCATGGCCATAGCTATGTTGTATCTAGAGCTGATCAGATCAGTTATTATCGTTGGTTGTTTGAATATATACGCAAAACTTGCAAAAAGACAGCTTTACAGCTTTCGAGCTTCAGTTCGAGCTTGATGAAATGCACTGCAGTTCGAAGGTCAATCACGTCAGTTATTACCATTTACGACGCGACATAGATCTAAATCTCTCAAGAGTGCTTGATCGCACGAAAGAGCTCCCTTTTTCCAACAGTCACTTGCTGCGAGTTTGAATTTTGTTGGACTTTGCTCTATGTAGGCAAATTAAATTAATCTGCTTTTATTGGTTTTATTCAGTTTATTACGTGCAAAAAGACCGCAATCACGTCGAGCCTGTTCTGTCTGTTCTTTCCCTGGTAGATTTGTGGTTGCAATTTTGAAATCAATAGAACACTTGGGCACCCTGGCTAATGATTGATCTGATGAAATTGGTGTGCTAATACCTTATACTAGATGCACTTGATCCCGATATGCTTGCTCTACTTCCAGAGCTCCAAAATCACAACAATGGCCAACATTTGAGTCATCAGAGAAATCACCATAGTCATTCGAACGGTGATCCTCTTCCAGATTCTGATTTATTTGACGAGGACTTGCTAGATTTTGATGAGGATCTATGCAATCATGGTCACGAACTATCGTACCATCATCAAAAAGAGGAATATCATGGCTTGACAGCTTCCGACCATCATGAAGACATTCTTGAAATGCCTGATGATGATACATATGACTATAATAATTACAATGATGATGACATATTTGACCACCAAGAAGAGATGCCACTTGATGACGGTAAACACGATGTAGTGGACGATGAGATATTGGACGACGATGAGATACTCGACGACGATGAGATATTAGACGACGATATGTTAGGAGAGGACATAATGGACAATCACATCCTTGATGATCGTATATTAGACGATATACATCACCACGACGACCAAGACTTGTTCCCAGATGGCGAACAAGAGCTACAGCCAATTGATGCTCACGTTCCTGTATTTGACGATCCCATGCTAGACGATGATACCGTCGAAGACGATATACTCGAAGGCGAATATCACGACGAATTGTTTGAAGAAGATAATCGCAAACAAGTAATCAAACGTGAAATCAAACATGAGGAAGGCGAACCTCATGAACCACCTGATTTCGACCCGCCACCTTTTGAATTCGATGATGATCAGGACGATGATGATCTCTTCGAACAGGGTGGCAGGATATGGAACTTTGGTCAACCAGAGCCTGAAATTGTTGAAGAGTTTCATCGAGTTGAGCCACAACCACGGTCAGTGCCTTACATCTCTCTCCGTCGATAACAGCTCACTTGGGCTCCTTTCTATCTTCTTGTAGAGATGTGGTTTTGGATCGTAGCCAAGACCTACTGGATGATGCTAATTCAGATCGCGGTCAAGGTCAACGACGTTACCTTGAAGTGGTGTCAAGAAACAAAAAGAATCAGATGTAAGACATTCTGTAGTGGCTTTGTCGCCAGTCCTTTCGTGACCAAATTTCCATTTTAGATTGGATCCTGCAACAGGCTTGTTGAGAACTCGTGTACGAGATATGCGCTGGAAGAGAATCAAAGAAGGGAAACGTCCATTTGGTAGGAAGCTTCGTTTCCTTGTCGCGTTGCTGTGTCTGTTTATGTAATAAACGATTTGCCTCTAGAAATCATTGTTCGTGTGTTGGAAGTAGTAGTCAGAATTCTCAGGGATAACACCAAGTTGACCAAACGGTGACATTTTCTTTCAATTAATGGGTCTTTTGCAGCTATTTCTGACACACATCTATACAACAGAGATATCTATTATCAACATCCTCAATTCTTTGGCAACCAGGCATGTGTCGACTGTGCAATAGAGGACATTGCATGTACTGCTCAAGTCCCTCGCTACTGTTTGAATGTCGTTGCTGGATCCAAAGGGCTGTTTGCTGGACCTCTTGAAATCATCTGTGCTGATGGAAGAATCATAAGTGGTCTTGGTGGCACGGATCAGGTAGAGAGAATTAATGCAAAAAAGCAGAATTTATGAATGATGCACAATGCTCTCTGATTAGGGAGTTCTGGCTCCTTCTGAAGACAAGATTGCACGAGTCGTGATGCCTCCTACTGTCGTTGCAGTTCTTGTTATTGAAAAAGAAGGACCATTTCGTACTCTTCTTCAAGCCGGCTTTGGCGACAATACCCAACAGGGCCCAAACTATGTTGTCTTGACTGGAAAAGGATATCCTGATGTAGCCACTCGAGTGCTGCTTCATCGTATTGCGCAAACCTATCCCGATATTCGTATTCTGGGATTGGTTGATTGTGATCCTCATGGTTTACAAATCTTGCTCACGTACAAGTACGGATCTATTAGTATGGCATTTGATTCAGAGGGTATGGCTGTACCTCGTATCGAATGGGTTGGAGTCTTTGCTTCAGACTTTGTCAAGTAAGGTTCTTTGTACGTCTTCAAAGCAGAAATTGCAGAAATTCTCAGGCTACATGTCGTATTTACTGCTGTCTCTCGCTAGGTATGGTGTCGACTTTAGCAGACTGCTATCCCTAACAGCTAATGATCGCACCAAAATACCGCAATTACTTAAGAAAGAGTATCTGGAATATCTGCCTCTGTATAAGTAAGCAATTTCAGTATTCCCTGATTCGCGTTTTTCCGCTTACACCTTTCTGTACCAAATTAAGACGTGAACTTTGTCGAGCTTGGCGTATGGGTGTCAAGGCTGAAATTCAGTGTATAGATGCTGCAACACTGGCACGAGTTTGCTTGCCTCGGATGTTGAGAGAACTTGGAATAATATGAATGGGCATATAAGACATTAAATCAAACGATGTACGCTAATGATCCTAACTACATGAATTTGAAATTGAAGCTTGTGCTGCATTTGAAGCGCAGTGGGCCCATTCGAATATTGAAATTCCAATCTTGCTTGACGCAATGTTTATATCGTGTATGTGTGGAAAGTGTTTTTGTTTCGGTGAGAGCCAAAAAGTGACAGTATCTTCAATTTCAAGCGAGGAGAAGCAACAAAATCTATCACTCTATCACGAGTTGACGAAGATCATTTTTCGGGCGCTTGAAGTGTGTGTGCTGGTCCATAATTAGACAAATACACCTTGGAAAAGCTACCAATTTTGTTGCTTTGAGGTGGTCGAATTGGAATTGTATGGAGACCACACGGTCAGAAAATCCAGTATCATCAACAACCAACGTGAAAATCACTGCATGAAACACCACTGCCATCAGATCCAAGCATTCAAAAGCAAAGAATCAAATGTTGGGCCAGACATCAAACAACTCAAGCAACGAAGCACCAGAAGCTTCAATGCAAAGAAATGAGCAACAGCTACAGTCGGTGCCGCCTCCTTCTACTCCACAAATGTCTGCTCAAGAAGCTTCAGAGGCTGCAAACAATGGCGCACTTAGATCACCGCCTGTAGCTCGTAAGTTCTTTCGGAATCCATTCAGATCATATACCAACACTCTCATCTTCATCACACTAGCTCCTCCAGTCCAACAAACGGATCCAAGCAACAACGACATCAACTGTGACGATTTCCTTGATGTTGAGATGCAGCAGTGGAGTACAATGGAGGAGGAGGACGACGATGACGACGACGACGAATACGCTTACGCACCGCTGGAATATGAGAATTTGCATGATGAAACGGAAGAGCCCCGTGAAATGCCTGAACCAATCACTCTTACGCTCAAAAAGGCAGATGAGATACCTGAAGGTAGTACTGACAAAATTTCGGGGCTTCAATCCTCAGTCCTGACTCTTTCACGCTATCTTAGATGATCTGGATGTTATAAAGAACGTCATGGCTCGAATCAAACTACCAGATTCGTCGATTCCACGTACGAACTGATGCCATTTGTTGTTTCATTTTACTATGGAACTGACGCCATTGGTCTCGATTTAGAATGGGCTAAAACGTTGGGAGACTCGTGGATGCCAAACGTGATTTTGACAACAAAGAAGCCTGATTCTCCAGGCCGATAATCGTTTGTAGAGCAATGAAAGTGTATATTTGTGTATAAAGTTAGAGTCACTGTATATCAGACATGTGAGCTATTGTGTTGAGAAACAGGTTGTGTAAGTAAGTATCCCGCACAAACAAAAAGCAAAGTGCTGTAATACCTCGAAGTGGTGCCGCCATTTGGGATGTATCATCCACCTCCACGAAATGCAATTTTCCTTGAAATCGGTACACAACTCGTAGTTTTTTGACTTCTCCTAAGCATGGGTCATAAAAGCCCAGGAGACTTGACTAGGTTTTTGAAGAAGAGAGTGTAAACAACGAGGGCAAAAAAGCATATTCACAGTGATGGATAATTGCCTTGGAAAACCCTCCACCAATATGAAGCTGTGAATTCAGCACCAGACTTTGAACCGGTATCGTCACATCAATGTATTCCACCTTAGGTTTAGGTATTGATGGTGATGATCCAGGGAGAATACTGGATTCAGCTTTACTGTTGTGACTACTGGATTCAGCTCCAGCTTTGCCCGATTCAGCACTAGTACTACTACTGCGATTCGTGGCAGCAGTTTCATTCACACCACCATTTGAATGTCCATTCACAACAGGAATGGCTGACGTGCTTCCAAAAAGGAAGTTGGATAAATGATTCGGATTGACTGACTCCAAGTTACCATATAAAGCTTGTATAATCACCAGTCCTATTTGTTTGTGTGAGTGAGAAACAGCCAAGTGAAAGTACCAAAAGTGCACTTTCACACTATTTTCACTTTAACTGTACTTACCACCTTTGCCTTCTTCCGCTTCAAGCTTTCTAGCAGTAGTATCCTTCATAAGCTGCACGGCATCTTCGGCTTCCTTCTTCCTTTTTGCCAGCATTTCAGCATTGTCAAGCCGTATCTTTGTCAATTTCCTATTTGATTATTCCACATGAGCAAAGACGACTTGAAGACTTAGATTTATGGCTTACTCTTGACGCGAGCGTCTCCTTAACGGTGTCACCAGCAACTGATCTAGTGCCCATCCAGCAAACAGGGGAACCACACCCACTAAAACCGACACTCTCACATCCATTTGAGGTGAGATGATTATAGGAAGAGTAAACTTTTGGCCTACGCTAGTGTACCTAAGGAACATTAAGAGTCAGTTTAGCTTTTTTTTGGCAAAAGGCCAGTTTGAAGCACACAACTAACAGACCTCAATCGTAATGAAACACCACCAGCCGTCGCACAATCAACCGACATGCCCACTCTACTATGCTTGGTAACTCGTTGATCCAGACCAACCGAATACGTCATTCCCATATTAGTCGACGCTCCTAGACTCAATCTAGCTCGTACATTCTTTGATACTGCTTGCACGAGAGCAATACTTCCAGCCACATTATTTGTAGACAGTTGGATATCCGTGACTATATGGGATTTCTCGCCTCGACTAATGACGCCTAGTGACACACCAGACGGCTCTCTTCCAGTCCCATACAAGCCCCAATTCCCTATATTGTATTCTCCTGTTCGATATGTCAGGTATCCCGTTATTTGAGGAGTGAGACGACGTCCAATGACAAAGAGGAGTGGAGGTGGTGAGTTTAGTGATGATTGAGTGGCGGCAGCGGTGACAAAGTTATCAGGGGTGATGTTGTTAACTAGTTTGAGTTGGACCATAGGGTTCTCACCAAGACCACTAGTGAGCTACAATTCAGTAAGTTTAGAAATTATTCCATTATGATGTACAGGTTTTTTGAGCCATCACATACCTCTCCCCAAAGTTTTGGAGAATAAGAGTGCCTCAATGTACCCAGTATATTGCACGAACCAATGCCATTACGTGCTACTGCTGTTCCTTGAACGTTGAAGGTTGTTCCAGGCTGTATTGTGGCCTGTCAAGGAGGGGATAAAAACGCTCGGGAATGAATGCCAATGAAAGCTTCCAAATCGCAAACCACAACTCACCTGCCAAGAATGCTTCACGACAGCCTGTGTGAACTCTGGCATCACTAGGTAGTCGACTATACTCCTTGGCTCTCGTCGACTGGTCACCCTAGGTCTCCGTCTCGATGGTTGGAGCAACGGTTCAAAAAGACGTGTAGCATTTAGCGTCACTTGAATCTCGCCCTGTGTCGTGATGTAAATACGTGAGTGGTAGGCCTTCCAACGTCCAGATTTCAAGCAAAAAGGCTTGCAAAAGATCCTCTCACTCTGGATTTCACTAGATTTTCGACTTCCGTTTCTCGGTCTCTCTGCATCTTGCGTTCATACTCGGCCCGAATCTAGCATGCAAAGATAGTGTCAGAATGCGAAAGTGTGACGATCTGAAACAGTACTCACCTCATCTGGAGTTTGGAGCCTCGGTCCCACGTCCCAAGAATGCGACAGGCCCTTTTCACCATAGGCATCATACACGTATCTTTTGGTTGGATCTGTCAGCACGTCATAAGCTCTTTGTATAGATTGAAAGCGATCTGACGCTATAGCTCGCAGTTCAGGAGTCTGGTGTTTGTCGGGGTGGTAAACGAGACCAAGTCTCCTGTAGGAATTCTTGATTTCGTCGTCTGTAGCCTGGAAATCAGATGGTTAGCTGTGTGCTTTCATTAGGGGACGAGGGTCAAGTTCTGAGTTTGAGTTGCTGTGAGTTTAATGTTGACGCTCAGAGCTTCAACTGCTGGTCGAATAACGTGGGGCAAGCACGGCATGACGGATATATACCTCTTTTGGCACGTTTAGTATAGCATAATAGTCTACGGACGTAGCTCCAACCCCGTTCTCGTCCTTTTCAGCTTCATCAAACTCGTCTCGTTCCTTTTCATCGACGGCTGGAAGAGACGCTGTACTGTCTCTGGTAGAAGAAGCATATGGATCTTGCGCGTAGGTCGTGCTGGCACTCATCCTAGCAACAAGATGCTGCACTTGGAATCCGATGATTGTCAAATGCCGTTTTTGAATGACACGTCAGAATATTCAAGTCAGAGGCTTGAGCAGATGCTTTGTTCCAGCATCTTCGCATCTTCGCGACAAATCACGTACAATTCGCGTATTGAGATGTGTTGCTAATGTTTAACTGCTCATTCACGTTCACACGCCAAAACATCTAGTTCATCATTTTGATGCATTTCGGATCAGGACAATGGCGAATAAGAAAAAGAAGATAGATGGCCCGACTGCGAATAATCAGCAGTCTCAGCAGCAGGCCATACCTCCACAGCCAAATACCGGATCCACCACAACCCAGCAAATACATCCAAAGTCGACCTCCCCTAACAAAAATGGTGGTCTTCCAATCCCTGCTGGATCCACCATATCAATTACTGCTACTTTTGGTCCGCCAAAGAAGTCGGACTCACCAGCTTCCAAATCAAACGCTCATCCCAACTCATCTTCATCAATTGTTACTGGCACCAACTCCTTGAGCGTGAAGACAAACCCAGACACCCACATGCTGCATCTGATCGGCCAACAGGTACCAAGAATATGATGATCGTCCCTTGTTGTGGTGTCGCATCGGTGGAATTCATCAAATGGACCCGCACTAACACATCCTATTATACAACAGGCTGCTCAAGGCATTCCAGATCCAGTCCGCTGCTCTTTCGCATGTCAGCTATGGTAAGGGTTGAAAAAACACTATCTAAAACACCTACACTCATCACATTCACCACACTCATCACATTCACTACAGTCACGCTGCAAACGTACTAGATAGATCTCATAAAATATCCAGGTACTCCAACTTTGATGCCTTCGGGGGCATGGAGCAATCAACTCCAATGAGCACTGAATGGATTGATACGAAAAAGGACATGTTTACCCTTGGAAACGGAATGGTCATACTACCTGGAAGCAAATATAAACGAGTTACAGGCAGTTTAGGTGTTGGAGTGAAAGTGCAAGGCATGATATTGGCAGGAACTGTCGATATACAGCAACGATCACCACCACAACCCTGTTCTTCATCTTCAGCATCTGCATCTACTAGCCCTGTGATAAATAGACGTGGGGTGATTGTTAATGTGCTAGAATCGCAGTCACCTACTCCGTATAGAATACATACGTTTGATATGGACACTCAGGTGGGCTACTTTTTGACAATGAACCCATCATCGTATCTGGATTCTGATCTGGTGCTTGTTGGGCCATTCCAGTAAGTTTTAAGGATGATATCCTCGAAATTAATACTTCGGGCATAGATGTCAATGCAGATGACGTCGTACATTGACGATGAAATCACTAGTACGTCCTCATACTAAGCTGAATTCTCAATGTTTCCTGTTATTAGGTATAGAGGGGTCAACTTTGGCCATGAAACTGTAATCCACGCAGACGGGATATTTGGAAGAATACATATGAGTACTTCTACGAGTCTAGAAGTCGCTCTCGGTCGAAATGTTAACCAGAAACAACCAACGAGAACACAGACAAGAGTCTACACCGAAATGTGTATAGATAGAATGCTGAATGCTGCCTCAATTACACTTCCATCAGACGACCTCTCACATCCATCGCCGTGGCCACCGGGGCTGAACTTTGATTGTTTTGGATATCACAATACGTGCCTGCCACATAGTTTCTCGACAGTACTACGAAGGCATCAAGATGCCCTACATCCAAATACTCGAGATTCGGATGCTATAATACAGGCGGAACTGGGTAGACGATGTGCGTTTTGTGGTATATGGAAGCTCAAGGAGAAGCTGCAATTGTGTGGACGATGTCGGACGGTATTCTATTGCACGAGGAAGTGTCAGATGGATTCGTGGAAGGCTGGACATAAAAGGCTATGTATAGATAAGAGTCTTGTTGGACACCCACCAGGTCCAAATCTCACTACACCAAGCAATATTGCTAGTAAGGTTATGGATAAACTAGCCATAGGGTTGAATGATTGTTTGTTTGGTACGTTTGCTATGCTAGCGTGAGATTTGTTCATTGACTTCGTTTTAATCGGCTTTCAACCTCCTTTTAGGTACTGGAGCCGCTGGCCGACCTCTCCCTAGTCCGACGTTGACAACAGGGCCAAATAAATCGAAAACTACCGGACGTAAAGTCAGAGTGGAAGTTGATGCTCTATCATTAGCAATCGCAACTGCTACAGCAGCAGCCACCCAACTTGGCAGTCTGTCTCCTTCGAAAGCCAGTAGCAGAAGCTCGGTCGCGAGCGTTGATTGAAGTGGAATGTAGATATATTGGCATTTCTGAAATAATTTACTGCAAAGCGGGAATATATTCCCTTAAATTATATAGATATATTTTAGCATGTGTAGAAACAAAAATCACCGATTCTAGTAATCTATAGTGTGTGTGTCGTCACGGCATCTCTAATGGCCTGGATCAAATCTATTGCAGTTGGTTTTGGCGATTCGACATCTACTTTCAGGTCCAGCTGTTTTAATCTGGCACTAGTAGTCGGACCTATGGCACCTATTCTAACATCCTGCCACCATACTTGTCTCTTCAATGGCTCCAACGCGAAATCAACACCAGATGGACTAAAGAATACAATCCATGCTGGCTGTGACACGTCCGTCCCTTCGTATGTCTTCACAAGTTCTTGCTCGAATACCGGATTTGGACCAGTCTCGTATACAATCAATTCCATAAACGGTATTTTGGCGTTTGTCAATTGCGATGGGAGTTCATCACGTCGTTTGTCACCACACAACATTATATACGGAGATGTAGTAGACGATTCCTTTTCAGTATCAGATATGATGAGCTTCGCTAGCTTGGCAGCTCGACCAGTGTCAGACCCCAGCGGCGTAAACCCGCATTGCGTGATGATGCGAGCTGTAGATGGCCCAACAGTATATACTGGTATTTGTTTCCATGATGATTCGCACGTCCATTCTATTTGAAAAACGAGAATCAGCAATGTTACAGTACATCGATCCAATGGCAACATTACTGCACCAACATACCAACACGACGACTCGCAATCCTCCCAATACAGGTCTGCAATGCTTCGACACCTCGTTTACTGGTAGCTATGATACCACGACATTCTGGCTGTTCAAGTAAAATGCGATCAAGCTCCGCAAGTTTGGATTCTACGAGATTGGATGAGAGGATGGGTATACATGTGCTAGAGTAGCCTGCATCGGATGCTGCGGTTTCATATTCGTCGGGAGTGGGTGCTTCTCCTGGCTCTGATTCTGTTTGGGCACGTAGGAAGAGGATCTGGTTCATTTTTTGGTGAGTTTGGAAGGATGTGTTTGAGGCAGCTGAAGGTGTAGAGTATTCACTGACGCTTTGGTATTGCGTAAATGGATTGATTTTATGTTCATTTGAGACCGACCGCTTGACACGTTGTGTGTTTTTCGCATTGATCAGCTTCAAAACTAGAAAACCGTTATCTTCGTTTTGAAGAGTCATATGCCTCTAACCGCACTGTGTTGTTTCAGATCAAAAGGCCTAACAGTTAGATTGGAGCAGGTTACACTGGATCCTTGCTTAGATTCGTCGTTCAGTTTTTGTTGGCATGCTCACAACCAGCAATATGGCCAGCCAGCATCAAGAAGGTGAATGCACGAACCAGCAACGCCATTCCATCATCTGCAAACTCATTCGCAGTACTTGGAACAATTGAAGCAGTCTGGACTGAATGGGAGGTGCGAAATATCAGAGAGGCAACGGAGATCAATGATGTTGATCATCAACAAGGACGACAAAATGGCGGTGGAGCTCCAGCAAAGACCTACAACGCAATTATGATTCTCGCCATTTAGGTCTTCGTAGAGTGATGGCACCGCGCAAGTGACGTCGTTTGAGGTTTAGATATCTGTTCAGCGATGGTGGCTTCACCGAACGGGCTAGTGGCGCAATTGGATAGCGTGTCTCACTACGATTTGAAGGTGATGGTGATGAGGAGGTTGCAGGTTCAATCCCTGCCTAGCTCAAAGATGACAGTCAACTTTTACAGGCTGCCTGTTATTAGTTACTAACCCACCCTTTTTTGTTTACCTTTAAGGACGGTACTGATTCATTCTTCGCAGTGCTTCTGCATCGGCGTGGATTGAGAAGAGATCACTGTCTTAGCTGACAAGATCCACTGAGTAAGTCGTCGGGAGACGTGTATTACTCATATATACTCCCGTTTCCAAAACCCATCGAACTTCATCGGATCTTGTAACCGAAAACAAACTACTTGCTCGTCCTCAAAGCCGAATCATCTACTTTTGAGTATATTGAACGATAAGAACGAGTGGTTGGGTTAGAGGAAGAACCAACTTGTTGTATGCCTGAATTGTTTTGCTACGTGCTGTGTTTTTTTCCTAGCAGCATCTGTCGATAACAATGGCCTTACTTGCCGTTCTTGCCATCTGCATCTACTATTCATGTGATAAATGGACTTGGTGTGATTGCAATGTATTGGTTTAGAATCACCTACTCAGCATGCAACACGCAATTTGATTCAGATACTCATCGTGGCCTTTAATCACTAGGAAGGCACCCTCGTGTGTGGATTTCAGGCAAAACTGTTGACTGGCCTGAGAAGATACACAAATTTGTCGCATGGGCGTCGAAGGCCTCGAAGGCCTCGAAAGTCTCGAATTCATTTTGAATTGGTTCGCCGGCTGCATTCGATTCTGATTGAGCTTGTAACAATAGAATTTGTGGCATATTTTATTCACTGTTTAGATGGTCGAGTAAAGGTTCGTGTTGGAGAAAGCTATCAGGATCAATTGTTCGACGAAAGGCCCGATTGACGCGTGAAATCGTTCGTGTTGTGCTAATTTGACAGCGACCGCTTGAGTATATGCATGTTTTTCGCGTTCGCGTACCTGATAACGTGCCATTATCAAAATCTCATGGCGAGGAGGTTACAGCTCTGACCGTACGCATTTATTTCCACGGCCACAGGACTCTAGCATTCAGATCTGGAGCTTTCTGGACTGGATCCATTTGCGACTAAAATCATTGTATTTTTTTTTTTTGAAAGCTCCAAACACTACAACCAATGGCCAGCATCAAGAAGAGGAAGGCAGGGACCAACGAAGTCGGAATTCCATCATCTTCCAATCCATTCGTAGTACTTCGAACTATTAAAAAAGTCAAGACCGAGTCGAATGGACGAAATACGGCAGAGACATCAGAAACCAATGTAGATCAACCACGACAGAATGGTGGTGGTGCTCAGCAGGAATTACAGCAAAATGGATTTATGGGGATTGGATCTTGGCAAGCTAATGGTAGCGAGTGAGTTGTTGGTTTTGAGAAGGTCAAGTGCTATGTCGGACGTTTAGTGACTTTTTTTGCACTATAGGACAGCTCTGTCAACATTTCTACCTACATCGTCTACATTTGTGACTGATACGAGCTCTGAAATTGCGGTACTAGCTATGAGATCAGATGAGGTGACCTTGTGGGTTCCCTTTTGTGGCTCTCTCGCGCTCTAACTTCGTGCCAACCATAGACACTCTGTTTCAAGGGATCCATACTAGTTTGTCCTTTACGAGGCTCCATATCCGTCATGGGTGCACGCATCCATGCTGATAAACAGGTAGCTCAAGCAACTTTACAATCACCATACGCACTCCCTTCCACAAAGCTACACCTTCATCGTATCTTGTCCCCGAAAACAAACTCGTTACTCGTCATCAAAGCCGAATCAACTACATCATCCGAAGCTATTGAGCGAAAGGAAACGACATGGTCTATAGACAACAAGACACAACAACGAATATCGTTGTTATTGAACAAACTTAAACCAGACTCTGATATGACAGTCGTACTCGTCAAATCATGTATATGTGATGCAATTGAGAGTCTAGAAGGATGTATGCCTCAATTCAATAACTTGTTTACGGGATCTGAGAGTGGATGTTATGATAGTGGTATTCGTGGATTTGTGCCAATGGTGGGACCTGCTGCTGCTTCCCTTTCGGCTGTCAAAGTGCCCAATAGCTGGACGGATGCTGTGAATCAAGTTTTGAATGGTATATTTGGAAAACGTTTGAGCTGTTTGTAGCAGTGCAAAGTTCTTACAAATACGATTTGATGAAACAGGGCCAGAAACACAAACTGTTTGTGTAATCGGTAGCAAACATGTTGGGAAATCGACATTCGCTCGATATCTTACGAACTCGCTTCTGAATCAGTGAGTTTTCTGGTCCGAATGGGTTGGCTTTTTTTGGCTTAAACTAAACTAAACGGTTTTTCAGATATGCAGCACTATCATATCTTGATGCAGACTTGGGCCAGCCAGAACTGTCACCTGTAGCAGTCGTGTCGCTTCATACTGTATCCAACTACCTTCTTGGCCCACCATTCACGCATTTGGATTCCACGACCAGCAAGTCTGTGTTTTTAGGTGCGTCATCACCTAAAGATGAACCTGATGCGTACCTAGACGCATTGTCAGAACTCGTTCGCGAACGCAACGAGAATGATGAAAGTAGAACAATTCCATGTGTTGTGAATACGTCTGGTTGGGTTAAAGGTAAAAACAACTTTGTTGTGTTGCATTGCTTTATAGACTTTGTGCTTTCTTTTGCTGAGTTTATTGAATCTCATCTAGGAATGGGATTTGATTTACTATCGCATTTCATCTTGACATTGAAGCCTACTCACATCATTCATGTGACGGATGATTCCACACCTTCAAAAAATTTGCCAGCAGATTTTGGTCAAATTTTAGCTCAAATGGCTGGTCCGCAGCTGAACTATACTGTTCCAGCGATTACTATGATAGAGGCAGTTGACGAGACTGTAGCCAGGTATACTTTCGAATTCACCCCGTTACTTTGCAAGTAGCTCAACGACGCCAAAAAGGAATTCTCCCCACTCACTGAGATGAATATCTTTGTAGGTCTAGATTCAGCGCCATGGACTTTCGAACACTAAACCTGCAATCATACTTTTGCATTCCAACATCCATGCAAACAACCATCCCAACATATACACATCCAACATGCCAAACCCCAACCTCTGCATCATGCTCATCAATCCAAATCCAATTCGTACATGGCTCTGTACCTCCTCAACATACGTTACGTGCATTGAATGGCACTATAGTAGGTCTTGTTATTGATAGCTCCTTCCCAAAGCAAGAAGCAACAGACGTAGACGAAGCAAGTAAAAAGAAACTTGCACTGTTAAAAACCCAAACAATACTCCCAGCCCGCAACACGCACTGTGTTGGATTAGGACTGATACGAGCAATCGAGCAAACAGATACTGAAATCATATTGTATGTCATCACTCCAGTTCGACTCAACATGTTACAAAAGGTGAATTTGATTGTCCGGGGTGGTGGATTTGAAGCTCCTGTATCGTTACTAGTTGCTGATGCTGGGACGAGATTGGGTCGTGTTGGATTGGGACTCGCGCCTGACATACCATATGTTATGGACGCTGGTATGTCGGATGGTATTGGTGCGTTCCCGAGGAAGGTGACGCATAGAAGGGCGTTTATCAAGTAGTCAAGATATATCGAATTTCATCGCAATATGATTTAACAGAAAGCAGTATTATTAGAAGTGTAAAGTAGAGGCTCAGGGAATATACAAGTGATTCTGAAAATAAATACTGGGTTGTGTCACAGAGAATATCAGACTCTGATTGAACTCTCTCCCTTATGTTGCAGCTTTACCACGTCCAAGAGTCTCTCCAACTTTAACGAAAGTCTCCAAATCTTTTCTGGAATTGCTCAACAAATCATCATCATACTTGCATCGACCAGGCTCAAAGAGGACAATGATCGTGCTTCCTCCAAAAGCAAAGTATCCGATTTCGTCCATCCTATGAACAAAAATCAGCAACGCGAAATGAACATGCTCCGTGAAGTTGGACAAACGCAACGCTTTATGTCACCTCTTAATCCACTGTCCTTCAACAACAGTCGGCACAATACTTCCAACCAACATGGCACCCACACAAATGTATGCTACTGTTCCGAAATTGTCACTTTCTGTAAAGCGACAAAGGAAGTATCAATACAGCAACAAAAAAAGACTGACTTCAAGACCTTAAATACCTATGTAGGTCACCAATCGCACGTTATCCGTATACACATCAACAGTAGTCCTAACAGCCATTGGATTAACTGTATAGTAGTCACCCTCTATCTTCTTCATTTTGGAGACCACACCATCGACCGGCCTGAAAATTGACAGGATTCAGCAAAGAAGAGGGTTATAGTAATGGTACACGAATACGCACGAATGGAATCGGTGATAGTCTAACACGACGGAAGATGTTATTAGTGTCAACAATTTAGCCAGAGCAAAAATCAAAGGCTACTTCTTACCTTGAGGCGCCAAACGGCATATCGATACACATCCACCGGCAAATCGTCTTGCCTAAAGAGAGCAAACACGCACAATGACTGTAAGCAACCAAAAAAAGCCTCCCAAATAACATCGCTGAATAGGACTTACCATAGCATCATCCTTTAACAACGCAGCAATAGTAAATTCACGTCCTTTAATCCACAGCTTGGTTGCGTCTTTGACGGATACAAAAGCAGTTAATCGACAATCTGCTGGACATACTGCCACTCTCTAGAAAATAAAGGGTTAAGAACCCGAAGCGCCAAATCACGATTGCGTTCTTGGAACGAGGTCTAATTTACCGGACTTGGAGATGCCAAGACACGGGCACCAGGCTTCAATTTGCGATAAAAGAATTGATTGAATGTTTGGAAGTTTTCAATTGGTTCGAGGACTAACAAGCGAAAGGAAAGGTTAGAACGATACCAGGCACTTGCATGATTAGCAACAGTCATTTCACGACATATTCAACCTTCTCTCATGTTGAGTTTATGATACTCAATGAATCCAGGAATATCAGCTGCACTGGATGGATCATCAAACTTCCGACCTTGTTTGATGGCTACATTTGATGCATTAATTTGTGATCAGATAACTTTTCATGTGTTTTCCTGGATTGTTAATAGATTCTTACAGAGACTCTTGAGCATTTTCCGTATAGCCTTGGTTCGAACAGCTACGTTGACGAAAAAATTCAATAAATGGTTCAAATGTCCCGAGTCGAGGAAGCACGAAACCTTACCACTTCTCGAGATAGCGCTCTGGTACAACAATCTTATCCCAACACGAATGTAACTTGGGATTTTTTCCTTGACCAGAGATCCCGTCTGCGAAAAAAATTATTCAACAAAAATGTTTCTGCTATTGGAATGTTTTAAACTCGACAAACTCAACTTACTTTACGATCAACAACCAAAATAGAATTATCACTGCCTGAATACCCTTGGAAAGGCACAAACGACAAGACCTTGGTAAACCATTTTTTACTTGGATATACTTCTGTCAAGAAGCCTCCCATGACTAGACAAATATGAGAGAATCTCCGTATCAGTCGGCGTACCAGTTCAAAAGATTCAACAAATAGCAAAAACTCACTTAGGGCATCAATCTTGCGTTGATCACCTTCAGCACAAAGCTTAAAAAAATGAAAATCTAAGATACATTGACAACAAACGCCCAAAAGCCAACTTACAGCGACATGAGAAAGCAAATCCAGGTCACAGATCTCTTCAGGAATCGGCGATTGACACATCGGGCACTGCTCTAGCCTAATAATATGTTCGACCTTGCCGTCCTTGTCACCAGAAACATGCCCTTCAGGACCAGTAATCCAGGATTCAACTGCTGCAACAAATGCGTCAAATGGTAGGCCTATTTCCAGAGATCTCTCGCTATCAAACTTTGTGGAAAAGACGATGAGTTAGATTCAATTAATGGAGGATGTGTAATCAACGTGAACCCAAAAACTCCAAACATACAAGACGAGTAATGGATTCTTCAGTGAGAGTACTACCCAAAGTATCCAAAATGGTTTGCAATTCGACACGGTTGATGTGATTGTCTTCGTTTGTGTCATAGTATCTGGCATAGGTAAGCAGAAACAGTCGGCGCAACTCTAGATAGAAGGAAAAATCAGATGATTGTGCCCATCGCGATCCGCTGCAGTGAACTGATCTACTGACCAATTACAGGAACAAATCGTGCCCTCAAAATGATATGAGTTGGGCCTTCTTTCGTTGGCTTGGCGACCTGGATTTCCAATGGTCATCCAAATGTCATCCCATGTGATTTTTTTGTTGTTATCTCACGTACCGTCAAATTGGGAGTCAATTCCAAACTAATACCAACAGTCCATCCAGTCTTTGGATTTGCGACAGCTTTTGAGACCTCATCTTTACATAATCTGATGACGCGTCCTATAGGTGCTGAAGCAGATGCCAATGCCTTGCCTCCTGAGAAATGATCCTTGTCGTGTACAGTTATTTGGACTTGATTGCTTGGTATGTATGGCATGACGTGTCTAGAAATGCATGTTGAAGCAGCTCATGGTCATTTTTCTTTTGCTGTTTTTGATTCGATGATAACGAGATTTTACGTACAAGCTCAGTTGCTCATTCCAGACGGGATCAGTTGCATGAACAATGACCCGAGTACGATATGACTCTTGCCTGCACATGTGCCAAAAAAGGCGTTGAGATCTCGTCATGCAACTGAAGTTCGAGTAGAAACCTTGCTCACTTGTATCCAATGACGACAAATGGGTTGCAATCACCCACTGAATTTCCTTTTGGTGTTGGAAGATTGGAAGCGGCCACCACTAGAGTGCCGGTGGAAAGACTTAAAAGGAACCAAAACGGATCCAAAGAGAGAGTAAATGGAACCATACCATCAAGCGAGACCAATCCATCCTTTTCTGAATCTTGAGAGAATTGACCTATTTCCACGCGAATACTTCCTGCATATGACTTTCTCTTTGACGTGAATTGCTCATAGTGCAATTGTTCGAATGTTTGGGCTGGTTCAACGGGTAATGCTATTCGACAAAAAAGGATTACCACGATTTCTGTAACGTGATGGAAGCACAACACCAGGCACACCATAATAAGCTCCACCCATAACTTGCTCAATAGCATCAAGAACGGATTGATCGACCTCTCCAACTAGACCAATCTTGACGAGTAGATCTCCACTTGCAGCCTTTTGTCCTGGCCGGCTACCGCTACTTAGTGGATACCATATGGGTACGTTACGCTGATCTTCAAACATGGGTGCTGAGCATGCACGGAAGAAGTCTGCCAGAGACAATTCCAAACGTCCAAAGTGAGCAGTTCCTGTTGGTTTGGTGTCACAGAGTAGGATTTCTAGTGTTGGGATGCGGTTTGTAACAGATCTATAAGTGACGAGGATGTGAGAGAATGTTGGAGGTGTATCTGAGTTGTGTGAAAAGATCCTACATGTCAAATTCGACATTCCAGTTTGAGTTGATTCGGTTTGAAGTGACAGAAGTCTGGAAGGTTTGTGAGGAACCTCGTGAATCACCAGTTGTCAAGTTGACGTATAAAGAGCTGGAGCCCAATGCGATGGCTGTTTCATCCGTGAGATTGCGTCCTTGAATTACTACAACGGGACAAGACGTCAAAGTCATCAGCATGCGGTGAACAAAGTAACGGTGTCCGATGCAATACCTTGTACTTTGAGAGTATGTAACTTGAAATTAGCAGCACGTAAAGCAACAAATCCCAAACGGCCCCAAGGATTCAGTGCAAGGAATGGATACCAAGACAGCAATGCCAACCCAGCGTTAGACAGAGCATTCAAACTGAGTGATGAAAGCGAGCTGACAGCACTGTTTAGGAAGTTGGAATACGATGAATACGGTTTGGGCGGTATAGGTTCTTCATCGACAGAATCTGCTTGTGATGCTTGTGAACCACGATCCCTGGCCAACATTGATGGGCGCGTGTTACTACAAGATGGTTATTGTCCTGCGGCGGTCGGTTTCAGTATCAATTCTAAATATACTACTCTCTCTACCGCGTCAGAATGTTAAAAGCCTTACTTGAAACAAACGAGTTGTTTTTCAACTTGAAAAAGATCGAAACATTGAAAATAGTTCTGGAGTAGATCCGCACGACACGAGCAGGACTCTATATAAATCGCCACATAATGTCACCTTTAGGCGAATGGATTCTTATACTGTTAATGGAAATGGCCGTGATCTTTGATGTTGACTTGGAGTATGGATATAGCATCCCTCCTGCCTTGCACTTTGACGACTACGAACCATATTCAAAGTCATTCGATGACTCCAAATCAACCTATAATTCCTCTTATAAAGCCATGGATTACACAGTCTTCAATCCCATACACTCGACATCAGGAATAGCAGGAATCAAAGCTGCGAACGATAGGAGACTCCCATCATGGTTTACCATAGATGGAGAACTCTCACCAACGCCGGTAGTAATTAAAGGTGTCAAGAGGAAGAGGGCAGGCGCAACAGCTTAAAAGCACAGCAGGAACAACGGACGTTTGGAATTGTCTTCAGATACGACAATTGTACATAGTAACTATATAGGGACGTAGAGAACATATTGGAATAAAAAGAGCATAACTCTGTATTTTAAAGTTTTGAAAGCCAACTGAGACAAGTGAAACCGTGTCAAACTTTGAAACTAACTCTTGCAACGTCAAGATCCGGAGGTTATCGCCTGTTCGCAAGGGGCACACTAGCCAGACTAGCATAGGGCAAAATATCTTTCTTTCTCTCCACCTTGGTAACGTCAGAGACTACCTCCGAACACTCTTGTCTTTTTGCTCACTAGCAAACTTTCTTGCAAAGTAGCCAGCAAGAATACATTGAGCTCAATGGCGCCTGGGCCGAGGGAAGCGCCATGGCAGACAGAGGCCAGATCTAAGGACCGGCTTGTAGGTGCTCGTCCGGCTCCATCCAACTTTGATGTCGAAGGCTATGAGCACATCAAGGATCTAGCCTCCCATGTCGCACCACCACACCATACTAATGAACGCAAGTGGGATTTGGTATTTCGTAAATCATTATCTGTCCCCTCTCAGCAGCACCAAGACCCGCAGCAGTATCAGTATCAAACTCCTCCGGCTTCACCACGACCAAAATCACTCTGGCCTAGTAGTCTAGCAAAGAGAAGCAGTAATAGTAAACGGGGCTCCATTGAAGGTCAATATGCAGGTGCTCCTGTGTTGATTGTAGAACCACCCCACGATGACCAGGTTCCCGTTGAAAGCCAATATCGCATCACTGCTCGAACAAACCACGACCTGTACACAGTCATTCCATCTGGCGGTGACGCCAATACAACTATACATAGCTCCCCTTATGGTGTAATCTCGACTCGAGACGTAGATCCGACTGCAGATCATCCAACGTTAAACCAACAGGCCTCGGATCTCACTTTAAACAATAATGCTTCACCGTGGCCAGAGAATACCGAACATCAACATCAGACCCCTGAGCTCTCTTTAAACGATACGCCCTCACTGTCGCCAAAGAGAAACGAACGTAAACATAAACCGTGGCAGTTATTTGGATCAAAGAATCACGAACCAGTAGCAGCACCAGTAGATACCGACTCGAGTGAAGTTAGTCAAGTGAGATTTGACAGTACTCCAACTCCAAGTGAGACTCGAGAAGCTGCTGCTACTGCTGCTGCATCATCATCACCCAGAAAGGGCAACTCTCGTTCTAGGGCTCTAGAGAGAGAAATGGCTCGAGCTGCTCGCGGTAACGAAGATTCAGCCTTCCTCCCGCAATCATTTTTGAGCAAGAGACTACAACGAAAGATGCCCAAGGAGAACTTGAAGGACGAGCCTGTGGTTAATGCTACTAATATGGAGCAACTACCACCAATAGCATCACCTTATCCAATAGCTAGCAATGTACCTACTAAGAATGCACTTGATTTAAGCCCACGCAGCTCTTTGAGAAACAGTAGTGCTAATGCTAAACGTAAATCCATTAATAAGTCGTTGGGTATCGAGTCGCCACACCCGCCGTTGCCTGTACTCCCAAACAAGCATGTATTCTCAGATCCGCAACGCACAGCTCTTACTGCCTTGGTCGACACGTATATATCACCGTTAACTGCCCTCGAAACCGACATCCTCGTAGAAAGCCATTTATCGCACTTCCCACCACCGCCCGGCGAAACACTAGATTCTTATAGAGATGCTTTGAAAGCATTTGCTTCAATGAGTGCTTCTGAATTGGGTGCTGTAGAAGGTATCTCACGAGTCCTTGTCGGAGGACCAGCAGGATCGAAACGAGAATACGATCGAGTATTGGTTAGTCGACTCTTATCAACACTGGCCAATCCACTTGCCTTGTGGTCCATCCTCCCTAATAAACTGGTGCCAAAGGACATGAGATGGAAACCATTTGCTTCATTTAGTCGTAATATCCGTGAAGAAGTCGTTATTGGAATGACGGCTTCCAAGACTAGATGGGTTCAGGAGGCGCTTCTATTGGTCAGCTCATTGACGTATAATATTGTTTACTCAAAGGCTCAAATGCCTGGTCAACAACAGCAACAGCAGCAGCAACAACAAATGCAACATCAGGAGCAACCATCAACAACAGAGACTACAGATACTAATATTGTCGTTGACACCTCAAAGAATCCAGCATGGCGTACTATGGGTTACGAGGGTCCTGTAGTAGAATGGGAACGTCGCCATGTACAATCTGGTGGTGGTGGATTTAGATTCATTGATGTTGAAGCTTGGGGCGAAGTCCAACGTAGAAGAGCCAGTTTCCTCTATGCTGGTGGTGGATTTGTCCAAGGGTGGGGACTTAAACGTAAACCCATCGAGTTTGAATGTGATGTGATTGTTATTGGCAGTGGTAAGCGCTGATTCAGAATCTGCACTTGCGCTTTTTCTTTGTTGTAATCCGCCTCATCAATTGGCATCGTACTCAAATGTCTTCATTTGTTAGGTGCCGGTGGTGCAGTTGTAGCTGCTGAAGTCAGTAAAGCAGGATACAAAGTCATTGTAGTTGAAAAGGGAATGTATGTTACCCCCTCTCGAGCTGCTGCTGCAAATGTTGACTTGGAAGTTGAGATGTTTGAGGGTGATAATTTAATGCATTCCGAAGACTTGAAAACTACCGTACTGACTGGTTCGACATGGGGAGGTAGTGCTATGGTAAGCGCATTGTTTACAGACAAAGATTGGGTTGTTTGTTTTTCATTCTTTTTTGCAATCACCAAATCACTGATTTTTCTTACCAATTCAGGTTGGATGGAATGCTTGTGCAGCTCCTCCGGCTGAAATACTATCAACATGGGCAAAAGCCTTCAATCTACCCAAACTTGAAACGGAGTCCTTCCAAGGATCTCTTAGCTACATTCAGAGTCGCGTACAGGCTGCAACAAAAACACCTGCACCTCGCTCGGCTTCTGAAATACTGAAGAATGGTGCCACGACTTTAGATTATTCAGCTAGTCCCATACCTATATCTGAACATGGTCATGATCCAGGCTCTTTTTTGAAGGAAGCCGGAGATTTTGGTGCCATCTTTATGGAAGGTGTTCGTGCTACTCGTATTAATAGATCACGACCACATGGTAAAGCTACAGGCATTGAAGGTGTCTTAATAACTTCTGGAACTCGTATCAAAATCACGGCCTCCATTGTAGTAGCTGCTGCCGGTGCCTTAGCTACTCCACGACTGTTACAAGCGTCGGGCCTCCGTAACCCTAATATTGGTAATAATCTAGCATTGCATCCATCGACATTGGTATTAGCTACATCAATGAACCAAGTAGTCGAACGCGTCGATGCACTAAGTTATGAATGCACTGAATCACCATCTATATCTATTACTACTCCATCGTTGAGTCCATCCGTGCTGGCACGGATGACGCCCTTTGTGTCTGGATTCCATCATAAACTAATAATGGCTCGATACCGTCATCTTGTCCCGCTCATGGTGACCTCAACATCTCGACATGTGCCTCATCTTAATGCCACAAAGAACACGAACTGTCCTAAACTAATTGCCCCAATAACGCCATCCGAAACCACCCATCTAGTCAAGGGTGCTTTGGTTGCTTCCGCTCTCGCTGTAGGTGCTGGAGCAAACCGAGTATGGAGTATGCAAAGTGGAGTAGAAGAATATAAAGTATCACCTAATGACAAGTCTAACTTAACTCGAGGACCCTTCTGGGAATGGCAAAGTCAGGTCAATCGTGCTGGATTGGGACCTGTTATTAGCACAGCTCAGTCTGGAACGTGTCGCATGGCTGGGTCTGATGATATGGGTGCTGTGAATCCTGATGGTGAAGCTTTTGAGGCTGTTAATTTGTTTGTTGCTGATGCTTCGTTGTTGCCTACGCCGCCTGGAGTCCCGTAAGTTTGCGTGTTATTGTTGTGGTTTGTGATTTTTGACATTTTTGCGCTTTGTTTAGGCCAATGTTGACTACTTGGACTTTATCCCACATGGTGGCGCAACATGTTGTGGAACGGTTGGGCCACTTGGGTGTGATGAAGGAAGTCGACTTGGAAGAAGCAGGGGTGTTACATGATAAGATTTAAAAAACAACAGTCTAGCAATGTGAATATTATATCATGCTCTATTTTGAACCTCTTTAAAACTACAATAAATTAGCATTTTGGAAATCCGTGTCTACATCGCGATGATGCTTTCGTGATGAGTAGGCACCAAATCCACAAGACATCTTTTGATTTCATAGATGGTTAGGAACAGAATAGTAGTGCAGACTGCTAGCAAGCTAGCCATCCGGACATTACAACGAGCAGGTCCACGTATCTCATCGTCTCTCTGCGTGGAAGCTCCATCAATCGAGCTTCAACAAAAGCGTTACGCTTCATGGTCCTCAATTAACGATAACTATACCACCAGAAGGAGTAAACGCAAAGAGCTTACATCTGGAAGCAGCAATCAAGCCTCATCAACCGATGGAGTACAGTCTGACGAGCATCCAATCCCAACATTTGTGGATTTCAAACCTCACGGTGAATTGACGGAAGACGTGGGCAATAAGTCGACGTACCCGTACTATATCTCACAGGCTACTATAAATACGTTGCGGGCGCTGATTGGAAGCCAGCTGTCACCATACGGTGCTGGAAATCCAAAATGTTTGGTCTTGTCATGTCCGCACGTTGGTGCGGGCAAGTACCTAGATGCTACGATTAGAGCTGTGGCACGAGAGCAGCATGCTCATGTGGTAGTTATTGATTATCCGTCAGTGGTACGTGGTGTGAAACTGGTTCAAAAAGCAAAGAAACCGCAACAACAGCAGCAGCAGCAGCAACAGCAGCCATGGAATTCATTCGCTACCTTCCCGATATCGAAATCATTCTCGCCGAGTAATTTTGAACCGGTGAATTCTAATGTTGTGGCATCAGATGAAGATGGAGCCAACGACGACGACGGTATACAAAACATCGATTGCAATGTTTGTTTTTGGTTGAACGCGAGATCTAACTGTTTTCGTCTACGTGTTTAGATATAGACCTATACGAAGAATTTGAGGACGCGTACGATGAAGATGATCGTAAAAACGTCACGAATTTGGCTCGTGAATTCCAACGTAGTATGCCAGTTAGATTAAATCTGACTGTAAGGCCTGATCAGTCTATAGTACTTGCTGAACCAGGCAGGAACGACATAGTGTTGAGCTTTCAGCAGACACCGCCACCGTCTGATGGAAGGACGACTAGTTCTAGTAGTCCACCGTCGTCATCGCCTTTAGCTTATTATGCGCATGATTTGAGTCAGCTCGAAATACAGCAGAGTGTTAGAGAGTTGGGTAATTTCCTGGTCGCAACGTCTCGAGCCTCACCAAACAATAACATAATCATAAATATTCGAGACTTGTCTGATGCCCTACAGTATGGTGGCAACTCGGGCCAATACTTTGTACAGTCTGTGCTAGACATGATGACCGCATTATCGCCACATCTACCTATAGTGTTAGTAGGATCGTGTCATCCTTCAATTTTTGAAGCTGGTAACCTCAGTAAAGACGCTGCATTTTACCACTTACTTTTCGATGGTGGTGCCACGCCCAAAGACTCGTCAATACCCTCGACAGCAGCAGCACGTAGTCAATGTGGTGGTTTAAATTTATGGCACGATAATCAGTTGTTTGCTTCACCGATAGACCAAGCTCTAGACTCATTTACTCGTATCGATGTGCCACCGCCGTATAGTAGATTATTCGCACCAGAATCGCATGCAGAAATGGAGGTAGCGCTGGATAAGTGGCTGTCACGGATGGAACTGGATATGAGGAGGGAAGTTGCAGAGACGAATTGGACGTCAATACGTATGTCCTGTTTGTCGCGCGGTGTAGAGTTTTCAGATGGTGCTAGTGTGACACCGCCAGGTAGAGAGTCGCATCGATTGCGTGTTAATAAACCGATTTTGGAGCAGTATGTTTGGCCGTTGGAGAAAATAGATAGGTTGGTTGCTTTGGCTGTTGGACAATCCGTGACTGGAAGCACCCAACGTAGTAGAGACACTCCGATAGTCTTGTCGCATCACCATTTCATCAAAGCATTGACTTTGATTCAAGATGGCGATGTGTCTCAAATCGCAAATGAACGATTTGGTGAGACTGAGCAGACTGATGACAAGTTATTGCCTACTACCACAAATCCCAAAGGTGGTCGAGGTGGTGCTGGGTCTAATACCGTAGTTGTAGAAAATACAGCAGTGAATCGTACTCCGGTTTCTGGAATTCCTCCAGCCACCGCAACTACTCAAGCGTATCAACAACAATCTACTGCAGCAAAGACAACTAAAGATGAAAGCAGTCGAGGCTTAAAGTCAACACTCCAGTATCTGAAAAGTAGAGGTCATGAAGTTTCGGCGTATGAGAAGAAGATGCTGTCGACTGTGATTGATCCAACTTCAATATCGGTTACTTTCGCTGATTTGGTGCTTCCGGCTCCAACAAAGCTTGCTCTGCAGACTCTCGTAACTCTGCCACTGCTCCGGCCTGATCACTTTGCTACTGGGATATTGTCACAGCATGGACATAATGGAGTTTTACTTTTTGGACCACCTGGAACAGGTTTGTTATGTAGAAGACTTGTTGACAGATTATAGCAAAAAATACTAACGTCTGTTTTATGTTAGGCAAAACACTTTTAGCTAAAGCTGTAGCGAAGGCATCTGGAGCTAGATTTATGGCGCTCGCATTATCTGATATCTTTGATAAATATGTTGGAGAAGGAGAGAAGCATATCCGTGCAGCTTTCTCGTTGGCTAGGAAACTCGCTCCTGTCGTTATATTTATTGATGAAATTGATGGAATATTTAGTGCTCGAAGAGGAGATGGGTGGAATGCTAGTAGGAGAGAAATTATCAATGAAGCAATGTCGGAGTGGGATGGGTGAGTGTCGTCATTATCTGATATAAGAGTGAGGTTTTTTATGCTAACACTATGCAATCACTCAGATTGAACTCAGATAACAAAGGTGTTATAGTTATGGGAGCTACGAATAGGCCGTTCGACTTGGATGATGCTGTGTTAAGGAGAATGCCTAGGCGTATACTTGGTATGTGCTGTGAAAGGCAAGACTTAGCGCACACTCATCGTTTATATCTTAGTTGACTTGCCAACGGAGGCTCAACGTGCCAGTATTCTCCAACTGCATCTCGCCAAAGAAAATTTAGACTCTTCTGTATCTATTACCGATTTGGCTAAACGCACCAACATGTATTCTGGCTCTGATCTGAAGAATTTAGCTGTCGCTGCCGCATTATCGTCAGTGAAGGAATCTGTGATGAGAGAAATGCTGGGACCAGAAGGTGCCGATATGCCTCGTGCAGAGGTACTATCAAAGCTGGACTCGATGGAAGGATATAATGAATCGCTGATGACTGTTGCCAATACTGCTGGTGCAGCAAGTACCAGTGAACGCGTTATACATATCGAGCATTTCGAGAAGGCATTCTCTGAGATCTCGGCCTCTATAAGTGATGACACCCAATCTCTCGTTGAATTGAAGAAGTGGGAGCAACAATTTGCTAAGAATGGTATCAAAGTGCCAAAGAGTGGATATGGCTTTTCATTTAATAGCAATACTGTATAGATTTTGACCCAAGTTTTTACTCATATTCATCTTTTGCATCTCTTCATAATCATGTCTCTTCGGCCGACGCGTTTTGCATAAGTTGCTCGTCGCGTTGAAAGCTTTGAGTTTGTCGTCAGTTCATCCAATTGTGATGAAGATCAAGCTTCCTAGTCGAAAAGTAGTGGAGGAACCCCTAGCGGATGAGATCTCCAAATACAAAGAAATCGTTGTAACCGACCTCATCATCAAGATCGACGGTGCCCAAGTCGAACGAAATGTTCATAAATGTAAAAGTTTGCAAGCATTGATCTTCCACGGACGCCTAACTAACTGCCTCTCAAATGTAGTGATCCTACTTGGACAGATCGAAGCACGGAACCGGCTCTCTGACTATTGCATCGATGCCTGTTCTCTCGAACATCAGGACACCATAACGTTGAAACCAGAAACAACTGAAACCGAACTAGATTACTTGATCAAGGCAGCATATAATTTCGGATTTGATTTCCCAGAAGGATGGGGCTTACAAGATGTATTCGAGAGTGAAGCTCTCTCTGATGTCACCATAACAGTCCTCGATCACAATGACAACATATATGAATTGCCAGCCCACAGATTGATCATCACTACACGGATACCGTTCTGCCGGGCATTGTTTAGCTCGCCGTGGGCTGATTCGTCGTCTAGTGTCATCAAACTCGACGAGACCTGTGTCACTGCATTTACACTGCCGTTCATTCTCAAATACGCTTATGGGATACCACTCGAACTACCCACCACGTCAGCTGAACTGCAGGCAATCTACTCGGGAGCCGACTATCTAGGCATGACGGGTCTCTGCTCTCGAATCATCAGCACCTTGTATACCCACACAACCGATACTGAAATCCTGCGTCTCGCTCGCTGGGCCAAAGACGTCAACCAACCCGATATAATCAACGATTGTGAAAAAGTAATGATTGAGAACTTTGAGGCTGTTTGTAAATGGTCGAAAACCACTTTTTGGACATTGTCTAGTGACACGGAGCTGAGAAGTGCTGTTATACGGGCTGTTGTTGATGGGATTACTGTGACGAATTGTGTTTCGTATCTGGGTATGGCTGTTAGGATACCGAAATCTATAAGTGGGAAGTCGCAACGTGAGGCTATGAATATTAGGGATGCGTGTGATTTAATAAGGACGAGAGCAAAGGATACAATCGTGGCTTCGTTTCCTGAAGTGTGTGAGAAGAGCTCGTATCTCGTTAGACTTGTTGGTGGTGCTGGATTTGGAGCAGAATATGTCGAAGAGACTTTGAAAGCTGGTAAGTGATAAATAGTGTTATCATTGGCAAAAACAAGTATCCATAATTGTAATGAATTCTAAAACTTTTAGCTTCTAGTCACTGCAAGCCTGAAGGAAACAAACGTCATATCACATATACAGACCATTCAACGGCTCAGAGAACGCTCATTTGCGTCATCAGGACGGTCTGATGTTCGTGATATGGTCGAAGAAGCTTACAACCAATGCATCCAGTACGCAACACGAAGATGGATATCACTCAAACAGAAGGGTGAACTGAAATTGCTTGATACCACTGCAATTTATCGGATCGCAAAAGGCAAGTGTCCTGTAAGAATTCTGTGATTAAGCTCGTTTTTTTGTCTCGTCCCATTTCTAACCTTGTTTCAATTCAATTGTAGGAGCATTCGTAGAACCAGAAACACTCTTACAAGATGATCATCTGATACGGAATGGCACTGGTCGCATACTCGGTGAAGAGACAAGAGGGATACGGCCAGTTTTACTGGATGCTGATAGAACTCAGAGACCTGCAACAGCACCTGTTGCTTCTCCAACAAGATCTGGGATAGTTATAGGTTCTCGAGTACTCGTGGCTGGCAGGTCAGGAGGTCCGGGTGTGGTGAAATTCATCGGGACTCCAAGGCGTGGGCTAGGTGAATTTCTAGGTATCGAGCTAGATGAGGCTCGTGAGGGAAGAGGAGGAGACGGCAGTATTGATGGTGTGAGGTATTTTGAAACAAACAATCGCGGTGTGTTTGTGAAGAGAACAAGTGTTAGGCTACTGTTGTAATAATTTAAGTTTTGATGTAAAACAAACCCCACTCATATAATATCATTTTTGCACATACATTATTCTCTATGAAAATAGCCGTGACGGGGTTGTCGTCAAGATCTGGGTTTTGAGTTGTTTTCTCGAAAACGGTTTGAAATGGCGCCAGTTAAAGTAAAAGAACTTTTTGCGTCTCGGTTTGCTTAGCGCGAATTGATCGTATCTTCATCTTTGCGCTCTTGGCGAGAGCAGGCAAGTGTTCAAAAAAATACTCAACCCTAACCCTTGACAATGCTGTTTTTGATTGAATCTGACCTCTCACTTACATTTCAGAGTCAAACCTGCTGTACAAGAAGTTACAGCTAACAGAATCTATAAAGACAAGTTGATTACGTTTGGTGCCTCTGAAACCTCTACAAGGCACCACCATCACCAACAGCGTCCTCACAAAAGAATATGTCATTACGTGACTTGCGCGGCCATGGACCTTATGAACCATCTCGAGAGATAGGCCAGGACGGTGCAGGGTCCCGTATGGGCTCTGATGGTAATTTACGAGGTAGTCTGACACGTGGACAAGGCAAAACATTGGGCTCGATTGTTTCTGGTACGCAGTTGATGTTTTTGGTGCCAAGGTGATATTAGTCACGACGATACTGATTTGAATGATGGTACGATTTAGATTTTGGAAAGAAACTGTCGAGCAGGAATTTGGGTGAATCTATGAGGAACGTGTCTAGTCCTAAAACTGGTAGGTACTTTTTAGACTCGTTACTGCTGCAACCACAAAGTGAAGCCTAAAGCCAACTTTCTGGAACTAGCTGAACCAGAATTGAAATCAGCTGTATCACTGCCAAGAATAGCGCCATCAACACCAACTGCAGCAACACCAGAGCCCAAAGAAGACGAAGAAACACAACCACTCGCAAGGCGTGAATCCTTGAGCAAGAAATTGAGAGCACGACCAACTAAAGTTGATCTTAAATTACGAAATATTTTACGAGGTATGAGTATGCTCTTGCATGCACTGTTGTAGTCGCGTTTCTGACTTGCGTCCTTTTTTTCGATTGTAGTGGACAGTCAAGATTCAATGACGGATTTGACAAATGCTGGACCATTAGAAAAGAGTCTTAATTTCGAAAGAAGGTCTGAGCAGCTGCGATCGATATTGAAGGCTCGACCTGCCAAGAGTGAATTGCATGACATGAATATTCTCAGAGGTAACCAACTACACATCGTTGGTTACAATTGCACCTTATATATATACCAAATGATTCTAACCAGTGATTCTCATGCAGGTGGCGAATCAGACATAAACCTCTTCCACGAACAAGAACGCAACCGCCGCCAATCACTACAAGACGTCCTAGAAGGAAAACTGACAAATCGTCCACGAATTGATGAAATCGATGCCAAAATCCTCAATTTCGCAGAAACGGTCGAAGTGCTGCCAACATTCCGTAAATCAGAGTATAATCGTAAACCGGATGGAAATGCCACGTTTAGGAAACTGACGCCGCAGTTGAAGGTGCAGATTCGTGAAGAGTTGAATCAGTTCAAGAAGAATGAGATGCCTGTGCATGAGAATAGTGAGTCTGGTTTGGTGCCTTTGAAGACAAGGATTGCTTGGCATTGACACCCATTTTTACTAGGTCGTCCCAACACGTGTTTCCATTAATCAGCAATATAATGATTCTGTACACCACATTTAAGGGAAGCGAATTTTTACTATAGTGAAACCAATTATATACAATACAAAGTGTAGTCTATAAACAAGATTCATTGGAATGTTTTCATGTAAACTCGGATAAAGGAGGCAAGAATTCAGCTTGATACAGTCCATCTACGAATTCTCCAAGCCATAAATCCAACAATCGTGGATCTTGAGCCATAATTGTGTTATAAAGATCATTGGGAAACGGTACCTCTTCAGCCTTCATAACTATATCACGTTTCCGTCTTGGTCGATTTATCGGTTCAGAGTCTCTCATATACGATACGGGCTGAACTATACTATATTGTTGTTGTATTGTTGCGACTGGTGGTTGTTGTATAGCTGGTTGTGGTGAGTCCATAACTGCAGTCTTCTTGGTGATGCCTATTGCTAATATATCAGACAATGAAGACGAAGAATCATGTTGTGGTGTACTGTCACCACTAGATACTAATCCCTGGACGTGTTTTTGTTGGCTTACAATGCGACGAATGGCTCTACTTATTTCACCCTTGGCATACTCTATCAGCGGTTCAACGGCCTTGACGTTGATGTCATCCAGTCCTTCGGGTAAAGAAGACTTGTTTCCGGCCTTCTTCCATTTGTTGTCGGCCATGCGTACCTGTTTACTCACGCTTTTAAAATTATTGGTTGCAGTGTTGCTCGCGTGTATCGGGAGTTCTATAATTGAGCCTGGGCCGTGTCCTAATATTCGTTCTGTAGCTTCGGCAGCTTCTATGTTCGCAATCCTGACTTGCTCCTTCAGCTCTCGTAACTTGTCGTCACCTTCCATCCTTGATCGTAGTGCTGCTAATTGTGATGACTCCCAATGTGCTTCTGCCTTTTTGATTTCAGTAACCGATTCTGCAGCTCGTTTAGCATCTGATAAGCGTGGCCACTTATTTATTGGTTTTCGCTGAGCAGTGCTGCCACTATTAGGGCGAGATTGTCGCTTCCGCTTACTCAACTCATCGTCCATGAGTTGTCGAAAGGATTTAACTAGTCGAGCATCCGATTTCTCAAGTCGGAGATCTATTTCAAGGTCTGCATTACGATTTCGGAATACGAGACCTGACTTGGTGGATATTTTGCGGGATGATGTTGCCGGTATGATAAAGTCTGGTTTTGAATTCATCTTTTGGAGCGTCGACACTGGATTATTCGTGATAGTAGCAGCATTGGTATGCGCAGGAAGTGGTGGCGGTTGTTGATTCTCCTTTGGTATCTGAAATCGTAATGTAGGTTTACGTCTTATCGGTGTGACTGGTTTCACTGCAGCAGCAGCCTTGACCTTTTTCTGCGGCTTAACAGGCACTATCTCCTGCTTACTAGTATTAGGATGCTCTAATACAGCAATGTCCTCCTCGTTCTGTATCAGATCTAGCACTTGATCGTCATTCAATGGATATATCTGTTGATGCACCTCCGTTTGCTTTCGTTCCTCATAGTTCTCGGCCTGCCAGCCAGTAGGCGGATACCATGCAATATTATGCGGTTGGTTGATGTTTGATTCTTGGTCGTGTGTCTTCCATACATTGTGATGTGGTGTTTGGTAGTGGTTGTGATGTCGCGCTTGATCGAGGATGTGTTGCTTCACTTGGTGTGGATCTATGGGGACTGGATTGTTGTTCTTGCCTAGTACGGCCAGTTCCAGCTTGATTAGTTCTCGTGCTCGTTTCAGTCTGGCCTCCATCTAATGAATTTGTTTGTTTGGTGTTGGTGTATATGAAGTATATGAATTGAAGCGATTGATTTCAGGTAAGAGGACGAGGATTCGAAACTGATTTAACACGTTATTGATATGTAATTCTTGTCTACGCTACGTACCTCTAACTTGTTTTCCTTCAATACCCTGTAGATCAGAAAATGGTAAACGTCGACATGGATAAAGTGCATCAGGTCGTCGCGGATGCCATAAAAGCTCACTCTGCTGAGCTTGAGGACCTGAGTTTACAAGTACGGTGTCGTATTGTAGGCGCATTCACTTGCTAACTTTGTCATCAACGTAGATACATTCAAAACCCGAACTAGCTTTCGAAGAACATTTCGCGCACGATCTTCTCACTACTTATCTACAAGGTCAAGGCTTCATCGTCACGAAGAATGCATGCTGTCTGAAGACTGCCTTCATTGCAGAATACACACCCGAAAAACATCACGACAAGGAGCTCCTAACGATCGCGTTTTTGTCGGAATATGATGCGCTCCCAGTCATAGGACACGCATGTGGACACAATTTGATTGCCATTGTTGGTATCGCTGCTGCATTGGGCTTCAAAGCTGCAATGGACGAATTCAAAATACCTGCTAGGGTAACATGTGTTGCAATACTCCCCAACGCACCATCTTTCTGACTCAACCACCAACTCTCTAGCTTAGAGTATATGGAACACCTGCTGAAGAAGCTGCTGGTGGCAAGATAAATATGATTGACTATGGTGCTTTCAAAGATGTAGATGTTGCGCTGATGGGTCACGGAGGCAACAAGAGTATCGTCTATTGCAATGCTCTTGCTATGCAGACCATACATGTGCACTACTATGGAATATCTGCTCATGGTCAGTTCGCTAGCATGAATCCGTTGGTTCGAGTTTCGAGGCTTTTTGTGGAGGGTTGGCACACTCAATGGATTCTGAATCTATCGCAATTTGCATACAGTTCCTATCTGAAGCCTGTTTTCCTTTTTTAGGAGCGGCTGCGCCGTGGGAGGGTATAAATGCGTTAGATGCCATCGTCACCGCCTATACCTCGATAAGTAATCTCCGGCAACAGACCCTCCCAACGAATCGGTAACTAAATCTTTTAAATAATCCGCTTCAATCCCTCACGCTTCTTGTTACAACTAGAATACATGGCGTCATTCACGAAGGAGGAGCCGCGCCAAATGTGATACCAAACTATACACGTGGCGAATGGTATATCAGAGCAAAGTATAGAGACGATTTAGAAGCCTTGAGGCCCCGAGTGCTGGCCTGCTTTGAGGCGGGTGCCAAAGCTACAGGATGCACTTACAAGGTTGAAATCGAAGAGCCATTTTATGATATCAAGGCCAACGATGCACTTTGCCAGATGTACACCAAGGTTCGTGCGGAGTGTTCGAGAACCTTTAGTCAAGCTGGGAACGTACTAACTTCTGAAAACTACGTAGTACGCAGAAAGGGAAGGTGTTGTGATGTCGTCAAAAGAGGTCCAACTCGCTTCTCTTCTGGGAAGTACCGACATGGGGAACGTAACATACGTCGTACCTGGTAAGGCCTTTCTAAATCCAAAAATGCTTGTTCAGGGCACTAAAGTGTATTATCTCTCAGGAATTCATCCAATTTTTGATATTGGCTGTACTTCGAACATTCATACCGAGTCCTTCAGGGAACATGCCAAAACTCCCGAAGCTCACGAAGCTGCACTCAAGTGTAGCCGAATACTTTCCATGACAGCTCTTGAATGTATAGCAGATCCTGTTGCCTTAGCCAATGTTCGAAAGGACTTTGGCAACAAATAGAGTTGTCGTTGGAATGCTGTCATTGGTTTTGGTTAGCGGATTGCTGTTTACTGATGTAAGTGTACGGTCTGCTGGAGATGGCCTTGGCCCACCTTGACTTTGGGGGAATGGGTGTTATGTATGTGGTTGTGGTCAGCGAATTGTTCACGCCAAACAAACTGACGGAACATGTAAGAGCTATGAAACTGTTCGTATTTTGAAATTCCGAGGTCACTGAGACTTCGCATTCGATTGAATGTGACTCGACAACAATGCGAAGAACGGTGACTGACCAAGTATATCACGTTCATGCAACACGGCCACCAACCAAAGTTCCACCACCAAATCCTTGCAACATGATGAATATGTTATAGATAAATTAGCGTGAAGCGACCGGCATTCACATCCATCAATGTGTGAAGCAAATCACCACCAGAATCACAATCACAATCAAGCATACAGCCACTTAAAGACACCTCGATGGAGAATAAAGATAGGATGACAGCGGCCTCTGCCGCGTCATTGGTTAGCAGCTTGCTCCTTTCCTCGAAAGGCAAGAGCAATGTTCAAGACGAGTCCATATTCGGGTCATCGGATTTCCTGGATGGCGATGCCACTGGCGAAAATGCAAGCCAGACTGTCGCTTCAAATAAGGTATTCTTCTGCATTCAGCTGGGATCTGCTGTTGTCTTGTTCTGTTTTGAATGCATTCGGACTGTGGACAAGCAAACATTGAACACATTGGTCACAATATATTAGGCCTTGTTTCTGACCCCAACGCCGGAAGGATTGGAGCAGATCAAGACTTCGTTGCATTCTAGAATGGAAGAAGGACAAGGAGAATTCGTATTGGAAATCGGACTAGATGGTAAGCCAAACTACTGATTGCAAGACTTGCAACGTGTACGCTTACGCAACCTTCTTATCGCTCGTATAGACGAGGGCCGTTCGCTAGACTTGACCGATGACGAATTCAACCAATATGTCGACACGGTTTCCAAAACTTGTACTCTGCTCAACGCTACAGTCACGATATTACATCGGCGACACACCCCTCTATTACCAACATCCAGTACTGCAGCAATTATTGCTGCTTTGACAGATGTACCTCCGGAAACTCCAGCGCCGGTTACCGCACCACCGTCTCCGTACAACTATGCTCATTTGTTGGTTCGTCAGAATCCGGGCCGTGTAGAGGATTTGTTAGAGTTACGAGTTGCTGTGGTTGGAAATGTTGATGCTGGTCAGTGCTTGTCGTTTTGTGCTTGTTTTTTATGACGCATAACGCACGCTTGTATTGATTTTCAGGAAAATCTACGTTACTCGGCGTCCTCACCAAAGACTTGTTGGACGATGGTCGTGGTAAAGCCCGTGTGAATCTCTTTCGTCACAAACACGAAATCGAATCAGGCCGAACGTCCTCTGTTGGAATGGAAATCATGGGATTTGATTCCAAGGGACGAGTACTGACGCCATCGTCTATTGGACGTGCAAAGATTACTTGGGAAGATGTTTGTACCGCAGGGTCCAAGGTTTTGTCTTTTATTGATCTTGCCGGGCACGAAAGGTATCTCAAGACGACGGTGTTTGGGATGACGGGTTGTGCACCTGATTTCGTCATGTAAGGAGCGATTACAACAGTTATTTACTTCGAGGCTATTTACTTCTAATAAGTCGCTCATTCCATTTTATTCATGGCTTCCAGGTTGCTTGTTGGATCGAATAGCGGGATGATTGGGATGTCGAAAGAACACGTAAGTGTGTTTGCCGCCAGGCCTTTGTGGCATTGCTTCCTCTCTCCCATTTACCGAATCATCGTTTATGGTTTAGCTGGGGTTGGCTCTAGCATTACAAGTTCCTGTCTTTATTGTTGTCACAAAGATTGATATGGCTCCAAAGAATGTTCTTGAGGCCACGCTGCGGTAAAACAACAAAAACGAAATCGGAACAATTCTGCAACTGCGTTTGAGCTAATTTGTTTTGCTCCTCGTCTTCTTCTAGGCAACTGATAAAGATTCTAAAGTCATCTGGTTGTCGAAAGTTGCCGATGTTCATTAAAAAGACCGAGGATGTTCTCATGAGTGCAAATACGTTTGTTGGAGATCGGTAAGGATATTTTCGCAGTCCACTGTCTTTTGCTTCTCGGGCTTGCATTAACTTGAAATATTTCTCTATAGTGTCTGTCCCATTTTCCAAGTATCGAATGTTACGGGTGAAGGTTTGGACTTGTTGAAACTGTTCCTGAATATCTTGCAACCAAATGGGTATGTATGTTATGGTGGTGTTCCGTTGCCATAGCTACATTACAAAACTTACATTACTTATATTACTACATTACAAAACTAAAAAAATTGCTCAGACGTGGCAAATACCAAAAGGACCAACCCACTGAGTATTCTATTTCTGACCTCTTCAGTGTTCCCGGCGTAGGAACAGTTGTTTCGGGGTATGTATTGTTGATGTGTTGTAGTGTGAAATTGACATAAGAACTGACCACTCCAATACATCAGAACGGTTAATTCTGGTATCGTGCACGTCGGAGATACGTTACTACTCGGTCCAGACTCTGCAGGTCATTTCCAGCCTACTATTGTCAAGTCAATTCAGAGGAAGAGAGTCAACGTTCCCTGTGCATCAGCAGGGCAATCCGCAAGCTTTGCTTTGAAGAAGATCAAGAGAGCTGCTATACGAAAGGGTATGGTCATGCTGTCGAGGAATGCTGATGCCAAGGCGTTTTATGAGTTTGAGGCTGAGATTTTGGTAAGCAACAAAAGCGTATAGTGTATAACGCTATTGCTTTTGGATGACTGCTTAACTGATACGCACATTTTGGAAACGCACAGGTGTTGTACCATTCCTCGACGATAACGCCTCGATATCAGGCAATGCTACACTGTGGTGGTATACATCAGACTACGAAGGTTGTTGGTATTGATAGGCCTCTGTTACGGACTGGTGATAGAGCTTTGGTTCAATTCAGGCATGTAGTCACATCACGTCGTGGATCAATTCCGCCTTCATTTGCATGTTAGTATGCACTTTTTGTCTCACCACTGAAACTACAATAGGTTTCTGATGCGACCTGAATTCATGAAGGTTGGCACAAGACTACTATTCCGTGAAGGACGAACGAAAGGTGTCGGTAAAGTCGTGAGACTCATACCTGAAGCAGAGTCATCGGAAGCTCTAAAGAAGGCCGCTCTCTTACCAAACCCGATAACGAATAAACCGCCAAATCATCCACCTCATCCGCCATTCAGTGCAACAGCGTCTCAATCATCTGTCGCTCCTCCGTTGGTTGATAAGAGGAAGCAGATATCGAAAGCTGCTGCTGCTTGAGTATATTGAACAGTCAGAATAGTAGTCCCTTTACTTGTCTTTTTAGTTTTTTGGAAGGACGTAGCATTTTTATAGTTAGTAGCAATATATTTGCTTACAAGAACCTTGTCTGTTTGAAGAAGATGTATACTGTTTACCGCCGAAGTTGTGTTGAATCGAATAGTGGGGTGATTGTGATGTCGAAAGAACACGTAAGTGTGAAACAGCAGCGTTTTTTTGCCGGCTCGCTTACTCTTGTTGTTTGTTTTGTAGGTGGTCTGGCTCCATCAATACCAATCCATGTCGTTTTCGTTACGATTGTCACAAAGACCGGGTTGTCTGCAAATAATGTAGTGAAGGCCTCGCCGTGGTACCCACAAAAACAGCAAACAAGTGGCAGGACTTCTAACAAGCAGCGTGAGCTAGTTCTAACACTCTTCATTCTTGGACAAGTGGTAAATTCTCAATTCAGCTGGTTGTCGAAAATTGCCAATATTTATCAAGAGGTCGGTCGGGATGTGTTGCAAACGCAAAGTACCCTTTTTGAAGATCAGTATTCGTATACATTTTGGGGAACTTGTGTCTTCTTTTTGTGTTGAGTTGAGCCCAACCTTCCTTATCCAAGTATCTTCCAAAGGCGGCAAGGACAAAACAGATCTGCCAATGGAGTATACACAACTGGCGCGTCCTCTTGTCCCTGCCGTTGATACGTTCGCCTCAGGATATGGAATGTTTGAGAGGTGAACTTTAATGAAATGACCCAAAACGAGATTCGAATATTTTAGTAACAGAACGGGCAATTCTGGCATAGTACACGTTGGAGATACGTTGCTACTTGATCGAGACTTTCCAGGTCTTTTCCAGAGGAACAAAGTCAACATTCCTCACACTTGCAGGGTAATCCGCGAGGCTTTGCTTGGGAGATGATCAAGAGAAATAGGTCATGCTCACTAAGAATGCTGATGCGAATTTATGGGTCTGTGGCTGAGGAATGAGGTACGCAAAAAACCAGATTCCGCATCCCGAATCCTTTCGTTGCTCATCACTCTTGCCTTGAACATGCCTCTATAGGTCATTTACGATTCCTCAACTAGAGATCCCCATACCCTTCAATTGTGGATGACTTTGCCTTCTTCTCCTGTCGGTGATTAGATGGGTTTTTTTTCTCTCTCTCCTCGCATAAGTTTCTAATTCTCCCTGATTTGGTGATAGCAATGCAATGCAATAAAATCAAAAGCAATCAGCTGGATGAGGATGATACCAATCTTTTTATTCTATGAGCGTCTGGTTGTGCTTTTTGCAGTGTGCGGTTTGTCAATGTGCAAATTATACAAATCATATTATACAATCAGGTGTTATAATAACCTCCCCTTTTGTCGTTTCCCTCTTTTTTATACAAACAATTTCATACAAAAAACAACCCGAATGTTCATAAATACCCTACTTCCTCCTCCTCCATTTCCTCTCTGTCTTTACTCTTTGATCATCCCACAATGGCGTTAAAAGTCAACGTACCAACATCAAACAGAGTTTCCACTTCAGCTGAATCACCACGACGAATGTAAACGACATTTCGAGACACTTTTTCGGCATAAACAATCTTGCCACCAAATGAAAGGCAGCCAGCAATTGTTGCGCCAGCAGTATGATACAGTTTGTCGGAGTTTGGTGGTTTTGTTGCGTATAGTTCCATTGCGTAAGAGTATTTTGAGATGTCCTGTTATGTGGGTGGTGTTTGAGATGAGAGGCAAAAGAAGCACTGTATGGACTTAAACAGCCATACCTCCATGACGAATGGGAAGCGTTGAATCTTGCCACTTGGCATGACAATCAGAACTGATAAACCAAATGTTTGAGTGAACGAGACGACTTGACTACCTAAAAGAAACAATAATGGAGAAGAAAGCGTTAGCAAAAACAAACTGCGATTTTCTGCAGAAAATATACCTTGACGTATCAACTCCAAGAACCGACCAGAATCTTGTCCATCATTTCCCAACAATGCAAGATCGTTCCCCTTCAAAACTTTGTGTGGTGGTGGCGATGAAGCAGATCCAAAAGTTGAAGTTGATGTTGGATTGACAGCAGGTGTCATTGATACAGTTGGTGCAGCACACATAAATGGTGATGGAGTCACGACCGGCGTGACAGCACTTGCAGATGATGATTCTTCTGTTTTGACAAGTCGAGCAGCACTACCACTATTATTACTATCATCAGTCTTTTGCCTTTTCTGTTTTCGCTGCATGACTTGCTGCGACGGCTTCTTATCATTCACAACAACTGGAGTAGGATCATCATCACTGCTATCAGTACGTTGGTTCTTGCTGTTCTTCTTTCTCTTTTGTGGTGTGTTGTTTGTTGGAGTTTGTTTGCTGTCAGGTGATGACGATGATGTGGCAGCGGCGTGTGATTCGGACTTGGTCGAGTTTACTATACTAGCAGGACGATGATCATGATGAGGACGTAGATCATCGTCGACCATTGCATCGTCTGATTCCGGGTCAAGAGCTGGCTCCGATGATGATGGCTCGAGGGGTGATGATGATGCCAGATGGACACGGTTACGATCGGATCGTAAGTAGGACATCAGCAGTTCATGGCTGATGTTTGTATATGTATCTACACGGTGAAATATGGATCAGTTTTCCGAAAAGTACAACTTGTCAAAACATGCTCCCAAAAACGTCGACATGTGCCAGATGTTGATGTACATTCAAGTGAATCAGTGGAGACCGTGACGCTGTAGTCTACAAGCACATATGAAAAATTAGATTACTGGCATTTTAATCATAAAACATCAAACGACAACTAACTCTTTCGAAATTTGCCAGACGAAGAGGCATTTTCATGATATTCAGTGATCTTGCCATTTGCTTCCATACTCTCGGAGAATGAGACTCTAGTTCGAGGCATTGCATCTACAATTGCTAATAAATTACAACCATGTATTTGTTTCTAAAAATTTAGGTTTGAGGTCGTGACTTCTGAGCGGATGAGGCAAGACTTTGACAGGCGTCAGAATTGTTTTATGACTTATATACGTGTATACGCTCATATCCTAGTTCTTTCATCCAACAAGACACGTCCTTGTTGAATGACTCTGGTCCGCAGATCATGACAACATAATCAAGCACCCCGTCTTCATTAACCCTAATAGTAGACTCATTTTCCAGATCCAGAACAGCGGGAAGCAACAATTCAAGAGTCTGTCGTGTGAGACGTTGTCCGTATGGAAGTTTCAAGTTTGGAATCCGTTGGTGTTTAGATATGTGCTTTGGAAAACTGAGTGTTAGCTCAAGCAAAAGCTCCCATACACTAAAGTATGGTTACCTTGGATATAACATAATTCGCAGCGATACGTCCTGCACTACGACGTGCAATAGTATCAATATCTTTTCTCAACCACAAATCTTCGACTGTCCGTGCTGAATATATGAGCGTGCTTCGAGTTGGAAAGATGGGCTGTTTTGCTTCGATCGAGAGCAAGATTTGATAGAATGGCGTTATGCCTGAGCCTCCAGCAATCAATATAATGTGCCGAGCCTATTGTGGGACGTGCGTTTGTGTTTGCGAGGGAAAAAAAAACGCCCAGTTTATGGCTGAAATGTGTCACAAGCAATTTGCAACTCACCATGCCAGGAGTATACGTAACTTCATCTATAGGATCTATAGGACCTCTCATATCCACAGTCGATCCAGGCTTCAGCGATTCAAGCAAATGAGACATTTTGCCACTAGGATACAATTTTACCATCAGATCAAATCTCCCAAACACATGAGGATGGGTAGTTGGGGTATACGGTCGTGTTACAGATTCACCATTCTCAGCATGTAATCTACAACAAAACAATTCATTCAGCAAACCACGTCATCTTCTCTGTTTGCAGGCAAAGTTACCTGCAAAGCAAGTGCTGGCTTGCTGACAGATTGAGGCGACGTTCAATACGCAGGACGGGATCTGGCGGAACTTGTCCCACAATATGTAATCCACAACTTCCAACTCTTAAAACCTCAGTAATCGTAAAAGGCCTGTACTCCTTTGCAACCAGCACGACTTCTGCATTGTTTGACAACAGCTCGTCATCTGACGCCTTGTTGATTAGCACGAAATCTCCTAGATCTTCAACAGAAACGAGCCTTCTCTTTAGCTCATCGTTAAGAGTTTGGGTGTTGCGATTGTAAACATCCACCTCGTCCCGAAACACGTCGTAGACACATGGAGTGCAACCTGAAACAAAGGATATGAATTCTATCGATGGAGTGAGAAAGATTTGCGTGCTTTCACCTGTTCCACAACATTGATCAGGAGCTGGCTTGATGGGCTGCAAACACGGTCTGATTTCCCATGCGTCATCACGTCGATAGACACCAGGAGCGAGAGCTGGATCAAAAACACGTCGCGACCGTGCTTTAACCTCCACTAGCCGTTGTTTGAAAAGGGCGATTGCATCGTCGGCCGACATTCAAACTCCAGTCGTCCCAAAAGCGTCGACAGCCTGTGAAACAAGGATGGATAGAATGTCAGAAACCACTGATAAAGCTTCCCAAAGTGACTCTATAAGTCACATACACACTCTCTTACGCTCACAATCCTTCCTCACAGAGATTCCACACCCAAAAATAATTTACAGTCTGATACAACACGTATTAGCAAGAATCGACTTCTTAACCGACCAAGATTTCTTGACTTCCGCTCACCAATCAACAGATATACTCGTCGACTGTGATGTCTTCATAAACGCCGTGCATCAGAAATCGCAACATTTGGTAGACGAATCGGACGCTGAGGTTGCTACTGCTCTGAAAACACGGATTGAGGCATTGAAGAGTCGGTTAAATGATCATCATGAATGGCTTCTTTGTAATAGTAGTGGCGATATCGCTGATGGTGAAGATGTTGGTGTCAAGGACGAGCAACAGAGTGGTGTAGCAAATGCGAGGGTTCCAGATCAACTGATACTGACTGAAGAGGAGGTCAAATTACGTGTACGAACGACGGTATCAACTGCTCAAGTTACAGTAGCTGATGTGGTGAGTGTTGGAACGAAATACCTTTATGCCTCCAACTATTCATCCTTGCACTGTAAATGGCGTGTCGATAATCAACAATAAATCATCACCTATAGATCTCACAAAACGACACTACAAAGCTCTACACCGCAAACCAACTCGTCACCTTTTTCGAAATCGAATTAAAGGGCGTTACACTATCAAACGATAAAGAGAGTCATCAGTTATTGGACGCAACCATCGCTGAGCTCCAAATCAAAGTCCTGGATGGTCTCGCTGGTGAACACCGTGAAGAAAGAAGGACCTTGAATCGTCGGTTGGATACATTGATGGCTAGATTATCATCTGCTTGAATGCAAAATAGATAGGACTTCATGGATAGATATTGAAGGCTAGATTAGCGTCTGCGTGAAGGCAAAATAGCTAGAACTCATAGGTAGAAGGACTCAAAAACTGTATATAATATCATGTTTTAGCTCGGGTATATACATATACATGTAAACACTTTTTAACATACTACTTAGACTGTGAATTGCAACTGCACTCCTCGAACAGTCTTGAGTTTCACTCCTCGATCAGAAACCCATTCAAAGGATACTTCCTCTAATACTGACGTGGGAGGTACGTTTGCTAGAAAAAAGTCCGTTGTCAGCAACAATGTGTCAACCAAAGTGTAAAGTTCAACGATACATACACTCAGCAGGTCCAACACTAAAAGTCCTAAACTGTCTCAATTGCACAACTCCTCCCACAACACCAGCTAATGCAGATGCGGCACCAAGCAAGCCTCCAGCAGGTTGCCAAAACCGTACACTGTTTTCTTCAACAGAGAAACTGGCTAAGAGTTTACCGTCCGACGAGAATGATACGGCACTGACGGGTTTTGTATGTCCCTGTGGAAAAGTGAAGAGATGAGCTGCGAGGCCAAAAAAATTCATCAATCTCATACAGTAGATTGAAACTATACCTCAAGAACTTGCATCCTCGTAGCAGTCCTCAAATCATACAAGACAATCGCACCATCAGGTCCACCAACCGTCAGCCTTTGACTTGTGCCATGGAATGACGCATTAGGATAAACATGGACTAATTCAGCTAGGGCTGCAGTAGCTGCTGGCAACAATGCTTCTCGGATGGTCGGGATATTTGGATCCAGTGATCGAACAATGGCTTCTGCAATCTTTGGTATGCTTCCATATAATATCAGAGGTTTCTACGATGCGGATAGCAAAAAAAAACCCATGTCAGCAATTTTAGGGAACGGGACATGGTTCTTAAACTCAAATGTTTTGAATACTCACCTTTGCCATAAACATCCCCAACAATCTCAACCCACCAGCTCGTTCAGCAGCAGTCTTGGCATGTCCCAAATCAAATACAATAGTACTAGCAAACAATCCAGGATTGGCTGTTGCAATCATCAATACAGATTGTCTTGCCAAAATAGCTAATTCTCGTGGTATCTGTTCACCACCACCACCATCACTTGGTGTACCAACACCACTACCAGGATTCCCACTTCCAGTATACGAACCTGTATTACTCGTACCACCACCAAGAACATTCATCACTCCTTTACGTTGCGGTGATGTGATTGCGCCCGGTATTGGTGGTATCAGTCCTGTAGATGCAACAACATGTCTAAATACCGCTGATCCGTTAACGTAGGGCTCCCATGTCGACCATCCACGACCAATGAGTTCAATAGCTGCAGCACGATATGCTGATTTGGCATCTTCGTGTATAAGTAAATCGAGAGATTGTGCGACGTCTTTGCATATTAAGACTGGTATAAGGCCTGGATTGTCGGATGTTATTATACCCAGGATGACGGCTGCTCGCATGTTGGTTTTCACTGGTTTCTTGTTGGATACCAATGTAGGAACTACTCGACGCGACGAAAAATGTGAGAACTGAACTGATCCCGCTCGTTCAAGAATGGATGACTTACGCAACGAATGCCAATACTGTATGATGCCATCACGTACATTCACATCCATCTTTGATACAGTAGATGCAAACAATGTGCGTGCAGCTTCCTGTACATCAACTGAAATGAAATAATGAGTGATTTGCATGCGTAAAGAAAATTACCTAAAAGGCTCTATAAAATTAGACTTACTTATTGGATCCTGCCAATACTTTGCCAAAAATGCAAAAGACGGAAAACAGAAACCGCTACCAATCCGTCCAGGCAATATTGCACCATAATATGTCAAAAGTGTACTGATTTCGCCTTCAAGACCTGAATTTTTAGATGACTTCAATCAATCAACTCGACTCAACAAAATACAGTAAAGAGAGTGATGATACCTTTGGTAGATAAGATTGAGCGTGCCACAGCCAAAATCTCAAGTAACTTCGCAGCTGAAATAGTCGGAGACGTCTTCCATAGTCGTTGCCCTGGCTGTTCATCTTTCATTGGAGCCATTATTGACAAGAATCCGTTGGCTCTGTGCCAAAAGAGAAACCAATCAACGTCAAAAACAAGATGTTTCTCGCATCCCTCTCGTTGAACTCACCCTCTAGTCCCAACACAAACACCATCTCTAGGTCTCTGCATTCCCAACTTGTCTCTGTACAATTCATCTATACCATCATCAACACCCCAAGAAGCCAAAGCCGAGAAACAAGCAAACACCAAATCATAATCTAGTGGGTTCCTGGGTGGCGCACTTGAATCTGATGCTGCATCATCGTTACCATTATTGACTGGTGACATGGCACTAATCATGTTTCTGGATTTATTTGGTGATGGTGGATTGTTTCGTGATGCTCCTGATCGTGGTAGTATAGCAGGAGAATTTAAAAAGGAGTCCTTGGAGGTGCTGCGTTGTGGAGATGATGGGGGAGGACTGAGAGTTCTCGTGGTGGTATTCATGTCGGATATCAAACGTTTGGTGTTGAAAAGGAAGAGAGTCAATGGCGGTGGTGCTAATTAACGAAACAAGAAGATTGTCAACAAAGCCAAATTCAACTGGCGAGATTTGACTCACATTCTATCGTGGTAAATAATGGAATGGTACATGCTATTTGCCGAACATTTGCAGCCAAGTACTCTTCTCCAGGTGCTCGACAACTAGCAATAGGAGTGGTGAGAACACCAAAAAAAACATGTAAACATGAGCGTCTATTCAACTCACTTGACTTTAGCATCACAAGCAGCAATAGCACTTAGAGCACTCTCGGCTTCTAAAATACGTTCACAAACACCAGTCAAAGCATTAAACACCAACACATTCCCATTTTCTTGCTCGAAAAGTATGAAATCATCAGCTTTTCGAAAATGTATGGCCAACAGTCCATTGGTCCGTGATAAGGGACTATGAGACTGCTCTCGTCCAAATCCAGGGAATCGACAAAATACTTGAGGTGATGATGGTTTAAACAATGAAAATGATTTGGTGATGTGTGATACAGACATGAATGTATAGCTTGTTGATGGTGACAAGGTTTCTGGTGGGATGGTGATGATGCTAGTTACAGGGGATGAATGCGATATATATACAGTGGGTTTGGCCGTGGGTTGTCTAAGCGTGATAAAATGAAGTTAGTCAATCGTCTTGGATGTTCCTGGACACCTAGAGTGCTTTTTTGTTGTTACCACTTACTCTAGATCCCACACTCTAACAGAACAATCAGCACTTCCAGATATCAGATACCGTCTGCCGTCACATTGGCTTGGTGAAGGAGCCAATAGACTCGTCACTTTTGCAGTGTGTCCAGTCAGTGTTGCCACGTCTGGCAATGAGTTGACGTCATTGACGTTATGGAAGAATGGCGTTGATAATGGCATGATTCGTATTGAGCCGTCGACTAAGAAGAAAGTCGTGATAGTGTAAGACGCATATTTCGTGAATTTTTTTTTGTTCAAGACAAATCGGTTTACCATAACCAACTGCTAAATGATGATCTTGAATGGGCGTCGCTATCGACATCGACAGGGAATTTTCCAGTTTTTGCAATGGCCATGAGTCAGCAAGATTCCATTCTGAATTGTTGGAAAGTGAGTCGTAACGCGATAAAAAGGACGTTGCTGATATGCATACACACCTTTCGAAGGTTTCACCACCATTTTAGTATTTCTATCAGATCGAGGAGATTTGGCAACTCCTATATCTATCAACTCCTTTCCGGAAATAGAAGCCCAAAATGTCCATTGAGTCACAGTTCCGTCACGTTGGAACGATGCAAGATAATGAGTTGGCTGTGACAAGCATGGAGGTATGTAAATTACAGTGGCAGCTCGCGAAGGTGATGTGGTGGATGAGGAGTCCAGTGAATGTGAAAAGGAGGCCAAAAGGGTTGTCGCACTGCAAACGAACGATGGTTAACCTCTGGTTTGACAGCATTCGACGGTACTTGATACACTGCTAGCATCGACACCAACATTCTTTCCGAGGACTTACCGATAAGTCAAATAGTCTTGTGCACCAGGTACGAGACGTGAACAATATGAAGCTGCAGCACCATCTGAAAACAACACGATAGACGATGGAGGCACCTCCTTTATAGCAGAATGCTTAATCTCTGACTCTGGACCTATATAAAACAAGAAGGCGCTTCCAGCCTATATTAAGAAATCGTGGTGAGTGAATCCATCGCACATAATGTGATCTGCAAGGTCCACTTGTTGCCCAAAAAGCTCACCATCGTCCATAACAGTATAGTTCTCGCAGACATGAATCTGGATCCAGCCCACGCCTGCCCATGCTCTTGAGCCTTGTCGAGTCTAGCCAGAAACGTTGGTCCAGACTTGCCCAAAACATACAACATGCAGACATTTCGATGCAGTATGCTCATGAGGTTTTTATCGAATACGTTTGTCTCTATGCCAATGCTTGGAAGAGAAGTTCCAAAGTCCAGCTTGGTGGGTTTGGTATCTAATTGTGTTTGAATGTCGAGTTTGGATTCGTCGAGGATTGTGCTTGAATGTAGAGTGCCGTCGTATGTAATTATGTTTAGTTTTTCAACTCCTCTGGTCTCTAAGTGTTGCTTTGGAGTATTAGTATGTGTGGACTCGACCATCAAAACAACATTAGTGGTTTTTTTGCCTGTTGGATATAATGTCATGCAAGCCGTCCAATCGTCAAACACGTTACATGATTTGATGACCTACATCCAAAAGCAGAATTCGTTAGAGATCTACGAAATTACGTTAGTATGAAGCAAAGAACTTGCGTCGAGTGTTGAAGCGTCCAAGATATTCACGTTTGTTGAATGACCCGCACAAACAAAGTATGCATTTGACGACGTCATCTAAAAATATAACAAAATGAGTTCCCGACGTCTCTCTTTCATGGAAACACAACATGGTCCAACCTTGAGACAAGTAATGCTTCCATTGAGAGCCCTAACGTTTGTTTGCAAGCATCTCCCGTCAGCCAAATCCCACATGGCGACTAGACCCACTTCGTCGCCCGTTACGAGTACATTTTCACGCGTTACGACGCCATCGACTTCGAGACGACATAGCACGAGAGTAGTGATTCGTGCGCAATGTCCAATTAAAAATAGATTGGGTGCAATCTACAAGGGTGAGAGAGTGGGTCAATGGATCGCGTAGAGAAGTGCTATAGAATATTGGTAGTAATTATGAGCCTACAGATAGCTGTTGATTTGTATTTGTTGAGTTTGGATGTAATAGCTTGAACAAGCAAATCCAGCCCGCATCCGTGGCAGACACCAGAGTATCCGACAGCTGACTCGTGGTGCCTATAGTATATGACAGGGCAGGCGCTCCATTCCAGCATCCTACTGCGGACAACAGTGAGCTCATTGTTTGATGGAATGTCTGGTCTATTGTACTTTGACGAACTGACACGGTGACGACTACAAGAAAGGTCTCTGATGTATATTATATGGTCAAGAATTGATTTAGGATACATTTCTGGAGTCTTAAACGTGTCAGATCCGCTCAAGCAAACACGAAGAGAGAACTACATTTCCATATTTCCATCGCGTTTAATAACATAAAGAGATTTCATATGAAAGTTGAACGCGTAAATTTGGTAAACTTTGACTTTGACACAGGTTGATACTTTTCGTCATGGGATCCCGTCCGTTGTCAATCGTCAAAAGTTGAACGTCAAAACAACTTGCCAAAATTAGTCAACTTACTTGGAACTAAACAAGGGCAAGTTTGCTATTGGTGTCCTGTGTATGGTACCTGAAATCTCACGCGCATTGGAGTCACAGCTCTAGGTCCTCTATATTTGTCAACAACAAAGTTTGCATTTTACAGTCAAAAGCATCACATTGCCTCAAGGACACCGCACCTACAATGTCTCCTGCTCTGGGAGCAAACAACGATGATAAATCATCGCAATACACGTTCGTAAACCTGCCTCATCCCAGAGCTCGCCAAACAAGAACATACCATCTGGTACTCAGGCAGCAACCAAAACATTCTCGCATGTGTGGCTTTGGGGAGAAAGGTATCGAGTTGCATACAGTACATTCAACCCTTCCATATCGCCCCGTTGACCCTCATCGCATTATGCTTGTTCACTTAGTCGACCGACGACCTGTCGATCCACCTCCTATCGTTCAACTGGAAATACAAGATGCTTCCACTAACGACGAAAAGTACTACTTCCCTTGTCATTACATATAGCTGGAAACCAAATCTAACCTTCTTGGCCCATTCAACTTAGCGCATACTTGTACAATCCATACTACTTCATGTATGCGTCACTTGTCTCGCCCGACTCGGAAGAGGAGCTACACTTGTTACGCGATGGCAAAACTAGATCCACTACTGGCTCCATTGTATCGTCCTTGTATCGCTTAAAGGACGTTGATAGCAAAGATGGAGGGTTTTTCGTGTTTCCGGATCTAAGTGTCAGAATGGAAGGAGCATATAGGCTCAAATTCTCGCTCTTTGAAATCATTGCTGCTGAAATATTTTATTGTGCCAGTATAATATCGGATATATTCAGTATGTTTGTGGTAGTGGAAGGTGCATGATAGTACTCTAACTGTGTCGTTTTTTGCTATAGATGTATATCCAGCGAAAAAGTTTCCTGGTATGGAAGAATCAACGTTATTGTCGAGGGCTTTTGCAGAACAGGGGCTCAAAATCCGAATTCGAAAGGAACTTCGTATGAGAAAGTACGTGATTTCACAAGTCAATCTGCCGAAAGCAAGCTCACAAACATATTCTCAGGGGTAACAAGAGAGAGCCGTCTGAAAGAGACGAGAGCCCTGTGGCTAAGAAGAAGAGTAGGAAAAAGGGTGGTGCAGCAAACGAGTCTGATGGAGGTAGTGAATCAGACGATGAACTGGAAGACATGGCACCATATACCTATGATACGTCCCAGCCACGTGGACTATCTGCAAAGAGTAGTGGTAGTGATGATCCTCGCTTCCATAAAATGGTAAATGCCTTCCTAGGTCCAAAAGCTCAGGATCCTTCGATGGTAAACGAACAGAAACAACAGCAACAACAAGTACTGTATCATCCAGTATATACGACCCAAGCATCCAATGCTTCCATTCCTGCTGGATATCCTGCATCGACCATCTATCCTCAGAATTATCCGCCGTCATCATATCCAGCCTCAACTGGTTATCCACCTTCAGCTGGTTATCATTCTACTGTAGTAGCATATCCTCTGCGTGCTAGTACAACAGCCGCCTATTATGAACCCTCACTCTATTCATATGGACATCCAAACGGTGTGCCATCAACGACAATGCCACCATCAAACCAAACTATATACAACCAGTATTATAGCAACGAGACTGCGAATATGGGTAATGGACAAGTCGGTAATGTTCATCCATCGGGGCAAGGACCACCAACAGGTTACCACGCGGAAGAGTATCCCGTGTTTGATTCTAGGTCTGGACCATATACTACAACGAGTTATGCATCTCTGCAAGCTCGTCCCACAGCTTATACATATATGACAGGATTTGATGATCGCGCTCTACCAGAACATGGACATCACATGTCTACTCAACAACAGCAGCAACAACCTGTAGCACATGCTGCTCAAAGTCCAATATCACCAATGCCAATCCCGATGCACGGACCACCGAAATATGGAGTCTCGCCTGTCCCACCAACTCTATTGTCTCAATCCGGACCTCCATACTCAAACTATAGTGCCGACCAACTATCATATCCATCTCCAGTGACTAGTTCAGGTCAACCACAATCAGGTGGCGGTCCACCACTACCAGGATCATCAGTAAACATGAATCCAGGATCTGGTGCTAGTGCTGGTGGCGGTAATATACGCGGTGGAGTGCAATACGCCAGTCAACCACAACAATACTACAGTTATTCGAATCCACCTGCTAGTCTGCCTCCTCCCGCCCCGCAAACAGGCCGTGGATCGTATCCTGCATATAATACTGCCTCAGAAATGTCCTTGCCTCCTCATCCGAGCTCTATTGCACGATTGTCGGAAGGTGGGATGCCTGGATATTCGTCAGGATATTCGTATGGTGCTCCGCCGAACGCTACTCCACAGCAACAACAGATGCAGCAGCAGCAAATGCACCAACAGCATCAGCAAGAGCAGCAGTCAGTATCACCGGATGGGTTTAAACTGGCCCCGATAATTCAATCAACGCTACCAAACAGTGGTAGTGGGCAACAGGATCCGAATCAAAGATGAACAGTGAAGTGTAATAATATATATTTTTAAAGTTTAGCTAAGCAGGGTGGTTAGCAGTAAGGGTATAGTTTTGGTCTTTTATTAACGGTACGCAAACACAAAAAGCACGATTAAAGTAATATTGTTTCTAGCACTTGTATAGCAAATTGTCCAATTTTATTCAAACAAGAAATATTTAGCTTACATTGGTGAGACTGGTTTGATAACGTGTTGGTGTGTGGGCGTTATGTCTTGACCACAAACCACACGTGAAAAAATCAAAACTTCACAGCTTTTTCATTCAAACCCAACAACTTTTACCAACCTAGGGAGACGAAACATATCTGGACGCTCTGGACGAGTGACTGCATAATGCCACCAAAGCGACAATTCAATCCGCAAGTCCGTCGCCATACATTCGCTGGAGACACTTACGATGCCCTAGTTGGACTGTTTTCTCCATCAAAGAACAATAGAGGTTCACCGCAATTTTACGGTATAATATTTGAGCACTATTAACTATTTTTTCTCTTACATGTTAGTCCGACAATCAGAATCAACCGGATTCCTTTCCTCATCATCAGACAAACACGATCCAGCCAACCACACCATCAACCTCAATCTAGACACCACTCCCACCTCACAACAACCACGCCGCTCATCAATATTCAGATTCCGAAACTCGCCCTCCCCAATCCCCGAACTCGAACAATGGAAACAGGAACGTCGAACATCGATATACGTAAAAGTCGCATCCAAATATGAACGCGACCGCAGAGGATGCTGTGGAATCCTCTTGTGTATCCTTCTGATCCTGCTTGCGATATTCTTGGCTGTGCTGATACCTGTGCTGCTTACGGTTGAGGCTAGGAGGCAGAGTGTGATGGATGGTACGAGTGGGTTGGCCGGGCTGCCTGCCATCAGTCCGAATCCGTCGCCTATTCTTGCTAGTACGATGAGTGTGAGGGGATCCACGACGATGACGGTTTCGATGGCCGCTAGTCAGGTTGCAAGTGCTGTTGCAAGTGGTATGGCTGTTTCGAGTGCTGTTGGTGCTCCTGTTCCATCAACCGCTATGCCAAGTACCACATCCATGATTCCTGCTCCTACCTCCGTGGTTATTTCACCGTCATCATCATTTAACCGCTCTACCACCATTCCAATCCTCGCAATCCCGTCAACGACAACAACAGTTCCAATAGTCGCAATACCTTCGACAACAACTTCAGCAATTCCAAGCCCCACATCATCACCACCATGTGACGCATCCACACTAACTCCCCTCCAATTCTACAAGCAAGTTTGCCCCTCATCATCATCATCACAATGTCTCAAGATGCCTCAGATCAACACGATTCAATTCTGCGCGTTGGGTGATATATATACGACCATATCACAATCGTCGAATACAGGATCGAATTCTGTGAATATGAATGAATTCGATGTGGGAGGGTGGTTGGCGAATTATACTGTTTGCGGGTGGGTTGGTGTTGGGTGTGATGGAAACGGAACTGTTGTTTCATTGTAAGTGTTGTATGGTAGAGAGATTTGAGATTTTCAATGCTTCGCGTGACTTTCGATTTTTTTCGCTGTCCACTCTCATATTTTTGAAAACATTTCTAGGACATTGAGCCCCCAGTATACGAATCTGGCTGCTGGACTTTCGAGATCTGTTGGATTGCTTACTGGATTGCAAACTCTGTAAGCCCAAAAAACACCGTCTCTATGGTGCGAACATAGTGAACTCAAACTTTGTTTTTATTAGCACCGTGATAAATCCACCCGTCTATCAGAACGACAAGGGTGGAATCATACCTGCTGCTGTGTATACGTTGCCGTCCTTGACTGCATTGTAAGTGTGGTCGGTCTAAGTTGAAAAAAAATATTGTTTGATCAATTCTCATTCGATAAATCAATAGGGTGTTATCATATGGATCCTGGTACTTAGAAGCTCCTTCTCAAGCATACCCGTCATCGAAACTGCAAACTATGTAAGAGCGTAAACTTTCTTCTCGACCGACGAAACCCCGTACTACTACTCCACCTTTTATCAATTTTTAGCCAATTGAAATCACTCGCTCCCATTAACCCATCATTTATCTCATTGATATCATCTTTACCTGTAAACAACCTGTACGTAGACTTGCGAATAGCAAGGAGCTCTTCTGCAATACTTTCTGTTTTGTTTATTTCTCATACATTGTCCACAACGTAGGGCTGTTAGATCAACAGACATGTCTTCTCCAACTCTTCTCAGAATAATGGCATTTTCAACTTTGTGGAATAAAACCATGTCAACTATATTGCTTGCCAATACCTCAATGGTCGGTACAATACCATCACAGCTGGGAATGTTTGCGAATTTGACAACCGTGTAAGTTTGTGGGTCACGACAAACAACAAAAGAGACAATCTGAACTGACGAATCATGCGTTTTTTGTCGTTTTAGGAGAGTGACAAGCAACAATCTGTCACCTCCAGTATCAGCTACACTGTGTAGTGTCCCTTCATGTACTTTGACGTTCAACGTTCCGAAGTTGTACACGACTGCAACTAGCTGCAACTGCTTATTCTGATAATTTAAATCCTCTTTCCTTTTTCCAATAATCCCTTGTAATACCTAAATACAGGTTGTATCAAGATGGCGTGGGCATTACTGTGCGTATACGTGGCGCGGTATATATGCTTGACCGGAACGGGAGACAGAGATGTTGAATTACTTTGAATGCATCCAAAACAAGGTCACCTTATTCGCTTTGTAATCATTAAGCCTTCTAGTTGTTGGTGTCGACACTTGCGTCTTTTCATTCATTTCTTCACATAAATCGTCTTTGAAATACGAACGCGGGGTATGAGACACGTCCCTCCTGCTGCTACGAAATGTCCTCAAATGGTGCTACAAAGCTCTCTCTTTCGTAACGCTTACAACTGCTTCGCTGCAAAATCCCTCAGCTCCTTGACAACAAGAGCAACGAAGGTTAATCCAACTCACAATCCCCCCCTCTTCTTTTAAACTTTTTGGTTCCAGATCTAGAGCAGACTCCAACCCAAAATAGATTATAGAAAATGGCTGATTATGCTGATGCTGACCGGTATGTTGCATTAAATTTCATCGCTATCAATGCTAATGACTTTTTATCTCAAATAGCGAAACAGCCATACTAGAACGAGCTAGGAAACGAGTGCAGGAACGACGAGAACGTCGAAATGAATTGACTAGTTCTGTCGATGGGGCATTGTCACCTATAATGCCAAGGAGCAGTTCGCCGACGCTTATAACTGATCAAGCAAGTTTTTGGGAATACTTAAAAGGAGTTTAAGAGGATGACTTAATGGATTTTTTCGGGATTTGATTTTGTAGTGGTCTTCGCCGATAAGTGAGCCTGTTACTCCGAGACGGGGTGTGGTGCTGAATGCATTTACACATGCAGTACGTCCATGTGTAAATCCAGCCAGTTTTTTTGCCTAATCTGATTATATTATTACTATAGCTTGTTGACGCGACACCTCAAACACCCTCAAATGTATCGCCTTCGCGGTATCATCGCCGAAGCTTGAGTCGTGGACTACCGTTAGAACCCTTGCATGAGGTATCAAACCAGTACCACTTCAATTTTTTCCAGCTCTCTTACATTTTCTGAAATAGTCACCAGCATCTCGTCCCACGAAATCCGCATTCAAATCAAACAGCAGAGCGAATGACAGCATCGCTAATCTTGTGTCGAAACCTGATACTCCTAGACGTCAGAGTTATAAGAGGAGGACGCTAAGTCGGCAGCCTGATGCGATTGAATCGGTACCTATGTTTGACAAGCCATTTTGTGCGCATGAAGCTCATCGTGATTTTATGTTAGGACGATATGCGAAACTTGAAAACGCCTGGTGCGTCTCCGAAGCTTCGAACTATTAAAGGTGGCGCTATTGCTGAAGTTGGAGAACAGATGGAATTGTTGCAGCCGGTCAAGACTGAAGAAGAGGGTAAGATCCAAGACTTTGAGGTTTTTTTTGGGGTAGACACGTAACCAATCCCTAATTCTTGTAGAGATAATGGAGATTGCTCAATTGGCATTACAGAGTCTATCTCGCAATTTCATCGAGTTTCGGAAGTGGGGTCAGGTTTCGCTTAATATGGTACGGTTGCGGCCATTGGGTGCTCTCGTTGCACGGTCTTTTTATTTGATTGATTAACAGAAGCTGCTTGCATAGCCAATGGACAAGATCTTCTATCCTCTTCAGCTGATATATAAGCCGGGATCAGATGCGTGGATGACTATATACGAGGTATATGGCAATCTCACTCAATTTGTTTTTCTCCTTCTCAGACAAATCTGTCTTTCCTAGGGTCTACGATTTCCTGAAGAAGAAGGACTATACGTTGCGCCGCCACCAAATTTCTCAGCCCAAAATATTCAGAAAATGGAACGACGGTTACGAGGATCCGAACCAAACTAGTAAGGAACACGCAGATTGGGAAGAAAAAACAACTCTCCTCATACATTTACAATAGTGCAAGAGACTGGTTCAACCCACCACACAGAATGATAATCGACGCTCCAGCTCTCGTATCTCAACCTCCACGCCCATACCCAATCCTCCATGGTCTCCCACCAAACCCAAATTCCGAACTAGCCGTCGAAATCCGTCCAAGATGGCAACAATCTTTGCATCGTTCAATTGAAAGCGGATCATACATGCTTGTGCTAGAGCTTTCGTCAGTCCGGTTTGATGATCATCCACTTATGAATGACGAAATGAGGGTAGCGAGAGAGTTGGAAAGCACATGGCGGGTGCTTAAAGGGAGAAATCGGGAAGAGGTTGTTGAATTTTGTCAGAGGAAGGTTGAGGTATGTGTGTATGAATGTTATTTGTCATTGAGGCACCTCGAAATGACGCTTTTTCGCCAGGCACTGCATGCAGCATACAACCAATACAAGTTGGACCATCCTCGTGAACGAGGAATTAGCGAAGATGGAATATATTCTGCACGTCCTGTATCTGCCGAGTCTGTGAAATCGTCAACGTCTGGATATGCGCATCGACTATTGGCTGAACGGGCTGAAGCTGACAAGCAGAGGAAGAAGAATGAAGTCGGTAATCGGTTTAAAGAGATGAGACAGGATTTGAAAAATGCAAGGCTTTTAAGAGTAAGTGGTCTGCTTATAATTTTGCCAGCGCTTAAAAAACACTTACACTGCTATTGAATGTATTTACAGGATACAGAATCGCAAACCTCCCGCCTCCTCGAATTCAAAATCCTAAAATTATGGCAGGAGCTACAGCGGCTACGTGCACAGCAAGGATATTCTACATCATCACTTAAACTCACTGTCAAAGTAACTGAGCCCGACATGGACGCTGATGTAGATGAACTTGAACAAGATGTATGGGAAGAAGTTGAAGAATTACGTGATGAATGGGAGTCTGAGCAGGAGGAACGAATGAATGCTTGGTCTCAGGCATACAAGGAGTGGGAAGCGCTTGAGAAAGAGAGACACTCAATTATGGAGGAGCAAGGGATTGATGAGAATCCTACTGTACCGTCATCGCCTATGATACATGTGCCTCAAAAGAAGGCGAATGAGACTAAAGAGGAGAGGCGGACACGTAAATTGGCTGAGAGAGCGGCGAAAGCTGCGAGAGCTGAGAGTGGACAGTTGGCATCACCGACGAGTCCATTGTTGGAAAAGCACGCTGTTCCTGTCAAACCGAAACGTGAGGTGTTTAAAGAGGCTAAAGCGAAGGCACTTGTTTTGAAAGTAAGGTCTTCCCTTGAGCTGGTTTCAATGTGGTTTTTTTTGTTGGAATGCGAGATGGTTCAAGATTCTTACCAAATTTTCATTGCAGCGTCTGGAAACATCACGTCGACCAGTTGGAACTCCAACACTTTCTCTGCAAGTCAAATCAGAACATACCATAACTGCAGCTGCATCTCTTCCTCGAACTGAATTAGCTCGTCGTACTACCGCACTCAGCACACAATTCCATCTACGTCTTTACTATAACGATAAAGAAGTAGCACGTACTGAATCACGACCATTGGATCCCGATACGTTTGAACTCACTGGAGGAATATGGGAAGAAACCACAGCACCGCGAACTCGAGCTACTGCTGCCAGTAAAACGAACAAGCAAATCAATCCAGTTTCTGGTATGACTGTGGGATTGCTGGTTAAGGAAGAGCCTGAGAAGTTGAGGATTGCTATGTTTGAATCGGTATGTTGTGGGTTTTAGGGCAAAAGCAAACAATCAATATCAACCTCTGAACAACTTCCACATTTTTCTAGGGAACCTTTGGCGACACATTCGTATGCGAACTCCTCCCTCCTCTTCCACCACCAGCACAAACAGCCCTCTCACGTGGCCGCGCACGAACAGAGCTGCCCTTCTCTGGCCGACCTTACAAGATCCACACACACCTCAAGCCTACTCGGACGCCAGATCTTGCGCCCGCTGCTGGCCCAAATATGGAAGAACGATGCACGAAAGGTGTTATATCTGTTGGATTATGCTGGGGTGTCGGACCTGATGGTCAGAGTCTTGGACCATCTGAGTCAAGTCGATACCGTCGAATTTGGAATCGAGAACATGATAAGCAGGCACAAATTGCGCCGCTGAATGCGTTGATTGCTATGCCTGGATTGGGAGGGCAGGGGAATGTGCAGCAGATTACTGTGAGTTTGAATGTTATGCTGCTGGACATTTCACGATAGTCAATCGGCGTTTTTTCTTCTACTTGTTTAACGTTTTGCGTACATAGGATTGGATCAGCAATGCTCGTCTTGATCCAAATGATCCCAGAAATGTTGATTTGCTTCAATTCCGAGAATTACTTCAAATGGGTCGCAATGGACCTTGGAAGGACAAGAAGGTGTTTAGGTTTAACATATCGCAGAAGCTGATTGATTCTGCACTTGGTGTTGGTGTAAGTCACTGGGAAGTATAAATTGAGTTTCTTGATGTTTCTCTTTTGGCTGAGATTGTCTGAACGATCATTATCGTAGCATACATTCGAGCTTGACACCAAAAGAAATGCTCTCTTGATTGCCCGAAACGCTCATGCTGCTTCAGTCAGAGGCCCAATTCCTTACGACGACAATGAAATTTTGGAATCACAATGGGACAGAGTACCTCATGTTGAAGAAACACCAGTATGTTCTACTATATCTTTTGCCAACTTCTCAGGAATCCAAATCTTACATTCTCGAACTTAGATGGTTACACATGCACTTCAATTCCTTACTTCTCACGCTCCACCAACACACACACAAGACAATCTCAACGATGCCAAAAACCAACTCAGTCTACTCAAACGAGTACGAGCACATCACTTACTACGAAGTGCTCGTTCGTTAAGACCCAAACGTGTCTCTGATTACGTCAAAGAGACCAGCTTTTTGGCAACTCAGGCCACCATGCCGACGGTCTTGTCCACTCTATTCAGACCATATCGACCATTGAGGCCGTATCGAGATCCTCAAACAGATGGTGTACAGATGCCAGATCGTGTACAGCTCATCTTCCAAGTTGCGAGAGCTTTGAATGTTCCAGTAAGGAGTCATGGAAGCCATGCGTCTGGTGGTGGTGATGGTCTAGTGGTGAGTCGCAATTGAAGTTTGTTCGTTGCTGCTTTTTTTTGTTTTGATTGCAACCTTCCTAACATCAGTCTTTCCTAATAGACCGTAAAGCCATTCGTCGAAATCTCCTTCCAATCACAACGGGCCCGTACAACCTGCTCAGAAGGCCCCAATCCCATCTGGGATGAAACCCTCTCACTCGACGTCCAAGTCCCCAACAATGATTTCCGTCCTGACATGCTAATGGAATCTGAACTTCCCAGTGAATTGATCTGGTTTCACCTATTTGACGAAATCATTATCGACTTGGTGGACGATGAACGAGATCGTAACGAATACAGCCATTTCCGTCGTGAAAGAAATTGGCTAGGATGCTTTTCGGTACCTTTCGCAAGTGTTTATGAACAAGTTAGAGTGGAAGGGTCTTTCTGTGTTCGTGTTCCACCTGCCACTGTTGGATATGAGAGGTCGTCGCTTGTGGCTCCAGATGCGGCTGTTATGGTTGGTGTTGATCCACCACAGGGGACGCTTTTGCATGTCTTCATGGTTCTGGAGCCTCCGTTGTCACAGTTGGGTCCATTGAATTTGGTTGTAAGTTGTTTTGGATTGGATTTGTGGGACTCTCGCAATTGCTGCAGTTTTAATCACTTCGTTTTTTACTAGGCACAGAGTGATGATAGTGAAAAGATTTTGAACCATGCAGAACAATGGACCAAGTCTCTGAGTTACTTGAATCGTCCGGTTATGGTATGCGAATGGGAAAAACCAGATTGTATCGCCTACGATTGACTCAATTTCTGCTATTGTCATTAGGCAACTGCATTGACTCTAGCAGGGAAAACAGCCCTCCTACCCCACTTCTTACGACCATACCAACCACCAGAACATCTTACCTCTCCCTCAGCACTACTCGCATGGACGTCCTCAATCCCATACCTCCACTTCCGAGCAGCAGTCGGATCATCAACCGAACTATGGTCCTCCGTAAACCAAGTAGTCGAAATGGGCTGTGCAGACCAAGCAGAACATGCAATATGGCTGTGCAATTTCTTATTGGGCAGTGGTCGAGAAGCTTATATAGTATTGGGATCAGGACCAAGTCATACTCGCGGTTGGTTTGTTGCTGTGAGAGAAGATGAATGGGGGCCTGGGATTGCTGTTAATGAAGGGGGACAAGCTGTGCCACAGCAACAACCAAGTGTTCTTGTACCAACGAGTCCAACAAGGCCAAAGTCTAAAGCTTCAATCTCGTTGCCAGTTCCACGACAACCAGGATCAACACAAATTATGAATATGCCAATGCCATACCTCGGATACCCACAACAACGATACTCCGGGTATCCACCAATGCCAATGTCGCCTATGCCTGGTGCATTCCCAACACAAGGATACCCAGCAAATCAAGGTCCGTGGTGGTCAAACCAACAGCAGCAGCAACAACAGATTCCAAGTTATCCACCACCTTGGATGATGCAAGGTTTGCCAGGTCCAACAGGAGCAGCACCTTCTTCACCAATATCTGCAAGACCTGGATCACCAGTTATGGGATCTCCCAACGGATACCATATGCCTCCGATGCCACAAATGGGTCAAGTACCATTAACTGGTGGATATCCTCATCCAATGCAACCGCAACATTACGGAGCAGGTGGATATTACCCAACCAGTCCATACCAGCAACACCAACAATACTATCCAAATTTAATGTACCAACAACAATTTCCAAACAATATGATGCCGGGAATGTATCCACAAGCAACACCATACAACAACAATCACTCTACACCGTTTTCTCTGACTGGACTCTTGAACTCGTTCAAATCCTTGCTGCACACTGGAATTATGCCACGATCACCACCAGCAGGATTCGGCTTTGGTCCACAAGGGCCATTTATAATTGATCGCAAACATGCTTGGAGGATTGTCGATGCTGTTTCTGGCGACACGTATAGTGTGCGAGATGCGCATTGTCCACTAAAGAGGATTGGATGTGTGTTTAATCATGAGAATGTGAGTTATTCAAGTAACATTTGTTTACGATTTCGACCATTTTTACACATTTGTCGAAACACTCACACTCTTTCATCACACAGATCTGGGCAAACATCCAACAAACAGACGACCCACGCCGCGTGCAATGGGATACTTCCGACCAAAGATCATGGCGTCCTTTCTTCACGAAATCATTCCCACTCCCACCCAACTTTGAATCAATCCAACCCATCTCACCATCCCTCCACATCCGTCCATCATCTGAACTGCGAGACCTCGAACAGAATATCGAACGCACTTTAATCTCCTCAATCGAAACATGGCGAGGCCGGAAATACACACGATGGAATCGTCTCTGCTCACGAACATTTGATGGCATGTTGTCTCGATTTGAAGATGATGTTGCAGCGGGACTGGGACCGACATTGGGTAACAATTCGACGGATTTGTCCAGGGATTGGAAGGCGCTGACGAATGTGTATTGCATTCGTGGGTTTCCTATCCGGGTGGCGTATGCGGATATGAATGGGGTTGTCAATGCTGTTAGAGCTACGGATGTGTTTTCTGCTGGAGATCCGAAGGTGGAGTTTGCATTGGCTGTTGGGTGTAGAGCGTATCCTGGTGGGTTTGTGGTTGTGTGGGTGTATGTTGCTTCTCTTATCAGGAATGAATAATTTAATTGCCTTCTCATGTCACTATTTCTCTCATACTCAATCTTTGCCCTCATCTTGTACTTAAAACTGCGACATAAATAACAGTGAGCCTCAACAACATCACACGAGTTTTTTTAGCTGGCTGAGGAGGTGTATTTACGTTTTGTTTCTAAACAAAGTACAAACAACACCTTATCAGTACTCCTTATAGTCCTCCTCCCCATCATACTTAGATTTGCATGCAATCTTGTTCTGATGCCTCTTAAAGTTATCCTTCCTACTAAACGTCTTGTGACACTTCTCACATTCAAACACAGTTTGCGTATCTGAATGCAATACTTTGCGATGCCTTTCCAAGTCTGGAATTCGTTTGAATTTCCTGCCACAGCTATCACAAGAATGCTTCTTGGACTCGTCGTTTTGGTGCGTAATTTTGTGTTCTTGCCAGTTGAATTTCTTTTTGAATACGCGAGAGCATACCTCACATACGTATTTGAGAACTTCAGATTTACGGATGGGTGTTGGTTTATTGGCTGGTATTTTCTTTGGTGTTGATGGTTGTTCATTGTTGGGGAATAGGACTGGATCGTTTCTATCTATTTGTACTGGCCTGAGGTTCATAGGAGAAACATATATGTCAGCTGAGCAAAGTTATTGAATGCTGTGACGTAAGGTTTTTTGCCTTACTTTAGCCTTTGGAAACCCATTGGAACAGCATAGAAGAAATCAAACAATTCTTCACCAGTCTGAAATATTTGCAGTATTTGACTCATTTGAGCAAATATTCGGAAGTGTTCCAGCTAAGTTATTATAAAACTTTCAGACGACAAAACTGAAAAGCAACACAGTTAAACTACAGAACTTAACATCAAACATACCGTGGTTTGCAGAAGGATCAAAATGCCTTCTGTACCAACCATATGAGCCGTTTTTCGCATGGCTGTAAGCTGCTCATTTGTCAGATTCGTGAAAGGGATATGTTGAGGTTTCATCCTACAAACGATTGATAATCGTCAATAGCTTGAACAAAAATACCGTGATGATACGTCAATTACGTCTCACGTAACCATGTCTCACCATTCATCACACATATTCTGAGCCATGTAAAAGAATAGTGACACCAAATCCGGCACATTTTTCGTAGTAGGTGTAGTTGTTAATAATTGTAGAGTCAAATTGCCTAGTGCTCCAGGCAAATGTTCTTCAAATACGGTTTTAAGAACATCAATAACTTCGAGCAAGGGAGCATAAAAGGTCGGTCCGCCTGCCAATAATTCCAAGTATGATCCAGCCTGGAGGCCAAAAAAACATTAGCAAACAGGTAGAGAACACATTACTAAAAGTTTTTTAAGTCACTTACAATATACGGAGGCTTCTTGAATGTAGCGGTACTACCAACCGCTGTACTCGACGACGCGCCACCGCCACCATTGTCACGCAGCACATGATATGCAGCCGATGACGATGTACTTGGCGTTGCACTGAGTGGTATACTATTATCGGAATCAATCCACCAATACGTCGTTGGAGTTTCCATTGGTGTGTCTTCGCCACTTCTAGGCGATGGAGAGCGTGCTATAGCTTGAGTGGTGGTCGATGCTGCTTCTATCATTGCTGCTGGCAAATCGTATTTTTGACTGTCGATTCGTAAGGCGTCTGTGGGAATATGATTGAAGTGGAGGTTAGAAGGCAAAAAAGACTGTTTCTGTCAGATAGTGTGAATGATTCAACTGACCTTGACACTCATCATCGCTCTTACACATCCTGCCTTCCAAGCACTCAACATGTTCAACTCGTAGAAGATGTTTGCGAATAAGTCCAATGTGCATCTTTTTCCAGACCTGTAATTTACGAAATAGGAATCAGGAAAAATATGATACGATCATCAATGGAATCAATAACTTTGATCATTTGAACTCTTATGGTTTCCCACCTTTAGACAATTACGACACACAGCTTTCTTAATAACCCTCGTCTCCAAATCCTTGACGATGTAAAACCTCAACAAGATATCATCGTCATTGAAAACTTCAAACGGCGTCTCATAAGCTTCTGGATCATTTAATTTACGTTTTAGTCGTTCAGCAGATGTCGAGTTGTGTAGGTTTTCGGCGAGGATGCTTGCTAATTCAGCTAGAGTGTCCATACTTGTGTCGGTTGGTGGTAGTGGTGCTCGCTGTTGTATCTGTTGTTGCTGATATTGGTATGAATGTATATATGCTATTGTATTTGGTTGTGTAGATGGTACCGGACGGTTTAAGGTCACCGCTGCTGGTGGGTATCGAATAGGATCATCGGCATTGTGCAGATTGATCGTTGGAATGGCGGCAATTGTTGTCTAACGTAAAAAATCAATAAGCCGTTCAGAATCACAGTAGTTTTTGGAAAACCCCCTACCAATTGATCTAAAACCACACGATCCCCATCAACCAGATCTAACGACTCTAACGGGACATGCATAATAACCAACTGATTCTTATGCGAACCTATACGCTTCGTAACCATACAACTCGGGCTGAAGCACAACCACTTATTGTCCTTTGTGTCATATATAGTCTGATGAATGCCATCGTCACTAATCGGCCCATGCACCCAGTAGCATCGTATATCATTTCCACTTTTCGTTGCTTGACTATGTGCAGCTTGAGCACTATCCAATTGATCAAAGACAATAAATATGGATGGGCGATTATCTAGACCCATAAACATTTTTGCGGATTTGATGTTGCCGAACTGGCCAAATATATTGTGTATTTGGGCCCTTGTCGTGTTTGGTTCGAGGTGTTCGAAAAGGAGGGAGGAAGAGCCTGCAACTTCGTCAACAACGATCTGTATAAAGGTGTTTTTGTGATGAGGAGAGCAAAGGACATACAATATCAGTGAAAGAGAATAGATACATATCAAACTTGTCGATTACCTGAAAGTATTGACTTGGATCAAGCACTCGCTGCTGCGACTGCTGATGCTGGTGCTGTGGCTGTTGCTGCTGACTGCCATGATCCTGATGCACACCTTCATAACTGCTACATCCCAATATGTAAGCATGCATCATCTTACACGATTTCATAGCCAGCATCGAAAAACACACCTCAACATGTTTTGGTTTTGGATGCCTCAGCACATGCACCCTTTCGAAGCGGTGAAGGACAGCGTAGAACCAATGAATGTATAATTCCAAGATCCTAGAAATAAGAGATGTACTCACTTAGAGCCAGGAAGTTTAACTGATGGGGTATATATCAGATGTGGTCATTTTTCGACCATTTGTCATGGAGATGCTTTGAACGACGAAAGGCAGTATGAAGAGTGAAATAAAGACTTACGTTAATGCACGCTGGAGTATACAATGCTCCGCTCCTAGTCTCTTCTTTTCAGCTTGGATTTCACCAGAGGCCAAGCTAAATGTGACGTATCAAGAGGCGGAGGTTGAAATCACTTAAAAACTACAACACGCAGATGAGAACACTTTTAACGGATTTTCAGGCATAAAGATACGTTGTTTACCTAAATAATCACTACACACAGAGCTACAGAACTATGGAAAGACTACACATTTTTAAGACCACCCAGACACACAACTACCACACTAAGCTTCAAACTACCCAAACTACTCTTCCTTGGCTTGGGCTTGCTGCTCATTAATAACTGGAATCACAAGCACACTTGAAGACTCAGCAGCAGCGGACGTGGCAGCAGTGGCATCCAACAACATATGCAAACCCGTACGATCGGATTCTGAGCCAGCAGAACGGATTTCTGGTGTTGAGGTAGTTGTGCCTTGTTGTTGTTGCTGCTGTTGTTGTTCAGTAGTAGCAGCAATGGTATGTTCAGTAGTAGCAGGAATCGCGCGTTCAGTAATAGTAGCAGTGACTTGAGTTGGAACTTGAGGTGCTGGTCGAGATTCAGGAGCCTAATGAGTGTATTCGTCTTTAGAAAAGCGGTCTTTTTTTGGGCACCCGAAGCATGATGTAAACGACTCTTGGTCTATTTTGGTCCAGACCTCTTCAATCATAGCACCAATAGGAGCAACACCACCACCAGACACATCAGTCACAGCTGCATTAGGCGGCTGTACCGGACTAACCAGATTAACAACCGGCTGAGTGACCAGACGCACACGTTTAGCTGCTCGTTCCGGAGCCGTGGAATCAATAGCATCAATAGTGACACGCTTATTGTTGTGTCCAACATCACCACCATTAGGTGATCCATGTTCCATAAGAGTAGGGTGAGCAGGGACACCTTGTGTTGGATATGTGTATACTTGTTGTTGGTCTACCGGTGAGCGAGGAGATTGACGAGGAGGAGCATTGCGAGTGAAGCGCCAGTCTTGGATTGGACCGTCGTAAAAGAGGCCGTTTACGCATGGTTGGAGAGAGTATCTATGAGAAACGTGGTTGAGAAAGTTGAGCAAAAGATGTTATGATTGAAAGTATGACCCAAAAAAAAGCCGCAAATCGAACTTGGTACATTACCCTCGCATAAACATCTTATTCATAATCTCAGTCCAAATCTTGACATCACGAATAGCATCCTCATCGGCTGGAATAGCAGGTGCTTGGACAGGTTGTACCTGGTTGTTACCATGTACAGCACGAGTATCATAAAACTCTCCGTTTTGGTATCCAGGATCACTGCGATAGGATACAAAAGATGAAGAACGACGAGACCTAACACAAAACAAAACAACATAAGTCATCCCCTTCAGCATACCCCCAAACCCCAAACTTTGTTCAACGTACTGAGGAGGAGAAACAGGATAAGCCATACTCTGCATAGGCACATATTGTGGCTGACCTATGACACGACCATTTCCTTGTTGTTGCTGTAGTTCCATGTAACGCACAGCAGATGGTTGAGAAGACGACGATGGCGAGCCGCGATAATCACCACCAGGTTGAGAAGCCACATAGGCGACTTGAGAAGGTCCTAGAGATCCTCGTCGGATAGACGTATGTTTTGGCGGAGCGTTACCTATATAGGACATAGGTGTAAGCGGTTGAGTGAGTGAGAGATTCCAACAAGATGAAAGTTACGCAAAGGGCAAAATGTAGACGATTTAAATGCAATTGGTATCAAGCTTACCTGGAATACCATAAGAAACTGAAGACGGTGCCATTGGCATTCGGTTCATCGTTGGATGTTCAGATTGAGATTGTTGAGCTGGAACCCTTATATATTGAGGCTGATTGTGCTGTTGTGGAGGTACAATATAAGGCTGCTGCATTTGGTAGCGAGACATTGCTGATTATATTGTTGACTTGAGTTGACTCGCACTCTGCTTGCTCACTTTTAAACCTGGTTTTGTGTCGGTATTTGAGAAAGAGAGATATATAGAGTTGTTTTTTGTGCGAGGTGGTGTTGTGTCTACAACAAACGGCTTCTAACCAGATTGTGTAGCTTCCAAAACAAATCTTATGTACAAAGCATCTTATGAGGTATTCTCGCGTCATTCACGTCCTTGATCCCAAATACAACAATACAACGAGAATTTCATCGTAAACTCAAGGTCACAACATCTCAACCTCAGAAAAGTCGCACTGAATAAAAAAACAACTGAGGTCGCGCACTGAATAAAAAACCACAACCCGGCTTATAACTGAATGATAATATATTGGAAGTTGCGTATTTTTATAAAAGAGCACTCTTCTTAGAACTTCCTCTTTTTTGGTTGATTTTTTCGTCGGGCTTGAATACCTTCCCTCAAATTGTCCAAAACTTTGACTGTATCTTCCCAATGTATGCATGCATCAGTGATGGATTGACCTAAATAGTACATGGTTTGGTTGAGCTGACTTTGTTGTAAACGTCATACGCATACGACCAACACGACCATGGCATACCATATGTCAGAGCAGAAGGCCCATCCTTGGTCAAGTTCTGACGCCCTTCCTTCAAATGAGACTCAATCATAACACCAAAGATAGCATTAGCAGTAGACTCATCACCACGACTAGCCAACTGATCCGATATATCCTTTGCACACACAATCTGATTCTTGTGCATCTTGCTCGAGTTTCCATGCGAGCAATCAATCATAACAGCAGGTCGTATAGCAGCCTTCTCCAACTGTGCAGTCGTCGCCCTTACGTGCTCAGCCGAGTAATTAGGTCCACCATTACCGCCCCTTTAAAAAAGTAAAATGAAATTTTAAATTTGTTACTCTGGCGCTCAATAAATTAAGCATGAATGTATGATCCTGGCTCAACGTACCTCAATATAACATGACACGAATCGTTTCCATCTGTAGCAACGATAGCAGATACACCCTGTTTCGTAACCGATAGAAAGTGATGCCCAACACTTGCAGCTCTGATGGCATCAATGGCGATGCCAATGTTGCCGTCTGTGCCGTTTTTGAAGCCTACAGGGACTGACAGCCCCGAAGCGAGTTCTCGATGGACTTGGGATTCGGTAGTGCGTGCTCCGATGGCACCCCTGAATCATTGATAACAAATGCATTAATTTTATGATGGGGCTGTCTGGAGAAAAACGAGAAAAGGTACCAGGAAACCAGATCTCCGATATACTGTGGGGTGAGTGTGTCGAGGAACTCACAGCCTGTTGGCATACCGCTTTCGTTTAGTTCCAGAAGCAGACCACGGGCGATCTTCAAACCCTTGTTGATCGAATATGTGTCGTCCAAATTTGGATCATTGATGAGGCCCTTCCAGCCTAAGTTGATAAAGAAACCCGGAAAATGGTCAATCGTGACTTCATAGTGCGAGAACATTCAATCGTGCCTTTAAAGTGCTTGTCTATGCTAGGTTCTGACACAATTTTTTTGGCAAAACCAAGGTTTCGACATGTGTCAAACAAAGAAAATCTATCCTGGCTTACCAACAGTAGTTCGAGGCTTTTCAAAATATACACGCATAATGATATGCAAGTCTTCAGCAGATTTGGCAGCATAGTCCAACAAGAGCTTGCTGTATTCTTTGGCAGCCTTCACATCATGGATGGAGCCTAATAGGTGCATCGTGATGGATCAATATCGTTCCAGCAAGACAAGCTGTAAATTCAACACAGACTATGCTTTTAAATATTAAAAGCGTCTGTTGAGCAGTCCGTAAGTGACATGCGAGACTGTACGTACATGGACCAACAATCACCAACCTACAACAAAAACACCACTGACGGTTAATATGAAGCATTGAAGCACTCGATACCACAAGCTAACTGCTTCTAAATCAATATTGTTTCAAGTGCTCAGTACTTACAAACGGTCATCAACACCCTTGATGATGTTTTCAGCATCCTCCCTTCCCTTTCGTACAGTGTCAATAGCAGCACTAGACAAGGGATAGTCCTCCATCAGTAGCTGAGGTGGAATCAATGGCTTCACATCTACAATTCGTCTGTCGTCGAGTTCGTTGATTCTGTCCGAGTCTAGCCTCTTGGAACTCGACTTTGTGCGTTCCATGGGCACTGAGTGCTTTCCGTTCTGAGTCATTTCATATGTTATATATGGATATACAGGTATATGGGTCAGTTCTGGCTCTCCTTTCAACCTCGGGTTGATGGGATTCTGGGGGATTCTGACTGCTGTGACTGACTTTGAAAAAAAGATTTTTGCTTACCCCATCGATGAGTCAGCAAAGAACCACAAATGAGAAAACACGAAATTGGAACTGAGAAGTTTATATCACATATGCTGTGTTTATTTTACTACGATACATTTTCATTTCTACCAACTCGCAACAGTAACCAACTGAAACACTCGTCATACCTCCAACATCATTTCCAAACTCAAAACTTGACAGTGTATAAATCCTTAGGCTTGCGTGTACGAACTTGGTAAGCCTTGTTTGCATTTCCAACGAATGACACTCCGCCCAAAGCACTCATCAACATACTGAAAGTTTCACGATGCTTGTATGCACGTGGGAGACTGGCACCAAGCAACGCAGCAGAAGCGAGCGTACCAACATCATACCTGATTACAAAATATTGTAAACAACCAGGATCGTAAACCTACATCTACATCATACACCTCATACCCATGCATTTCATGACCACGGGCAAGCTGCATTCCAGAGTATATGAAGGCCAACGCAAGACCACCAGCGATGGCACCTGTGCGTGGCTGGTTGAGGGCGCTGTAGGCGTACATTCCTGAAGCTCCACCTAGGTGACAAGAGTGTTGGACAAGAGGTCAATTCCAAAAATCATTGAGAGAATTCCGAGTCCGAATCGATTCGTAGAGTATGTACGCACATAATCCTCCAACCAAGTAATGAGGGAATGGCTAAATATAGTTTAAGTTGTGTCAATTCAGTTGTTGGTATGTGGTATAAATGTCGACACCGATCGGTCTAATCAAACAACTACAAAATCCAAATATACTGATAACAAAAACTTACATCGACATGAGAAGAGACGGTACTGACTGCACCAGCGGCAGTTTCGGTCTTGGTTTCATTGGGATTGACAATACCCACACCAGAAGGAGAATTGGACATTGTTGATTGTTCTTGAATATAGTTGTCTTTCCGGCTTTTGTAGTGCTATGTATTGTTGAGCAACAAGATCTCCTTCTTGTTGTTTCTTGATGAGAAACTTTCTGTGAGTAGAAGCTTAACGAAACTTAAAAATAGAGTCCAACAAAGCATACACGTGCTTGTGTGTGAGAGAGCTATATATATTAACATACGCCCCAAATGGCAGGCGCGTTATACAACGTTATAGTGTGGCATAATCTAAAGAAAAGAGGTCCAAAAGGGTGTGTTGTTGTTATTGCCAAAGGTGGGTAGTCGATCGTCCGTGTAGTAGTAGCTAGTAATAGGTCTATTTGTTTCCACCACAGCTTTGTTTCATTTGGGCGCCTGTAATAACAAGCCAATGTTAGATGAGATTTCAATTGTTCATGGTAGATGTCGCAAGCGTTGTTTTGCGTACCTATCCACCACAACCCAACAAATGTAATCGAACCACCGAAAATGATGACAATTATAATAGCAAATGGCTATGTCAGAAACAAAAAAGTCGTTAGAAAACGTTCTTATGCACCCACTATCTTGTACCAATTTGCGTTGCTTTCATTGGTACCCAACCACCACCTGCGATTCAACCACATAATGCTTCCAATGGCCTGTACATCTCATCGCACAACCATTTCTGCCCTTCCCTCCCTGTCTCCCTTCACAAACAGTCGACATACACCCCATCGCCACATCACAGCCAAAAAATTAAACTCTTACACTCATTGGCCCAAGATCTCTCTTAATCAAGGAATGGGATTCATCGTCAACGGGTAATGCCAATGCAGTTGTAGCTAGTAATGCTAGTATGCAGAGGACGAGTAGTTGTATATAGGAGTGGGCCATTATTCGATGTGTGTGTTTTGGTCGGAGCTGGGGTTAGCGGTAGATGTTGGATTAAAACACGATGTAGACTTGTTTTAGATGTATGATATAAGTGTGTAAAGCTCCTCCTTGTTGCTCGGAAGACCTGCTTCGTATACGAGAACTTGCTGAAAACGGTTTTGTTGCGGTCTGTGTGTTGTGGTTCTGAAAGTGAGGAAGTGGGAGAGCCAATCAGCATTTCATGCATTTCGTTGTTCATAAGGGAGAGGCGAGCTCATAACACGCAAACACGTACCGATATATAGATACGACGAGACTCGTACCAGCGGATTAGCTGTATCACCCTTGAAATCAAAAATGCGTCCGAAAAATCCTGCATTTGTGGTTTGTGATGTATATTTCAAGAAATTTCAAATAATATTGTAAACAACGTGTTATAATCTACTTATGTTTATATCTCAAGCCATGTTGTCAGCACTGCCTGCCTCTTCATCCACACTTTCCAGATCACCACCAAGAGCTGGAGTACCAGCAACAGGCACTCGTCGTGGTGCAGTAATGCTAGTAGCACTGATTCTCTTAGGGTCTTGCGATGGAAGGCGTGACGGATTTTGGGAATGGACTTGATTATTGTTGTTGTTGGCTGATGATAAAGCACCGGGCGCTTTTTGAGTGAAGGTGGAGCCTATGGCCACTGAGGAAGTGACGTACCATAGACATAATGCGTTTACGAGGGTGCTAGAAATGGCAACGTGTGAGTTCAGTGAATACAGAAAGATGGACAATGACTCCTACTCGGTGGAGCAAAGGGCGAGACATAAAGTTCCGCTTTGGTGTTGGTTCAAGGTCTACATGTAATGAGACTTGGTCAGAATGCGAGATTGGACTTGAATATACCAATCCTACCATTTCCATCACATTGACAAATGTACTCGCGAGTGAGATGGACGCTCCCACCAAGTTCCTCTTTGCCAATGCCACATATTTCTCTAAGAAGAGCAAACAATTATTCTCATTGCGATTGCGACACACCCCACTCAGCAAAGAATGCGTTGATAATCAACAAATTCATACCATTTCGAGCCATCTTCAATGATTTGCTGGTACCCAGTACAGCCCAGACAAAGTATGTTGAAATATATATGGAGTCTAGATTTGCGATATCAAAATCGATTGGGTTAGGCTGTTCTTTTCAGTTTGTTCAAAGAAGTGCGACAAGACTTACAAAATACATCATACGCCACGAACGGAACTGTAAACTCCCTTCCATACCAAATCTCGCAATTTCCAACAGCTAGAGCTAAAGGGTTCATCTCATCCTCATTGAATTGATGGCCTAACACGCAGAATAAAGATTCAATATAGGTGTTGGCGAGGAATTACCTGGCAGAACCGCCGTTCGGTCTCCGCAGACACAACTCACCAGTAAAGAAAAAGCCTAGCAGGGCTATACCCAAGAAGGGAGTTATCAAAACCATATTCATTTTCCAGAGAGGGTCCTCGAATCGTGTACGTAAACTATACAAACGGCTGTGTGTTAGAAAAAAGCAATGATATACAGAGCTTTAGTAAAGATGGAAGACTCACCTTGTGACAATATGCAGTTTTTCCACTAAATTAAAGGAAGCAAGTTGTGTGAGTGATGACCAATCAAATACATATACAATAGTGTGTGTTTTTTGCCCCACAGCACTTACCGAGAAACAGGTACATAATCACTTTGCTTCCTGAAACAAGACATGAGCAAAAACATTAGTCAGAAGCTCGGACGGCTCGATGAGATTTGTATAGGTAGTTTACCTGCGTATAAAATTACACAAAATATGTGTACTCCATCACATACAGAGTCACTCCAATCGGAGTTGCCGACCAAGAAACTAGCACCAACTGAGGAAGTAGTCGGAAGCGCGTAAGCATTTTTGCGTTCCGGATTGGGTCTAGCCCAAAACTACCAGGTGCCCAATTTCGCTGAAAGACATAGAAACAAAAACAACAATAACGACAACACATACTTCCAAACCCAATGGACAGAATAAGTTGTGCAAACCTCAAGAATCTAACAGAAACAAAGACCGAGATTGTTGAAATCATTATTTGTCACAACCTCGTTTTGTGACCATTTTTGAAGACTTACCTAGTATAGTCCATCGGGAACAACATCCTGTAAAGACAATGAACATTGAACCTTTGAATCAGCAATGATAACGCTGAATCTTTGCAATCCTACCTCAAACTCAGGCCTAGCAGAATACTAATTGCGATAATACATATCAGGAAGACACCCTGGGCCACATTCTCGAGGATAGTCCAATGAGCCATGCCCGTTTTTCAGCGCGTTCTCTCAACAAATTTAGACGTTGGTTCCGTGTACCTTTACGCGTGTTGAGTTTTTTTGGCTGCCCAAATTGCAGAAAATAGGGAAAACTCGCAAAGGTGAAGTCCTACTTTGCGGGTTTCCACTTGCAAAAAAACCTTGCGTTGTTACGAGTGCCGAACGATACCCCCGAGCATAACCTCCACCCACGGGGGTGTCATGCGCGGTTGTCCTTGATTCAGGCGAAGCGGAGCCCTTTGGGGGTAGCAGAACAAGGTGTCTTGGTTAAAATCAAATAGAGTTCAAAATGAGACCACGAGTCATATGGGAGGTACGAGGCCTTGTTTTTACATGTCGGAGAATTCTTTTTACAAATCCAGCTGTCCATATTAAATACTTGTGATGCGAATGCGAGAGCGAGACAGAGTGGAAGTAATAATAAATTCAAATCTTTTCCTGTTTCTTTTACTGCAATGAAGTCTTTGCAACTTCGTAAACTCCCAAAAAGATACTGCCACCTAACGAAATCCACAACACACGAGGGACAATCCCAGAAAACAATCTCCCCCATCCCTCTTCTCTCAAAATATGGGAGAATGTAGATACGATGGTGGGTGATTCCTTCCCAGTCTTGTTTGATAACATGATTCGTGTTTTGACTACGTCTAGCGGTGTAGTGAGACCAGCTGCTACACCACCTGATATGGAGCCGCAGAGAGCAATTTCGTATGGTAGCGGTGGGTGGTTGAACCATGTTGACCATTTCACCTTATTATGGAAGGTTTTTGTTATGTGGTGAAGACTAAGTGAATTGTGTATAACAAATACCTTGAGCCACTCATATAATGGGAATTGTATACAAGTGAATGGGATCTACCACAAGAAATTTATAAGTAAACGGAACAAAAAAAACAGAGTTGGCTGTCTCTATTACCTCACGAACAATGGTACTTGAAAACCCTCTATAGAAACCAAATACACCAGATGTACCCAATATCTGTCTCACAGCATGAGAAACAGATGTATACTGTTTTGTTTGCATTCTTTGTTTGATGACTTCTGTAGGTACACGTACTGTGCATGCTGCCTACAAGAAGAAATCGTTAGTGACAGCTTGAAACTGCAACAGCAATATAGCTCACGATTTCACCACCAGAAGCAGCCAACATGTGCATCACGTGCGGATTTATAGATGGGAAGTTTTTGCGCAGACCATCTTTCAGTCCTTCATAGGCCAAAAAGAACATGCCAGCTACACTTGTCCACAGGTCAGCATCAACCACAGGCATCGCCACACATCGCGACGTACCAGAAGGAGCAGATCCAATAACAGCAGATGATAGGCCCGAATAAATTCCTTTAAATCCACCAGCAGCTCGAAAGCCATTACGTGATTGCTATGGTCAGAACTATGGATTGTTAATGTTGGCAAATTTGACCAATTGGTTGCATGAATCAACTGATGTCAACGTACCAGACGTGTTTTGAGCGTATCTAGAGGGAATAGGACCGTATCTACAGCAGTACCAGCTATTCCGCCTGCCTATAGTTCAAGTTGTTAGAATTAGAAAATGAGTTGATAACAGCTTAAGCTTAAGAAAACACGGTCACTATGAATTAGTTTACCAGGAGAGCTTGCCAAGCAGATGGCGGTTTATCCATTTCTTCATGAAAAACACGTCCTTGGACAAGAAACTGTGCACCTTCCTTCAGCTTTCAACTTGCTGAAAAAAAAAACTTGAAAGACAGCATAGAACAAGATGGTGAGCAAAGGAGCGAGATAAAATGAATTTGAATTCGTTCATCGCGTATTTGCTAATCTATTCTCCCTTATGTAGCGGCCTATATTATTACAAGGACACGAACGTTCTCTCACTCGAGTCAAATACAATCGAGATGGCGACCTGCTCTTTTCTGTATCAAAGGACAACAAACCAAATGTATGGTGGTCGCATACTGGCGAGAGACTAGGCACATTCAATGGCCACAATGGTGCCATATGGGATTTGGATGTATCTTGTAAGCTTTGACATTTAACTGTTGGGACAAAAAAGACATGTCAGTGTCTAACGTGTATACTACATATGCAGATGACAGCACAAAACTACTCACAGGATCAGCTGACAATACATGCAGAATGTGGGATGTATCAAATGGAAAGGAGCTCTTTCAGTGGGAAACCGAAACTGCTGTCAGAGCTGTTGCTTGGGCTATGGGTGATCAACAGATGCTCTTTGTCACTGATGCTACCATGGGAAAGAAGTGTGAAATACACATTATAAACATTGAGGAAGATATGAATGAACGTGAGTTGCAAAGGATGGGTGTTGGGTTGCGGATGTTCTCTTGAACCAAGATATCGTAATCCTGGCCGTCTTTTTTGCTCCGTACACATCCTAACCATCCTCGTATACAGAATCACCAGACGCAGACATGATAATGACTGTAACAGGCTCAAAAGCTACCGTGGCTGGTTGGGGAAACCTCAATAAAGCCATATACACGGGCCACGAAGACGGTTCGATACAAGTATGGGATCCAGAATCTGGTGAACGTAATCGGATGGTCAAAATGCACTCGGGTCCCATACAAGACTTGCAATTCTCAAAGGACAGGAGTCATTTTATTACTGCTTCAAAAGATCACTCGGCTCAAATATTTGATGCCAAGACACTCAAAGTTATGAAGAAATATCAGACTGAACGACCTGTAAATTCTGCCGCATTGTCACCTAATAGGCCTCATGTAAGTGCTGACAAGAAATGGACCTCCATTACTGTTACTGGACGAAGTCTCTCTCGACTACATGAAATCTGACAACCACTCTCTTTCTACATAGATTATACTTGGAGGTGGTCAAGAAGCCATGTCCGTCACAACCACATCTGCAAGACAAGGAAAATTCGAAGTGAGATTCTTCCATCTAGTATTCGAAGAAGAATTAGGGCGTGTTAAAGGTCATTTCGGTCCCATCAACACTCTTGCATTCAGTCCTGATGGTCGAGGGTAAGTTACTCGTCTTGTTTTGTGATAGCAGATACAGTGTATTGTGTAGTCTTGATGCCGCTGATATCAAGTCATATATTCACTTGTAACTTCCATTTTTGTGCCCATGTAGATTTGCAAGTGGAGGAGAAGATGGTTATATCCGATTACACTTTTTCGATGAGGACTATTACACTTTTGCGTATGTGTACATCCAGCACGCAGACCACTTTTTACCGTTTACTAAATTATGAATATTTTCTATAGATACGAAGAGGAAAAAATTCAACAATAAACAAGTGCTCTATGATGGATGTATAGTTTGTCTAGTCTGTTTTCTAATATAACAGATTGGGATGCAAGAACAAGTGGTTGATGATGTCTATTGATGCTTTCATGGTGTGTCTGGAGTTACTCTGTTGGGTTTGAAAAGGAGGGTTTTATTATCAACAGCTTCGTCGAGTGGCTTGTCACGGATGTTCAATGCCTGAAAATACAGATTCCGTCAGATTTGTGGGGCCACAAACACGATCTACAATGAGTTGAATGGAGTTAGCACTCCGAGCCAACGCATCGAATACTAACCAATGATTCAATTCTTTTGTCGAAACCTTCAGAGACCAGGAGTGCCGCTATTGGGATTTGAAGACAGGATTGGTTGTCGTGATTTTCCAAAACTCTAACCAACGAGGGTGTAATGCTGCCAATGCCAGTCCAAAGCCCGGATATGAAACCCCAGATGACACTCTTCTTACCCTTTTAAAGAGAGATAGCTTTTTGGGATTTGGATGTGTCTTCCTCCATGACGTTGACATCTATGTTGACGAAACAACGCAGAAGCTAACAAATGTATCTGTTAAGACGGCAGCGCAATACAACTCACAGGATCAGCTGAAAGCATATGCAGAACTTGGGATGTATCAAGTCGAAAGGAAACTTCGATTGCCAAACCAGAACTGCCTCCGAGCTGTTGCTTGGACTATGGGTGATAAGCATACAGGTACTATCAGTTCGTGTCATAGAGTTGCTTTTGATAGTTGATTGTGGTGTTATCATTGTGTTAATGATGACAGCGATTTGGAAAACCAGTTGTTTCTGTTTTGTTGCCCATGTAGATTTGCAAGAATAGGAGAGGGTGTTGTAACCGATACACCTTTTAACGGGGACTCTTGCGTATGTGTATACCCAAAACACATTCCCACACATTCAATCTTTTACCGTTTACTAAATTCTTATCAACAATAAACAAATGGTTTATGATGGATGTACAGTGGTCTGTCTAGTCTGTGTTCTAATATAACAGATCAGAAATTTGAATGGAAAACTCGTCTAGTGGTTGATTGTGTCTCTGGATCCCTTCATGGTTTCCCTTGAGCGACTCTGTTATTTGACGGGAGGATGTTAGCATCAACAATAACAAAGAATCACAGTGGGGTGAGTCTAAAACCATATCCGAGACTAACTTTATTCTTGTTTTTCTTCTCCTTGGACTGCTTTTCCAAATACTTCAACACGGCTCCCATTCCTTGACCAATAATTGACATTGGAGGGTTGTCAAAGGGATTGTCACGGATATCCAACGTCTAATTTGATAAATGGTTGAGTATGGGCCCCAAACAATGGGAAGTGAATCTCTTTGAATTGAGTTATCACTTACGGTCAACGCATCACACATGTACAACTCATCTGGCAAATCAGACAAGAGATTGTAACTGACATCCAATCTCTGTAATTTGACCATGTGTCCGACTTCTGACGTCAGAATTGCGAGTTTGTTGGATCTTATTTCGAGAACTTCTAGTTCTACTAGTTGTCTGTATAATGAGAGAGAATGGGTTGTTAGAAAAGAGGACATTCATATAGAGCATATTGAAAGTAGTAAGGAGCTTACCCAATAGATTTAGGCAAATACTCAATCTTGTTGTTATTCATATACAGCCTCGAAATCTTGGTCAGGTTACCAATATCATCCGGCAATGCAACAAGCAAGTTATCACTAATGTCCAATTCGATGAGGTTGGCGAGGTTGCAGATTTCGTCGGGTAAGAATTCGATGCTGTTCTGACTATACATCCAATCAAATTGTTAGTTATATCTGAGTTAACTCTGTGACATCCTTGGTGAAGAAAGACCCCTTTTTTGCATACCTGAGGAAGATACGCTGCAGATTATCCAGTTTAGCAATACTATTTGGTATAGCATATGATCCCAGCTGATTTCTACGGAGATCGAGGTAGATCAATTCACTTAATGAGCCGATTGAATCCGGGATTTGTTTGAGCGAGCATGTGTTTGCATCTAGACGTTTCAGGTGGACTAAACTTCCAATGAATTCTGTTAAATGGCACAAAAAAGGGTATGTCAGCGTAAAAATATTTCACATTGTTGTGATGATGAGATTTGGGTATCGATGATAAAAAGAAAAAAGTTGATGAAGGCCGTGCAGGATGCACACTTACGAGGCAGCTCTTCAATCTGCGTATTTTCCTTCATAATCAACTCGACCAAATTCGTCCAATATTTCAATCCAGAAGGAAGAGTTTCCAGTTTCGTGTTTCTCACGTTTATACCACGTAGATTTCGTAGACGGGCTACACTTCCTGGTAGTTCAGCTAGCTGTCGGTTTTCTTGAATATCAAATAGTTCAAGTTTTACAAGACCTCCGACTATAATGATTGATGGCAAGTTAGTACCAACCAAAACAAGGGAGATCGCACTTCTAAATGCATCTTAGAAGTCTGGATCTCTTTTCCAATGTACCTGATTCAGGAATATCCTTCAAGTGATTTGATCCAATCAAAAAAACAGTCAGGTTGGGCAACATGCCAATAGATTCAGGGAGTTTCACGATTGCATTGTTTGTCAGATTGAGTTCCTGTATGAGCCAAGAATTTATTATCAGTGTGGTTCAATTAGCCTCTAGCAAGAAAGGGGTTTTTTTGTTGCTTTACCTTCAACATTCTCATATTCGAAATGTTATCACCAATAGTTCGTATCTTGTTGTTTTTAGCATGTAGGATTTCCAATGACGCTAGTGTGAAGATACCTGATGGGATTGACTAGACCAAAATGGCCACAGTCAGAGACTCACAACGCTTAGTGAAAGACAAAACGATACTCACTTTAAGAGCATTGTCAGAAACATTCACTTCTTTCAATTGTCGTAACTTTGCTATTATTTCTGGAATATCCCTATTTGATTGTAAATACGTCAGAGACCCCATTCCTACATCAGCAAAAAAGATACGAAAAAGCCTCCCATAACTCACTCAAGCTGATTTCCACTCAAATCAAGACGTTGCAGATTAATCAATTCAGAAATCTTGTTTGATATTGGTGTGCAGAATAATCGATTTTGTGCTAAATTTCGGACGCAAAGTGTAAGTTTCCAGCCAAAAGGGATCCCTGGACCATGCGGCGATAGCATGTGGTTGCTCACATGCATTGATATCCGTTATCGAAGTCGGGAGGTCAGACGGGAAGGAAGTGATTGTGTTGTTTGATATATTCAGTGTAGTTAGTTTCGTCAGTTTCACTAGCAATCGAGAATAACGGTTAGATTGCCATTTTAGTACGGATGCAATAAATCTCAGATAACATACATAGTTCTTGAGGCAGATCCGTCAATGAGTTATTACTGACATTCAGCGTTTCTAATTTCTTGCAGACTTTGATATCGCTTGGAATTTCCTTCAAGCTGTGAGAGGATAGGTCGAGAGTGTCTTGCCGACGTGCATTGGATATTTCTTTTGATAGTGGAGATCCCATCGTTTATCCACTTCTAAATCTTTATGGTTTGGTAGGTTGAGAAATTGCGATGCCGAATTGTGGTTCGGAGAGTTAAAGAAGAGCGAATCTGGCCAGGACAGAGGCGATCATGAAAATTCAAGTTAAATTACACGAAAAGGACGTGTCGGCAAATCTATTATAAGCTCTTCTTTGTCGTTTCTAGCGTCCTTCGTTTTTTGCTGGCAAAATGATCAAAGTGACTACTATGGATGAAGAGGATGAAGCACCTGAGCTTATACCTGATGATGAAGAGGCTCCAGCTGTGTCTGATATTGCACAGTACGTACACCATCTTGTTTATTGTTTTGGTAAAGTGGAGCTGAGAACAAGAGACCTAATCTTTGGAATCGTTGACAGGATCCAACCACTGCTACCATCTACGTCACTACAAGAACGTGTTCCAGTGACTATCATTACTGGCTTCTTGGGTTTGTCCCTTACTGTGATCTTTTACCTCTGACATCAAAACACATCAATCACACCATCTTGCACATACAGGATCAGGCAAAACAACCCTCGTCCAAAACATCCTCACTTCCCCGCACCACAAGAAACGCATCGCCGTAATCCTAAACGAGTTTGGCGACTCGGCCGGTATCGAAAAAACAAACAACACTACAACTCTCTCATCAAACGATGCCTCACAACAACCACTCCCACAATGGGTCGAACTCGCAAACGGCTGTCTCTGCTGCTCGACAAAGGACACGGGCATACAAGCTATCGAATCCCTAATGGAATCCAGGGGTCGGTTCGACTACATTCTGCTCGAATCGACCGGACTGGCGGATCCAGCTCCCATCGCGTCGATATTTTGGCTGGATGAGGGCCTAGCTAGCAGTGTGAAACTCGATGGGATTGTGACTGTTGTTGATGCGAAGCATGTGTTGAAATATTTGGAGGAGGAGTCCGGTGTGCATGGACATGGTGTTAATGAGGCGACAAGGCAGATTGCGTTGGCTGATCGGATACTGGTTAATAAGGTGGATTTGGTTGATGATGCAGGTGTGAAGGAGGTGGAGGGGGTTGTTAGAGGGATTAATGCTGTCGCTCCTGTTGCGCGGTGTGTGAAATCCATGTAAGAGACATTATCGTAGCTTGCAGGTTTTCCCTTTAGTTAAGACGCATGATTTGTGTAGAGTGGATCTTGACTTTATACTTGGACTAAACGCTTTTGATGGACGGCAAGCGCCACAAGAAGTACACGAAGATACCACGATACATCATCATGAACATGATCACGACCACACGTCTGTACGTAGCATCCATATAAGTTTTCCTTTTTTCCCACTCACCAAAATTCACACACACAGCACGTAACAACAATATCATTCACACACTCAACACCCATCCACCGCACCTGCTTCGAATCCTGGCTGCAGCGCATCCTATGGGAGCCTGCCGCCATAGAAAACTTACCAGGCCTTGAGATCCTACGTCTCAAAGCCGTGCTTGATTTAGTCGAGTCACCTAATACGAGGACGATAGTGCAAGCTGTGAGGGAATTGTATGATTTGAATGATGGTGGTGTGTGGGAGGAGGGTATAGATAAGAGGGTTTGTCGAGTTGTAATTATTGGGAAGGGGCTGAAGAAAGAGGTCTTGTATCAGAGTTTTGTAGATGCTGTTACGTGAGAAGTTGTGAATACAGTAGTTTTTGCATTGATTGCACTGAGGTGGTGGTTTTAGGTATGGGATTGTTTACTGTTGGTTGATGCCAAACATGTGTTGTGGGGGTTTGAATCCAACATGGTGGCGCCAACGCAACCACGGAATACATTCGGGGAGTTATCACTGGGATGAATGATGTCGCTCTCATTGCCCGTTGTGTGGAATCCATGCTGTAACAGCCAGTCCATGATTTTTTATGGCTCCTTTTCTCGCTCTTGCATTTTCGAACATCTCTTGCGTAGAGCCAATGAATCTTGCCACTATATACTAGCATTGAGCGCTTTCGATGGATGACAACGACCGGGAGGCCTACGTAAAGATGCTACGATACATCATTATGACCGTGATCACGACTACTCAAGTTGACAACCCAACTCTCACTAGCATGGAACAACAAAACCATTCGCACGCTCAACCCCCATCCACCGCTCACCCTTCGAATAATCTAACTCATCCTATGAGAATCTGCAACCCTACAACATGTATAGGTCTTGAGATCCTACATCTCAAAGCCGTGCTTGATGCAATCGCGTCACGGGGAGGCAAGAGTGCTTTGTATGCTGCGAGGGAATGGTATGATTTGAATGATTGAATGATGGTGGTATGTGGGATGCGGGTATAGATAAGACAGTTTGTCGTCGGATTGTAATTATTGGGACGAGGCTGAAGAAGGATGTGATTTATTAGAGTTTGTTAGATGTTGTTACGTGAGAAAATGTACATATGGTAGTTTGACATTGCATGACATGTCGTCGAAGGAGTTTCTTTGTGCAGAAGTTCTATTTTTAAATTGCAAACTTATTGAAAGGCAAACTATGAAAACAGCACAACCAAAAACAAGCAAATGCAGCATAAAAACAGCCATCTTCTATAACCCTCCCAATCGTTCGTTTCACTCTACTCTCCCTCATTTCTAGATTTTTGATGTAGCCATCTCAGCAGCACTTGGCGTGCTCGGCAAAGTAGCCGCCACAGCAGTAGCAGCAGCAACCAACGGCGACTTGCCCGCATCAGTAACAGTCTCATACGGAGGCGACGGCGACGTTCCGCCATACATCATCTGCGGATAATGCATCCCAGTTCCATCAGGCACGTAGTATGCCCCTACACCATTCATGTGCCCACTATTTACATCCATCATAGTCTTGATATCCCCTTGCTGTATACTGTACGGATACGTGTGTGTTGCAAACGGTATAAATGGTGTTGCTTGGATCATGTCAAACATAGATGGCGATGTTGGCGAGTGTGTGATGTGTTGTATGTAGGGCACGGTGGGTATGTATGTTGGGTATGCTGTATAGTATGTTGTTGTTTGTGGGTGTGGGGTTGACATTGGTATGGCTGTTGTTGGTGGGGTTTGTACATTTGGTTGTGGTGCTGGCATGTTTCTTCTGTAGCTTGTTTGGCGTATGCGCGGTGATTGTATGTAGGTGTGTTGTTGTTGTAATTGCTGCTGTTGTTGCAAGAGGAGGACTTCTTGCGTTGGCCAGCCGCCATAGTGGTGATTGTGGACTTTTACTCGTGGGTCGCCTTGGACTGGCATGCCGTCTGGGCCTGTACGGAGGATTTTGCGTGAGTTGTCGGGTTTGAGATATAAATGACACTCAAAAACGACAAATGCTTGTTGTTTGTGATTGAATTCTGATGTGGCGCAAGTCGAGCTCACGCATTGAATATCTCTCAATAAGAACAATGCAAGTATGCAGCATGTAGCTTACCAGTCACTTTAACAGCCTGCCACCCCTTGTCTCCTCTTGCGACGTCAAATTCTACATCTTCACCTGTTGTGAAAGGTGTGGTATTATAGGTGTGTCGGTACAAACGGTGTTACAAACTTACCTTCAGCCAATGATCGGAAGCCTCCCGAGTTGATGATTGAAGTCCAATGTACGAATACTATGAGTATGGGGAGTGAGAGTCAATACTCCCGAATGTGCAAGATCGTGAGACATGAGAAGTGTTGATGTCTGTCTTGTTTTTCATCAGCAGCCGCATCTTCCCATTGAAAGCACCCAATATAAAGAACTGACAGATTGTAAAAGAAGCATGGGTATGTGCTTGTGTTTATCACAAGTCCGCAAGATCCCGATTAAAGCACAAAGGACACAAAAGGGATCGAGCTGGAGATGTACCTTCTTCGCCAATAGTAGGATCATTTGGTATGATGAATCCATAGCCTACAAATCACAAAGAGAGAGTAGGGGTGATGAGCATCATCGTGGATGCGTGTTTTCAAAGCCTCAACACACAATTGGCAACTTGATGTCCAACCTTTTTGCGAGTTAAAGAACTAGAGAAGGCGAGAATGTAGTTAGTCTGAGTGGTCATTTTATGATACAAATGCTGGCTTTCTGCCACATGCCTTGATTTTGCCCTTGAATGATGTGAGCTGTTGCTGGTCAACAATTGGCTCGAATACGATAGAGTCTTGCATCCTTGTTGGGAACGAGAGGCAGATAATATGATAAAGGATGGCTAGAGAATGTATCCACGTTGGTGCGCCTTCTCTTCTTATTGCTCTCGTTGGGAAGCCAGACTGCTTGTCTCCGGTTTGAATTGGTCGGATGCCAGAGACTGCTCAAACTCTCCAAATCTCCAACGTTCTTCAAACCACACGAGGGATATTATTATCGGCAAATACTCTACACCTGTGAGCAATAGGCGACTCTATCACTAGATCCGATAAGACACGGTGTATTTTAAAAGACACACCACTAGAACGATAACGATAAACTCCTCGGCTTTCCTGGCAAAGCAAGTTGTTGGCCCACTCGTTGGTTCCAAACAAACAAGAAGGAAAAAATCCAAACAAGCGCAGGGGTTTCAAACATACAGTTTTGCCATGCAAGCGGTGAGGAAGAATCGCTCTCGTAGACGCCTCTATCAGTGTTTGGAGGTACAGATTCGGTACAGGATGAGTTTTTTTTTCCCTCTTCTCTCGTCTTTTTCCTGATGTTGAACATTCGACTCGAACATTATATGTGTGCACCAACGTTTTTATCAAAACCACAATATTTGTCCACGCGGTTGCTCATCATGACACCATCGAGTCCGCACAATTGTGAGGAATCTATATCGTGACGGTCCCTCTACTAGTTGCCCGATCAATGTTCATGTCCCAGTTGGCCGTTTTCCTTGAACGAAACCCGTCGTTTGTCGCGAGAGAGGACACTAGATCCCTTTTCACACTATGGGCCGATCCGATGCAGAGTCCACATATTAAAAATAAATCCAAGCATCCTCGTGCGAGTGCGTCGCTCTACTAGAAGGTGATCGTCTCCTCATCTATTAGGTCACTATTGAGGCTGTCGCCAGCAACAACACATTCAGGATGCAGCGAGCTAGAATACACCTCCTATCTTCGTGCCAGCAATGTATACGTCACCAGCAATGGCGTACATTAGCTTCCTCTTCTGCATCACAACCAAAACCAAAGATTGAAGCAACTGGTCCACTGAAGGGTATTAAAATACTGGACTTGGGAAGAGTGCTGGCTGCTCCATATGCCTCCATGATATTGGGTGATCTAGGGTAATCTGATGCGCTACATGTAGTTGGGTCTGGCAACCACGCTCACAATTACCTTTTTTACAGTGCCGATGTCATCAAGATTGAACAACCTGGGTCTGGTGGTATGTTGCTGAAGATTTGTATTTATTTGGTGATTGGAAATGTATACGAGAGAGCTGAAGCGGTTACCGGCTGCTCTGAGGAGAACTTGATGCAGTTCTCCACGGTTTTTTGGAACTCAGCAAGCTCCAACCACGTTTAGATGATACAAGGCATTGGGGACCACCATTCGCTAAAAACATTGATCCTAATGATACTGGTAAACCAGAATCTGCTTATTTCTTGGGTATCAACCGAGTAAGTGCTGACAAAACCTCACATTCGTCGCCCTTACATCTGCTGTGCTTTTGTCTCCTCTTTTAACAAATCCATTGGACAGAACAAGAAAAGCATGACTGTAAACCTCAAACACCCAGACGGTGTCGCAATAATAAAAAAACTAGCTGCCAAATGTGACATTCTCATTGAAAACTACTTGCCTGGTAAACTCGATGAGATGGGATTGGGGTATGAGGTTATGAAGCAGATTAATCCTAGATTGATTTATGCTTCTGTGACGGGATACGGACCTACAGGACCTGATTCGCAGAAGCCGGGTTATGATTTGATGATTGAGTGTGTATGATGTTTGGAGGGCATGTTCTGACACCAATGTGATCCCATTCTTTTGGTTGATTAAAGCACATTGTGTTTAGAGCGGAAGCTGGACTAATGTATATTACCGGAGAACGAGATGGGCCACCAGTTAAAGTCGGAGTTGCCATCACTGATATGGTGAGATTGATCAAAACATATGACCTTGTTTTGTATCAACTTACACATGAACTACTCCTTCACTGAACAGGTAACAGGCCTATACGCCCACGGCGGTATCCTGGCAGCCCTCATAGCCCGTCAAAAAACAAACCGTGGCCAAAAAGTCGATGTTTCCTTAATCGAATCACAAGCTGCTGCCCTCGCAAACATTGCCCATAACTGGTTAATCGGTGGTGTTGAAGCTTCTCGATGGGGAACTTCCCATCCTTCCATTGTACCGTATCAGAGATTCCCAACAAAGGACTCATTTGTTGTTGTGGGAGCTGGTAATGATAGACAGTTTGGCAAGTTGGTTGATGTCATGGGTATGGGCGAGTTTAAGAGTGATGAGAGGTTTAGGACTAATGATGGGAGGGTTAAGAATCGTGTTGTTTTGGTATGTCATTGTTAAATTTGAACACTTCAGGATTGTCCTCCTGTGGCTTTTTTGCCACTTCGGACTGAGCGTTTGCACTGACATGTTTTCGCATTTTCGTATAGATCGAGACAATGAGCAACATTTTCAAAACCCAAACGACCGAATACTGGCTCAAAGCTTTAGAACCAATCAATATTCCATTTGCGCCTGTCAACAATATAGGTAAGCAAACGCTTTTTGGACAAAAAAACACCTCGCCAGTCTGCTTTGACATTCTCTTCCTCTCTCAAAGCACAAACATTCGCACACCCACAAGTAATACATCGCAAAATGATTGAAGAAGTAGACCACCCAAGAGCTGGTAAAATCAAGATTGCCGGTATACCCGTCAAGTACAGTGGCACTCCACCGAACGTGAGACTACCACCTCCAGTGCTGGGACAACATACCAGAGAAGTTTTGTCCACATTCTTGGACTACTCGGACAACGAGATTGATGCTTTTATTGCTGAGAAGGTTGTATAAGAAATGGAGAGGGGATAATTTTGAGAATTGTGAACCTCAATCATAACGTTTGCACAGGCTTCTTTTGCACTAGAATACTAATAAACATATTCAAGAACAAACACCGAGTTTGCATTTGCTCTCCATGTTATGATGAAAGAGAACTCATTCGACGAAAACAAGGGACTCAACCTTTTGAAAGAACCCATGGACATGATGCTGATGTCATACAACTGGGCGTCTGGTTGGGGAAAGGGTGTTGCAACAAACATTCAACATTCTGTGCATAACCGTGCATTGATTTTTTTAGTTTACTGGGAGAAGAAGTGTCTGTGGGACATGAATTCACGAAACGGATTAATTCTGCACTGATTTATGGTTCTGTAACTGGAGGCCGGGAAACGAGTTTTGAACATTACCTGAGTTATATATTCGTTTTGCAAGATATGACCTGAAGAAAGCCGGATGTGGTTTCTTGTCTTGTCACAGGCCTCAAGCAACATTGACATCATTTCATTACCTGATGGTTCCACCAAGTGTTGAAGTTGGAGTTGAAATCACTGGCATGATGAGATCATCACGACTTACCATCCATGTTGATTTTTTTGTTTTTGGGTTTCATGACCTTTTACTCACGCGGATCCACAAGCACGCTTTTTGGGTGCAAGGCTGTTATGCACACGCTCCAAAGAGCTTCAACCATCACAACAACAAACCGTGGTCCAAAAGTCAACGTTTCTCTAATCGAATCACAAATTATTGATGGCAAGACGAGACGAAAAAAAATTGAGTGCAATTGTGTATGGCGTAGTTGTGAACCAACCATCAGTCAGGAGTAAGTTATATAGCACAAACATTCGCACAGTCCACACGGAGTACGTCGTAAAGTGATTGAAGAGGTAGATCCCGCTCGCGCTGGGAAACTCAATCAGACTGCCGATATACCCTTGAGATACATGGGAATCCAATGTGAGAGTGCCACCTTCAGTGCTGCGACGATTTACGAGAGAAGCCTTGTCTACGTATCCAAGAGGAGATCCACGCCTTTTTTCGCAGAGATGGCTGTGTAGAAATGGAGATGATGTGAGGGTTCTGACCTAGTCCAATGAGTGCAAACCATGCTGTTTTTGCACTAGAATATTGACAGACGTGTTCAAGAACGAAAACCAGGCGTACACGGCCGAATCATTGATGCAAAGATGAAATCTCTTGAAGCTACGATATGATACAAATTCTAGCGGTTGTCTTCATGTGTGCTATATACTAAAAGTGCTTGACGACGAGGCCTCATTCTTATTCTATGTTTGAAAGTGCAATTTTTTTTTCATTAAGCTCATCAGCCATGCTCCTGCGTTCATCTTCCAATCGTTTCTATACACAAGAGCGAGTAATTGGTCAATCACACTATTTTTTTTTTTTTGCCATCTTAACACCTTGACAAGGAAACTCGACACATACCAACAATATAGGATTTGCTGTCTTTGCAATCTCCTGATCACGTCGGTCAACACGAGACTGCAAATCCATAATGTCTCGTCGTATCTGATCTCGTTCTTCCCCATCGACGTCTAGGTCAGCAAAAGCGTGAGCATAAAGCGGATAAAGCAGAGCGAAAAAGAGAAAAAAATGTCGACGGAACGAAAAGACCATGGTCTTACCATCATCACCAACTTGCTCAAACTCATCATCACTCATCCCATTTTCTCCACGTTCATCAAATTGAATCTCAACTTCCTCGTATTGTTCCAAATCACCAGCAGACCCAGTCTCACTTTGTGGTCGATGTATACGTCCATCTCCGCCAGTTACACTTCCATTATCTGCATTATCGTCATCATCACCACCTTCAAATGCTTCATCAAAAGCAGCATCAAACATGTCATCTTCTTCATCTTCATCGTCTGATTCACGATTCGAGTTTACTGGTGAAGATGCTGGTTGTGGGATGTTGTATTGTTGTTGATGGTACGGTCCTTGGATTTGTTGTGGGAGGAATGATGCGGCATAGTTATTGTTATAACTATTGTTGTTGTCTGGTTGTTGAGCGTAATCCATGTCGTAATCTTCTTCGTCTTGATGTAGTGGTTGTATTTCTTCTTCTTCATCATCATCATTGCGGACTTGATCGAGGTCTGATATGAACCTTAATTCTATGAAAAGACCCTCATTTAGAGCGTGTGTGCTTTGGTTTTGCTTGGTTTTATGACACTTGCCGATTTCAATCTCTTCAGATAGCAAGTCCTCTTCCAACAATCTGATGACTTGTTTCTCAACCTCTTCAATAGCCTTACATAGGAATACAGTGAGCCAAAAGAGCGACTGAAGATATGTCCCATATGAGTTGTGTTGCAACCCACAATCACCACTTACAGATATGGGCATTCTTGGCCTGAATCGTCGCTTGCGAACCCAATGCATAGGAGGAGTCAGACCATGGTCATGTCTGAAATCCTTGATTCGTTCCAATGGTCGCAATATTGTAGCATCATCTGGAGCTTGGATGGGTCCTTCGACTACCAGCATCTAATGGGGAGAACGAGAGCGAGTTGATTGTTACGATGGGAGCCAAGAAAGCATGTAATATCGTTGTATAGTAGACATACCTGGCAAATGTCTGATATTTTGTAGAATTGTCGATTGTCATAAGTTTTGTGCGCTTCAATGATGCATGGCAAGTCGACGACTTTTCCACGAAACTTTTCCTTTCCATAAGTAATGACAGCTTTTCTTGTATCTAATACATAGCATTGTTAGATGAGAGACACACATAGCTTTGAATCACAAAATGCTGAGCAGATGTTGAATCAAGATCACATACCATAGAAGAAAAAGGACAAGTCAAGTGGTGCCTCGCTCTTTCTCAGAGTGCTTCTCAGCTTGTTTGCTTGATCAGGAGGTAGTCGTAGTATCATATGGTCTTCAATGAAATCGTCAGCAACTCCATCTTCCTTTGGTTTGGCTTCTGGACGTTTCTTGTGCTTTTCCTTGGCCTTGCCACTGGCCAGTAGCTTGAGTGTCGGGATCTTGCCACTCGTCCCTGCCTTGCCTTTAATCAGTGCTGTAAGCGACGACATCTTGCTGTCCTTGCTTTTGGAGAAACTGACGGCTGTTGTGATTGTTGGTGACAATGGAAGGGATTACTTTGATCAGAGAATTAATTTTATTACTATTCTACGCCATACTCACCAATTTGACGCGTCGCTCTCATCATAGGAACACGTTGAATCCAACAGACATCAACCTCAGCCAAAACCAATCAAGATGGACCAAGAGTTTGACTTTACAGAGCACTCACACAGAAGATTCAATCCTTTAACAAACTCATGGATATTATGCTCACCTCATAGATCTAAAAGACCTTGGCTGGGTAAGCACGTCGCCAGATCAAACGTGGCGATAGAGTACTCACAGTTTTCTTGTTCTGCAAGGCCAACAAGAGGAAACATCTGATGGTAAACAACTGAAAGGAATGCAATTCAACCGAAACAGCTCTGACCACCATCCTATTCGCTCGACATTTCAACAGATGCTCGACCTGAATATGACCCAACTTGCTATCTTTGCCCATCCAACAAGAGGTCGGGAGGAGCTTCTCAAAACCCACCATATACTGGAACGTTTGTATTCACTAATGATTTCCCGGCTGTTAAACCGGATCAGCCGCCGTTTGAATCTGGATCTTCAGGTATTTATCTGTCAATATTGCCCTTTTTTTGCACTATCCAACCAACACATACCACTTTACAACAGAAGATACTTTATCATCACGCTTAATAAAGGCTCGTGGTGTCCGCGGTACTTGTCGCGTCATGTGTTTCCATCCTCGACATGACTTGACCATGGCTGAAATGAGCCGTACAAACATTGAAGCAGTCATTGATACATGGACTGATCAAGTAAAAGAATTATCGGCTCTGGAATATGCTCGATATGTACAAGTGTTTGAGAATAAGGGTGCTGTTATGGGGTGTTCGAATCCTCATCCCCATTGTCAGGTATGTTAGTTCTCTTGCAAAAAAGACATGTATCTTGATAACAAATCACTTCTAAACTGACGGCAAACACACAACTCTTCCTAGATATGGGCTACGGAAGGCATACCAGAAGAACCAAAGAAGGAAATGGCGTCTCAAATCGCATACAAGGCCCAACATGGATCCTGCCTCTTGTGCGATTACGTGAATCTAGAAGTCTCAACACCATCAACACCACGAATCGTAATCCAGAACACGTCATTTGTATGTCTGGTCCCATATTGGGCTGTGTGGCCATACGAAACACTCGTCCTCCCTAAATCTCATATATCGTCTCTATCTGAGTTATCAGCTACTCAAAAATCGGAGTTGGCATCAATATTAGCAAAGATTACATGCCGATTCGATAACTTGTTTAATTGCTCGTTCCCGTATTCGATGGGTGTGCATGGTGCTCCTGTCGGTGATCGTAGTGGAGTGAATCATTTACATTTGCACTTCTATCCACCATTGCTGAGGAGTGCTACTGTTAAGAAGTTTCTTGTTGGGTAAGCCAAGAAACAGTATGTGCTATGGATGAAATACCTGAACTCATCGAACTGAATTTTGTTCTGATTCCATTCTAGATACGAAATGATGGCCGAATCACAACGAGACTTGACTGCTGAACAAGCTGCCGAACGTTTGAGAAATTGTTCGGAAGTACATTATAAACTTGTGAAAAATTAAAATCATTGAAACATATTGTTTAATTTTACATAAAGGCGTTCCTGTCTACAACAGTTTAATGATGTACTATAGCCAAAAAAGGAGCCTTTCTGAACCTAAAGTCATAGTGCAGCATCAAAACAATCCAGCACCGTTTCGGCTGCATCGTCAGCTAAAAGACCCAAAAACATCAGGTCACCTATGTTTCTATAAAGTGGAATGCAACTGTATCTTACCATGCTCTATACGCGGCAAGATAATCCTACCGGCAGAACTTGTTGACTTGGGAGACTTTCGTAAAGGTCACAGCAGCTGTACACTACTTAGACCTTTAGTGACGTTCATGCTTTCAGCTATGGAGACGTCACGAAATTCAAATATGTGAAACCTCACCCAGCAAGAACACCAAAACCTGGCGTAACATTAACCAGAAGAGCTTGGTTAGTACCAGATTCACCTTATGGATAATACCTTCACGTCCACGCCATACTCGTCGCCCTTCAGTTTGCGGGGAACAGCTGCTTGTTCTACTGTTCCCTGCGACCAAAAAAAGCGCTAGTAGTATCGAATGTGTCAACATAGCTGTCACCTCTAGGTACACTTCCCCGTCGCCAAAGATACAAAAACAGTTACCACATGTTCAGAAATCTTTCCGGAAGGACCAAGCTTTCACAAAAGTAAATCAATGCAGCTGTATATAAATACCTGCCTATATACAAACAGTCTAAATGATTTTACACTGTAGCGAAATAACTGAATAGTAGGCCGTCCTATGCTGCAGAATCAAACGATCCAACAGCTTGATACAACAGCCATCCAGAATCCTTTCCAAATACACAAGCATAATCGTTCTCTCCATTGGCGAAGTATCCATGTTCGTACGTGTCCCATGATACTGGGGCGTCTGCAAAACCCCATACCATGACACTTGCCCAAGGTATTGAATGCACTGTAATTGTTTTTCTAATGTCATGAGCGAGCGAGATGTGAGCAGCCGAACCAAAAAAAGGGCGAGCCAATCCACGCAAGTGACGTACTGCAGATCGTCCACCACACGTTGTATAGACAAACATGAAATGAAACTAGACTGCCATCTACATGCAAGCAGAGTTCCTGATGCCGAGGTCGGCGGTGGTTCATATACGCATATGAATGGATTGGTTTGGCTCATAAACGACACTCTAACATTAGAAGACCGTCAATGCAAAAAAGGGACAGGAATAATATCTACATGTTTCAATTACCTTGGTGAACCTAACTCGACCATCCCCAACCACTCAAACAACTCCTCCAGCCTCGAATTCTCTTCCTCCTTCTCATCTTTTGACATGCCAGCATATTTCACTTCAGTTTGCGTCTTTAGTGAAGTGCCGATATCTGGAATCATGATGCCCTCCATTTGCCGTATTTGGGCAGGTGTAGTGTATTCTTTCGTACTGGCATGCTGTTGTTCGAATGTGACTTTTACAGGTTCACCAGTCTCTCTGTCATGACAGGATACGAAGAATGTCCTTGAGGTTGTCATTGTATGTGTCAAGCACCATAACACACGGTCGTAGAGTTTGGATTTTGGACTGAAGGAGGTGTTTGCAATGTCTATAGTCACGTCTAAGAAAGAAACGGGGATTTAAAGCCTGTGGCAAAAAAGGAATCACTCATGAAACGACGCGTACTAAATCGTTCAGCAGACTCATTGAATTTGCACTTTTTGCCAACCAATCCAGCTCTCTCGTATGTGTCTTTGGTTAGGTTGAGAATCATGCGACCTTTGGAGAAGAAGGAAGAGGCAGAAGGGCGTAAGTACGAGCTTGCATCCAGCCACAAGATCGTCATTCTCGTCTTTTTACCATCAGGAGTGATTGCTATAACATCACCAGCATCAATTTGTGCATCACACGTTAGGGCTGTCGTCCAACCTGGTAGAAAACGCGATGAATTCTTACTAAACAGAGAAATTCAATAGCATCAAAATTTAGTCTTACATTTCCGTATATACTTGTCCAGAAACGCAGGAGCAATCAATTGAGTTGGTGCAATGACAATCTGCTGATACTGGAAGGAATGACGACGTAGATGAGCAGATATCTCTGTTATGGATTCTGGCGATAGATCACGTGGAATCGGTATTAGCATCTCTACCTAATTGTGATTGTTAGCTTTACCGCATTCGAGAAATCCGCAAAAAACTCGCTGAAGCTTTCCATACTGTGCGATTAAAGTAGTGCGTCCGTATTCCTTTGTTATCCGGCTTGAAAGGACCTTGGCCTCGTGAGATGAGTAGCTTCGATTTGGGAGGAGAAGCAGAGATGACCGACATCTTCTTTTGTGTTGGGAAGGTGCGAATTCAGAACATTGTAGGTAATCAATGCCAATTAAAAGAATCAAAATTCAGATTGAAATGTACGAAAACTCGCGTGCTGTCAGTGCTTATAGTGTTGGTTCCTTTACATTGCTCGACGCGCTCAACTTTCTCTAAAAGATTTCTTTGACTGACAGAACGTGATAGATTGTTTGAATTGACGGATGCTGAACTTGTGAATAGGCGCTTGTAGTTATTTATACAACGTAGGAACCTTCCTTTCTACTCAAGGCTATCTCTAAAGGCAAGAATACATCATTGCGTGTTTTGTCATGGCTACGACCTTGAAGTCCTCACTCAATTAGATATAGATCATATCCCAAGTCGATATTTGGAATATCCCTTTCCTGTAGCTTTCCGAATCTGCGGGACCGAGAGCCTGGAACGTCCAAATGGCCTCAGATGGCAACAACATTAGAGTTGTGTGTCGATTTAGACCGCAGAATGGCCGGGAGGTCAAAGAAGAAGGAGGAATATCTGTCGCTTTTGATGATGACTATACCGAAGTTAAACTAGAGGTCGGTTCCTGAGCTAATATTGGTGGATTTGTGGTGAAGCAAAACATAGTGCTCAAAAATCACAATACTACAGAGCCGCGAGTATCCAGGTCAATTTACATTCGATCGTATCTTTGACTGGAATCACAATCAAAAGCAAGTTTTCGACTATTCTGCTCAGGCTGTGGTGCAAGGTGTGCTACATCTGCGTATATTGATCTAGTGACAACAGCTTTTTTTAAGCCATTGGTTTATAGATGTGATGAAAGGATATAACGGAACTATTTTTGCATATGGTCAAACTGGTGCAGGAAAGACCTTCACGATGATGGGTAACATGGAAAACCCTGAGCTGAAGGGAATGACTCCTCGGATAGTCGAGTCTATCTTCAGCACCATATTGCAGGCACCGTCTACGCTCGAATTCACAGTCAAAGTTTCTTTTATGGAGATATATATGGAGAAAATTAGGGATTTGTTGAATCGTAAGTGAGCTTCATTATTGTCTCAGTGACAATACAGTGACTCAGCTTTCCTTTTTGTAGCTTCAAACGATAACCTACCAATTCACGAAGAAAAAGTAAAAGGTGTCTATGTGAAAGGCCTTTTAGAAGTCTTTGTGGGATCTGTGGCAGAAGTGTATCAAGTGATGCAACAAGGAATGTCGAGTCGAGTTACAGCATCAACAGGAATGAATACTGAAAGTTCAAGAAGTCATTCTATATTCGTGCTGCAAATCTCGCAGCGAAATCTTATTGATGGAAGTGCCAAGACGGGCAAACTATTTCTCGTTGATTTGGCTGGCAGTGAGAAGGTCGGCAAGACTGGAGCTACTGGACAAACGTTAGAAGAGGCCAAGAAGATAAATAAGTCTCTTAGTGCTCTTGGAAATGTTATTAATGCTTTGACGGATAGCAAGGTCAGATTCATCGTTATAACCAGTAGTAATTTTTTGCCTCGTTTTTGCCGTACTCAAATTACAACTATTTGATTTATAGGCTCAACATGTACCATACCGAGACTCCAAATTGACCAGAATCTTACAAGAGTCACTGGGTGGTAATGCCAAGACAACATTAGTGATAAATTGTTCGCCTTCATCATTCAATGAGGCTGAAACACTGTCGACTTTACGGTTTGGAATGAGGTACGATGGCTCATTCGCACGTCATCAAGGTTTTTTTGGCGTACTGATTTAAGTTCAATCTTTCAAGGGCCAAGACAATCAAGAACAAGGCCAAAGTCAATGTTGAGCTTAGTCCAGCTGAACTCAAAGTCTTTTTACGAAAGGCTAAATCTGATATCGTCATTTTGCGAAACTACACTACTCTCTTGGAAGGTGAACTTGACGTGTGGAGATCAGGTGGAAATGTTGCTCAAGCAGATTGGGCTACTGCTGAGAAAGCAGGTGTTCCTCTAGACCTGTTAAATGCAGACGATGAATCTGTAGCCGCAAGCCCAACTCGTCCTCCATCAGTCAATCAACTCTCAATACCCACCAGCTCTTCCCCGAACGGTCGCCCCAATACTCCCTTTTCGCCACCTCTCGATCAAGATGAACGCGAAGAATTCCTAAAACGGGAGAACGAGTTGACTGATCAGCTTGCTGAAAAAGAAACTGAACTCAAGACTTTACGGACATTGGCTGCTTCTTTGCAAGAGGAGATGGCTCTGCTCAAGTCAAGAGAATCGGACGTTGCCAAAGACAACAAGGAATTGACTTCCTCATTGAATGAAATCAAGTTGCAGATGGAGAAGTTGACGTTTGAGCAGCAAGAATCCGGCATTGTTATGGATACGCTAAAGGATAGCAATGAAACTCTCAAGGAGAATAATGCAGAGTTGAAGAACGAAATTGACTTGCTCAAGGTATTTATATTTGCCACTCCTGTTTCACGTTGAATCTCACCTTTGTAATTTAATTTCCCAGACTCGAGTTCAACAAGCGCAGAAAACCAATGCAGAAGAACAAAATCGAGAAGTCAAGAAGCAAGAAAAGATTACGCAGATGATTGCAGAATATGGTCCTGATGTAAGTGACTACAAAAAAATGCCCTGTAATTCCAGCAATAAACTTCTGATTTGTTTCGTAGACCGAAAAGGAACGCGAAATGAGAGCCTCTCTCAACCGAATAACCAGCGGCACTAACCTAAACCCCAAATCATCAAGCCCTCAAACATCTCCAAAGAGCGGTCAACCTTCTCCATGGCCTACTCATACCCTCCAACACGAGCTCGTTCGAGTCAAATCTCAATTGTCAATCCAAGAGCTCATGGTTGACGAGCTATCACAAGCGTCCAAGACCGCGGAGGATGAAGTCAAGGCATTACGACAGCACAAGGATGATTTAGAACGTAAATACTCGAGTCTTGAGAAAGATTATCAACGATTACTGGGTGCTGATCAGACCACGAAGGCATCTTCGGATGAGCTTTCGAGTGCTCTGAGTGACTTGAAATCGAAACTTGAGACTCAATACCACGATAGCACTGAGCACCTGGAACGACAGGTTGAGAGTTTGAAGTCTGTTGTTGCCAAGAAGGAGGAAGAGATTACGACGTTGCAGCAGAGTGGTGGTTCAAAGGTACGTCATAACAAAACTCATTCGTAATGATGAGGATGCCATAGCTGAAATTACTCGCCATCATAGGACGTCCCTGACGCATCTGAAATCACCAAGATGCAAAAGACCATGGCAGATTGGGACGCCATGAAGACCAAACTCATGATTGATTTGGAAAACAGATGTCAGAAAGTGGTTGAACTAGAAATTGCTCTTGATGAAGCTAGGGAGCAATACAATGCTTTAATGAGAAACACGAATTCCAAAGCCCAACAACAAAAGATGGCATTCTTGGAAAGGAATCTGGAGCAGTTGACCAATGTCCAGAAGCAGGTATACCTGTTTTCTTGCTATTTTTTTGCTTACTAGTAGGTGTCATAGAACTGATTTGTTACCTTTGATGCATTAGCTCGTGGAACAAAACACGAATCTGAAAAAGGAAATGGCTGTAGCTGAACGCAAGCTGATTGCCCGAAATGACAGAATTCAGACATTGGAGCAATTGTTGGTTGATACGCAAAACAAGTTGGAGGCACAGACTCAACGGTTTGAGTCTGAGCTTGGTGCTATGAGAGATAGATTGCAAGAGGCTAGAAGTGAGTTGTGCTGTTAGTTAGTGATTGTGTTTCGATATGCCGACGACTCATTCCATTGTTTTTTTCAGCTACGGCTCCAGCACCAGCTAATCTCAGCTGGATGTACTCTGCCAAGATCGCCAAACCACTACGTGGTGGTGGTGGTGGAGCGCCCGAGGAAGTTATGAGACCGAGTGCTAGTGAACAATCATTAGACTCTAGTAGATCAGACCTGGGCAAGTTCTTTCGCGACCGTGCGTTTATTTGCAAAGACCTTGTTTTCTCATTTTTTCTTTTTTCAAATAATCAGCGGGGCATTTACCAAGTGCGAGCAATTCAAATATGTCACTGAACTCGAAAAAGAGCAGCTGGTATGTTTCTCTAATCGCCAAGAAGTAATTATCATTACGAGAACAGAATCTTTAGACCAGTTGATGATATTTGATGTCATTTATATTCCTTCATTCTCATATAAGAATACATTAATTGAAAACGAATCATGTTGAGATGTTTGTGCAAAGTACTCTTTGGGAGAGTGTGTGTACAGTAACCTCCTGTGTTGAAAACAAAAAAAAAAAACAGAATTAGACTAACCCCTCTGTGTTTATCAAGACAAAAAAAAAAAACAAAACCCACCTTCTTT